TGACCTCTGTGATTGCCAACAAGGGTTTTGCCACCAAGTACTAAGTCATGTTTTGCAGAGGGGTCAAATACTTATTTCCCTCATTAAAATGCAAATCAATTTATAACATTTTTGACATGCGTTTTTCTGGATTATTTTGTTGTTATTCTGTCTCTCACTGTTCAAATAAACCTACCATTAAAATTATAGACTGATCATGTCTTTGTCAGTGGGCAAACGTACTAAATCAGCAGGGGATCAAATACTTTTTTCCCTCACTGTAAGGGCATGTACGTGATAGGCCTATCTGCCTTATATGATTATGATGGTCATAATGCTTCTTGACAGTGTCATAAAGTGAATTATATTAGTCCAAGTAAAGTGACACAGGATGGTCATAATGCTTCATAACAATGTTATAAAGTGTAAAGAATTCATTACAACGACATCAAAGTACTTAAGAATAAACTTTCAAACAAAAGGAGAAAAAAACACATTTGAATAAATGTGGGTTTTGACACTCTTATGTAGGTGTCATAACCAGCCATAAAATAACACAATATATGTCAAAACAGGTGTACATTTCTGGGTCATGACAGTTTTATGAACATATTATGACAGGTTATGACAAGTTATGTCAGCTGTTATGACATATTATGACATGAATATGACCATGTCATGTGTTATGACGCTGGGTGTCAAGGAAAGTGTTACCAAAATAACATAAAATAACATAAAGGTAGAACAAAAACACAAGAGAAAAATAGGATATAAGAACACGAGAAAGTAAGAAGCTATGTACAGGGTCAATACCAAGATCCGTTTCTGTTTACATCCTGTCCATATTGTCTATACACACACCATTATATGTATATATATATATATATATTCTGGTCTCTGACATTGCTCTGTCTTTATTTTTTATTTTTTTCTGGATTATGTGTGATTGTGTGTATAATTTTTTATTGCTATGTATTACTTCTCTGTTGGAGCTAGAATCAAAAGCATTTCGCTGCACCTGCTATAACATCTGCAAATCTGTGGACATGATCAATAAACTTTGATTTGAAGTCTATGAAAAATGTTTACAATGACAGTATAACATATTGTATAACATGTTTTATGCTAGTTTACTATAATGTAATTGTAAACAATATAATAATATATTATTTTTTACCAAATTGTATACTGTATTGCATAATATCACACCACACACTCAAATGTCAGGTTTAAACAATTGAATGGAAACACCATGCATGAATTAGAAACATTTTCATTATTGTCATACAGAATTATTTTCAATTCATGAAATTGACGTTCCCTAAACTGACAGTGTTGAGTTGAATTTAATTCATTACAACATTGCTGGCCATAATAACCTGGTATGAGTAAGTGTTGTGTGACGTGTTCAGGAAGTACAAAGTCTGCAATGATTAGGCTACTGGTAATACTTGCCAGAGGTCAAAGGAGCTAGCTCATCCCAAATAAGGAGCCATCAGCACACATCATAATTATACTACCGCACATTGTAGTCATATCTATATGCAAAGCAGTTGAAATGATCGTCCCCTTTCATTTTTTCCTATTCAGGGTTATCACTATGCTGACCATACTGAATAAGTTGAATAACCAGTTGTCATGACTATTTCCCAATAGACAAGATTCTGTCTTGTGATCTTTAATGCATGATTGTAACAGTGTGCTGGTGATTACTAACATAACCTCTGCAGCCATTGGCTATGTATTGTCCTTGAGTGCACAATTAGCTAGTCACAGTATTGGTCAATAATGAAACATTGATGACATACGACCGAGTCAGTCATAAACTGTGCATTTTCAGTATTATTTAATAAAGATGCCTTAGGGCAAATAAAGCTTACACAAAGTCCATTTTAACAGTTGAGCTTAATAAATGGAAATAGACTAGATAAGGACGTGCAAACAATCTAACTGCCGGCATACCACTGACAAACTGGTATTCTTGCTCTGCCCTATGGGATAGGGAAGACAGGGAAAACTTGTTTCAAACAGGTTTCAGCCAATGTTTAGTTCTTGCATTCATTGCTATTGCCCCCAATGCTATTTTGAACCCAGGTGACCATACTTACTTTTCATTGACTTTTCAAAGAAATAACGTGCATGGAAGCATGATGTGTAATTCACACCTGTCTATTAGTCACAGTACCTCATAGGCTGATTAATTGCATTCCCTTGCTTAATTTCAGATAATACGATTCTTACATTTTTGGCACCGTAATGCCGTTAACGTAGATGTGTTTTCCTTCCAAACAAAGACAGATACAACACAAATTCACAACTTTTCTGCATATGTGCAAACACTAGTAGGTGCCATGACTGACATTGCATTAAAGGGCGCCAGCTCTTCTCACAGTCACCTAATCCTTCACACTATTGGCTGACAAACTGATTTGACAGTTGCTCTGCTCACACTTGGTTTGTCCACATCATCTTGACTACTGTCATGTTAGTTCATTCTTTTCCGCCCTGTTTCCGCACAGTCAGTCTAATCTACTTCCACTAATGCAAATATACTGTAAGTACTAAGTAGGCTACTCTGTAATGCTAGACAAAACAAATACAGGTTTCTCTCCACACTCATTCACCACACACCAGTTTTAACAGCAATCTCAATGCCTGCAGGGCAGAAACAATAGTATTGGGTGTTAAGGGTGGCAGGGTGTTTATCTATTGTTCTATTTTATCTGAAAGTCAATTTGCGAACGATATGCAAATAGAAGGGTGTTTGAGCACTGTAACTGTTCTAAGTTACCCTGTCCCCTGCCATTTCATTAGGCCAATGATACAATTATGTTTGAGCTATAAAACAATGCTATTGGGCTACATAACAGTTATATTATTATCATATTATAGGCTACTCTCATATTGTCTGATCCAGCAAAACACATTGTTCAACTTCCCATTTTAGATGTGAAAGATAATGTCAGGAGGTGCGCACAAATTAACCGAATTTATTCATCCAAAAGCGCAGCGTCATGATTACATTAACAAAGGTCAACTATCAAAGCACTCAATCGATGTTATGGCCATTCTGGTAATGTCCTTTAATTAGTCTTTAACAGGCTTCTGACCACGATGACCGAGAGAGAGAGAGAGAACTGGGGACATTATGTAAATAGACCTTAGATCGAAGAGGGTTTATTTGTGGTTGCCATGCCAATGCTGCCATTGCAGTTCCCCAGTGGCCTTGAGGTTATCAAAGAGAGGAAATTACAATTTAGATAGATAATTGACTTTGGTTCTGTTGTCAAGACTACGACATTTAAAAAAACATTTTAGTCATTTTGCAGACGCTCTTATCCAGAGCGACTTACAGTTAGTGAGTGCCCCCCGTGGGAATCGAACCCACAACCCTGGCGTTGCAAGCGCCATGCTCTACCAACTGAGCTACAGGAGGCCTACGAGAGATGATTTCATGACATTGATGAGTATGTCTCGGTGTTAGCTGACATGTTCATAAACAATGCAGGAAAGACATTATGCACCGTACTCGAGGAAGCAAAACTCAGTGGAGGGAGGGCTACAAAGATGTCACAAAGTTGTAACAACGTGTTTTTAAGGTGTCTTATCTGTTTCTAAGAAGACAGAGTTACTCTGCAAGTGCTCCAAGTTTAAGATGACATAGGCCTACATATATTATATTTTCACAAAAACGACCAAACTATTTGTAGTTTGTACCTTTTAGGGTTACTTTATACATTTTTATATGTTTGGGGAATAGGATTCTCTTCTCCAAAATAAACAAAAACAGAGTCAGGATCCGTATTTCAAATGTGTCTCAGAGTAGGAGTGCTGGCTGATCTAGGATTAGTTTATCCTTTTCAATCATAGCGAATAACATTATGGACATCCTAGATCAGCCATACTAAGCTGAGACACGTGTAGATATGGGCTCTTATGATTAGAAACTAAGTGAAACATTCGACTTTTAGTCACAAGATGGCGGAATCTACACACCAATAACTCCCCACAGCGAACGTCTGTGTGGAAGATAAGGCAGCAGCAACATTCTTGTACAAACGTCAGTATTTTTAAGAGGATGCTGCTCTCTACTGGCCATACTGAATATTACAATAATGATAGACCACTACGCTAGATACTGGTTACAATGGTGTTGTAATTTACAGGACCATTGTAACCATTGTCTGTTAATTTAACGTATTGCATAACACACCGCAATATATATGCGATACTCAAAGTTTAGAAAGATAATAAATATATTTTTTAAATGTTTTAACATTACCTTGACATTACTGGGATCATTTTGTGTGTGATCTTACTAAAACAGTAACTGCAGTAAACAGTAAGAATGTAATTTAAAACCATGTACAATACAGCATGTCTCAGTCACTTCAAACCTGACACTTTAGTCCCCCCAACTTTGACACATTTGGACACAGCCTGGCAGGATGTGACATCACAGACATCATATACCATCAGGCTGAGCAGCTGGAGATGGGCAGCTCCTCTGTTTACATTCACTATTTTTTTCCATAGCTATTTCCATAGTGTGATTCAGGGATGGCCCTACTGGAGTGTGTCCTGGTTTGGGTGTGGACCCAGTCTAGTGACATTTTTGTTGCCATCATGACAGAGCGTAACGGTCATGCTGTCCATTTAGGAGATCAAAGGGAACTGATTGTAAACCTTACACAGTGGTTGTGGGAGGGGCCAGGCTAACTGAACTCTGGACCACCCTCTGTGGTTATGAGTCATGATATAAAGGTAAACAAAGACGAGAGTCTACAAGGAATGTCAGAACTATACAGTAAGTCCTAATTAGGATTTGTGGTTTTATTTGGCTATAAAATTATGCAAAATATTTACAGCTTACATGAATCAACAATTTCCCTTATCGGTAAAATGTACAGAATAAAATAACGATATGGAAATAAGGAGTGTGGTTAAGGTCGGGGGCAGAGGTGGGGATAATTTAGTTTGTGGTCCTAGTGTAAGGGGTCGCGAGGGATCAGAGGTAACCTTTACTCCACAGGCACTGGGAGGTCATTGTTGTCCTGGTGATTTACCTCCAGCAGGGCCTGGTTGACCTCCGGTTGGTCACCGTTGAGATCGGCGTACTCCACTGAACCCTGCTGAGACAACAGAGATCCCACTGAATATTGACACACTGTCCTGCTCAACACTGTCAATTATGTCAACACTGTCACAACGAAAGTCAAAACCGTATCTAACTTCAACACCATCACACACAGACAAGTCAACACCATAACGCAACCCAAAATGAAAACTGTGACAGCACCATTCTATACCATCACACATCCCATTTTAACACAATCTGATTCTCTCAAGGCAGGTGAAAATCCATCAACAAATGTGTTCCTCACAGAATACTACACTGTATTTCACCAAGGCTTCACAGAATACAAAACAATATTCTCCAGGGGCAGCTGCACACATTCAAAAACACACAATGAAATTCCTTTATCATTAAAACCACCTCACCACAACCTTGGCTGCTCCTCCTTTTCCATCAAGGAGTGAATTAACTGTCTTAAGTTTAGACCATCATGTCACATCCTGACTAGACTCATTATGTCAAATTCCCCTCTAAACAGATAACCCGGCCTTAGTTCCTCAGCTCCAAGTAAGGGCAAACAGTGTGGACTGTAATGATCCATCTGTAAATCACTGAAGGGCCTTGGTGAGGAACCAGAGGAGGACAGTGTGGCGGTTGAGGTTGAGCTGTGCATGGAGGTATAATTTGACTGGGCCTTTGGCTGCTGATCTCACTGGGCGATAGGGAAGGAAGCCCCAGCCCAAATTCCCTTTGTTCTTGTCTGGAAACTCTGACCGCAGCTTCCCTCTCCTGCACAGTGAAATTACTACTATCCAAGAGCCTCAGCCCACAGAGTGACTGGGGCTGGTTGGGAGAGGGAAGGAGGGAGGGAAAGTGGGAGAGAGGGAAGGAGGGGGAAAGAGGGATAGAGGGAAGGAGGGGGAGGTGTGCCCTGTGGCCTTGATTCTGTCACTCCTCACCCTTTTTGTCAGCTGGAGGAAAGGTCAGCTGTGGTTACTGAGTGTGTTAGCTTTCACTGTGCCTCACAGTCACAGCCAGCAAAATGTAAGACACTGAGACCCAAGCTGTACTTACATAGTCATAATGGTCACCAGGTGCACCTGGAAAACAAGACACAGGATCAGGGAGGAAGGACAACCACTAGTCCATTACAGAGATGACATTATACTGTATGACCTGCGTCTCTGTGTGTGTACTCTTTCATTTGATAAAGGAATGAGAGAACTATTACTACTCCCCAGTGCGTTAAAGGGCCTCTCATTCCTTTATGTGTATTCTTTTTTAGCCCAGCACCAGTATTCTCAAGTTCAGGATGTGCAGATCACCCTCCTGTTCCTCTTTCATTTGACCCATTGATTTGACCACATTCTGAGGTCATTGAATAATAATGTAATATTCTCTGAATTTATTCATCATGATGACTAATTTGACAGTTATGATGACCAGGCCTAGTTGCTGACTCATTGGTTCCCTTGAAGCAGGGCCCATTGTTGTACCACAACAGGGGTATAACTATGCCAGAAAGCATTAAGTGCAGTCCCTGCCCTCTTCCTAAACATCCACCCTTATCCATAACACTCACCAATTCACCAGTGATGAGAGTTACAAACGAAAGGTACGTTACATGTTTTATGTAAAATTTGGGTTAATAACGGTACATTTTCTCATGGACTGCTTCACTAACAAATTCAACTTGGATCACGTTCTAAAAACAGGAACTTCCTGCTAGCAGCAAGAGGAAATAGTCACCTTCATACAGACCACGCTGGTCCGGCAGTTCTGGATTCAATAATGAATACATCACCTTCCACCTCCTTTTACTCATTGGTGGTGGATGGGTTGAGTTAGCTCCATGCAATGTCAAGTGTTTTTTGAGACCTAGTTTAAAGAACTTTAGAAATGTAATCCATATTTACAGGGTGTTAGACTCACCTGTTGGGGAGTTCTGGACTTCACTGTACACAGTTTCTGTGCCTTTTCTCAGGGGAACTGCAAAACATAGAAACAAAATAATGTCACAATGTTTCACACTTGTATCACTTAAACATTGCTCATGGGCACACACACATTATATAACCACCATCAAACTATATACCTTCATTACAACTGTTACACATTTACTTGTTTGTCTCTTAGCAGATGCTCCATCTCTTGGCAAATCATTGTACTGGATACTTAAAGAAAGGGGCGCAACTTTCACTGTGGAAGGGTACGTGTCCCCCCCACATTCTGAAATTGCATTTTTGTCCCCCCCAGTTTTATCATTAGAATGTGATACAAAACAAGGCAATGGTGTGCTTTAAGACCATGCGGACGCCTCCGAGCGGCGGGTAGGCTGTTTGGAGTGTTTATCCGACTGGATAATATATATTATATACACTACCAGTCAAAAGTTTGGACACATCTACTCATTCAAGGGTTTTCTTTATTTTTACATTGTAGAATAATAGTGAAGACATCAAAACTATGAAATAACACATATGGAATCATGTAGTAACCAAAAAAAGTGTTAAACAAATCAAAATATATTTTATATTTGAGATTCTTCAAATAGCCACCCTTTGCCTTGACAGCTTTGCACACTCTTGGCATTCTCTCAACCAGCTTCATGAGGTAGTCACCTGGAATGCATTTCAATTAACAGGTGTACCTTCTTAAAAGTTAATTTGTGGAATTTCTTTCCTTCTTAATGCGTTTGAGCCAATCAGTTGTGTTGTGACAAGGTAGGGGTGGTATACAGAAGATAGCCCTATTTGGTAAAAGACCAAGTCCATATTATGGCAAGAACAGCTCAAATAAGCAAAGAGAAACGACAGTCCATCATTACTTTAAGACATGAAGGTCAGTCAATACGGAACATTTCAAGAACTTTGAAAGTTTCTTCAAGTGCAGTCGCAAAAACCATCAAGTGCTATGATGAAACTGGCTCTCATGAGGACCGCCACAGGAATGGAAGACCCAGAGTTACCTCTGCTGCAGAGGATAAGTTCATTAGAGTTATCAGCCTCAAAAATTGCAGCCCAAAAAAATGCTTCACAGAGTTCAAGTCACAGACACATCTCAACATCAACTGTTCAGAGGAGACTGGTCATGGTCGAATTACTGCAAAGAAACCACTACTAAAGGACACCAATAAGAAGAAGACCTGCTTGGGCCAAGAAACACGAGCAATGGACATTAGATCAGTGGAAATGTGTCCTTTGGTCTGGAGTCCAAATTGGAGATTTTTGGTTCCAACCGCCGCGGTGTAGTTCCCACCGTAAAGCATGGATGAGGAGGTGTTATGGTGTGGGGGTGCTTTGCTGGTGACACTATGTGATTTTTTTTTAATTCAAGGCACACTTAACCAGCATGGCTACCACAGCATTCGGCAGCGATACACCATCCCATCTGGTTTGGGCTTAGTGGGACTATCATTTGTTTTTCAACAGGACAATGACCCAACACACCTCCAGGCTGTGTAAGAGCTATTTTACCAAGAAGGAGAGTGATGGAGTATTGCATGCGGAGATCATCCGTTCACCCACACCGCGTCTCACAAAGACACAGCGGTTGGAATAAAAAATCTCAAATTTGGACTCCAGACCAAAGGACAAATTTCCACCGGTCTAATGTCCATTATTCGTGTTTCTCTTCTTGTTATTGGTGTCCTTTAGTAGTGGTTTCTTTGCAGCAATTCGACCATGAAGGCCTGATTCACGCAGTCTCCTCTGAACAGTTGATGTTGAGATGCGTCTGTGACTTGAACTCTGTGAAGCATTTATTTGGAATGCAATTTCTGAGGCTGGTAACTCTAATGAACTTATCCTCTGCAGCAGAGGTAACTCTGGGTCTTCCATTCCTGTGGTGGTCCTCATGAGAGCCAGCTTCATCATAGCGTTTGATGGTTTTTGCGATTGTACTTGAAGAAACTTTCAAAGTTCTTGACATTTTCCGTATTGACTGACCTTCATTTCTTAAAGTAATGGTGGACTGTCATTTCTCTTTGCTTATTTGAGCTGTTCTTGCCATAATATGGACTTGGTCTTTTACCAAATAGGGCTATCTTCTGTATACCCCACCTACCTTTTCACAACACAACTGATTGGCTCAAACGCATTAAGAAGGAAAGAAATTCCACAAATTAACTTTTAAGAAGGCACACCTGTTAATTGAAATGCATTCCAGGTGACTACCTAATGAAGCTGGTTGAGAGAATTCCAAGAGTGTGCAAAGCTGTCAAGGCAAAGGGTGGCTATTTGAAGAATCTCAAATATAAAATGTTGTTAAAATTTGTTTTGGTTACTACATGATTCCATATGTGTTATTTAATAGTTTTGATGTCTTCACTATTATTCTACAATGTAGAAAATGGTAAAAATAGAGAAAAACCCTGGAATGAGTAGGTGTGTCCAAACTTTTGACTGGTATTATATATATACATTTATATGTGTGTCCCCCTCCACTTCTAAAACCAAAGTTGAGCCCATGCCTAAGGATATGCCCAACCAACTGCCATAGCAAACCCATGGGGGCCAACAGTGTATACTAATGGAGGGGGTTGGTATCGTAGAGAGTAGCCTGGCAATTAGTTCAGCCCTTCCTGTTTATTCGCCAGGAGATGTTTCTTGAAGCCTGATCACCATGGTTATCACCAACGGTTACTGTGGAGACACCTTAATTGTGGCCAATTAGACCCCCCTCCCCCCCCAGGAAATGGCGCTGTCTTATCAGCTGAAATAATGTCGGCAAAGCAAACCCTCTTGTGATGATTTGATATGAGTAAAGGGAGAGAATGAGAGAGGGAAAAGGTAGAGAAAGGACGATGAGAGGGAGAGCTGTTGTAGAAAAGGGGCGCTAGATAAAGGGAATAACCTTTATAGCCGGAGTGAAAAACTGGTGTGTGTGTGTGAGTGAGAGAGTGTGTGACCTCTGGCAGGGTCCACAGGCTGGCGGTGCACCACTTCAGTGTACTCCACATCAGGCTCATTATTAGACGCTGCACTGCTCTCCACATCACTGCCTGCACCAGGACAAGATACACATACATTCCATCACACAAAACAGCCCAAGAAGACAGAGGCAGATTTTAGACAACACAACTTGAAATCTATAAGCAACTTAGGTTATAACACTCTTTATGAACCCTCTATGGATGTACTCAGTTGGTCTCACCTGGGTCTACCGGCCTCTCGCTCCAGACACTTAGAGCAGCGTCCACTCCCACTGCAAGACACAAACACACAGATACACACAGACATAAAGCAATGCTCCCCGACACAAGCTAGGAGATCTAATGATCCAAGATTCCCAGTGAAGTTACTGCCCAGTGAAGTCAAATGACTGTTAGGGGTAACAGGAGATTGAGACTTAGGGGCCCTATTAAATTAAAACCGCCAACCGGAAAGTTCCGAGGCGAGGTAAAACATTTAGTAGACAGTTATGTCTATTGTTTCACAAGTTACAATATTATTCCAACGCTTGAAAGAATTTAAAATAGTGAATTCCCCCACTTTACATTTTTTATTGAATTGATTAGAGACCGTATGAGAACATACTGTAACAAAGGAGGAGTGGATATCAGGACTCCATGTTGATTTCCACAGAGCTGTTCCGGTGCCTTATGCACACTGGCTACTGTTTGGTAAACAACAGGAACACAATAGCTCCCTGCAAAAACAACTTCCCATTACAACTTCCCATTCGTTAATGCAATCCCAGATTCTATCGAACCTCAGACTGGGCCTAAGTGATTCATTTCCTCCACCTGCTGCCTGCATTCAAACTCGACTGGCCTGAAACAAACAGTCTGCCCCAAAGTCCACTATTTAACAAACCCCCTTTTATAAATGGATGGTGCCAACATAGGAAATTCCACACAGACGCTATTGTTTCAGTATTCCAGCAAGGCAACCTTAGCTAGTACACTCCTTTAGGGGTGTTGCGTCTTAATGTACTTTAGCCAACATATTAAGATACTAATATACACTGAATGTAGAAAACATTAAGAACAGCTTCCTAATATTGAGATGCACCCCCTTTTGCCCTCAGAACAGCCTCAATTCGTCGGGGCATGGACTCTACATGGTGTCGAAAGCGTTCCACAGGGATTTGCGGCCCAAGTTGACTCAAATGTTTCCCACAGTTGTGTCAAGTTGGCTGGATGTCCTTTGGGTGGTGGACCATTCTTGATACACACGGAAAACTATTGCGCGTGAAAAACCCAGCAGCGTTGCATTTCTTGACAAACCGGTGTGCCTGGCACCTACTACCATACCCCGTTCAAAGGCACTCAAATCTTTTGTCTTGCCCATTCACCCTCTGAATGGCACACATGCACAATCCATGTCTCAATTGTCTCAAGGCTTAGAAATCCTTCTTTAACCTGTCTCCTCCCCTTCATCTACACTGATTGAAGTGGATTTAACAAGTGACATCAATAAGGGATCATAGCTTTCACCTGGATTCACCTGGTCAGTCTATGTCATGGAAATAGCAGGTGTCACTAATGTTTAGTACACTCAGTGCAGCTACACAGCATTATAGAAATTCATTGGTATCTATGAAAAGAAAATGCACGGTATTGACACATTGCTAAATAAAACCAACTTTTTATTCTAGAAGTGCTTCTTCAAAATCAATCAATTAACCAACCCAAATATACATACACACATTTCTATTGATGATCCTCTAGTCTAGTGTATATACAGCATCAGATCTATGCATTTAGACATGCACACATTGTTTTTGGACAAACAGACAATTCGATAGACATGCAGTCAGACAGGGAGACAGACAGGACAGACACAGTGAGGTGAGAACACAGGACAAAGACAGTATGTTGATAATGACAGGAAAGTACAGCTCTTCCAGACAGCAGCAGGAGAGGAGAGGGAGCAATGGGGCCAGTTCAACTGTCTGTCACTGGGACTGATGTTGGCAACAAGCCCCTTGGTGTCGGCCATCTTGTGTCCACTACACCTGTACCCTTTGAAATGACATCTACAACACATAACAAAGAAGACAATATTTCTCAAAGGAAGACATTTTGGCCATTCTTCCCTCTCTAAAAAGTCTGTGGGAATTTTGTTTGTTTGAGCCACTGTTCCAAATGTTGTTATCCTTGGTTTTTCGTCCCATATACCCCTTTATTCAACCAAGTGGTGCAAAATGTTTGTTATTTTTTGGTTCAAACCAAAAAAGTCCCTCCCTCTGTGGGGTTTCTCTACACTGTTGCTGGGAGACTGTAGCTGCTCCTGTTGCTGATGTCAGCAGGAAGTGATGCCACACTATCTCGCGTCCCATTGGTCGCTCTCCCCTCCATGCCGTCAAAGGTTGGCACTGCGTCTGTAATAAGATGATATGGCCACTCTCAACAAATACTCAACACCCAACACAATCACTACTGAACACAGCTACCCTGTAGCTAGCTACATCTTGCAAACCACTGCATAATCTGCACATCTAATGAGGCATGTTTGCTGGAGTAAAACATCAATTGTTAAGACCTGCATCGATTTGTATATAAGGAACTAAGCTACTTTTCCTGTCTAAACACACACACACTGCAAGCTTCTCTGCCATGTCCTCTCTCATGCATTCCAAGTTACACAGGATGTCTACAGCTGGACGATAAGACAATGCATTTTTGTTCCTCTAACAGGAAAATATGAGCAGAGGAGATGCAGAGAGTTAAGAAAACAAAGTCACCTAAGGTCACCTCAGAGACCCCTACATGCACACAGTACAGGTGTCATGGTATGGACTGACATTAGGATGACAACTTCTGACAACCAACATGCTACAAGCAGCTAGCATGCTAACAGCTAGCATGAAATGGAACACACGAATGGGGCGTGAGACAGACGCAGGCAGTTAAATGTCTGTTATGGTTTGAAGCATGACGATAGGTCAAGACGGAACACAGAGGAGAGAGTAGGAAAACAGGCTACCTTTGGGAGGGTTATAAACCTCCATAGTGCTGTGGGTAAGACTCACTGTTAGAGAGTCATCTGATTTAGGGCTCGAAGGCTTTCTGAGAAATTGTGAAAATAAAGTCAACGTTGGCAGTGACACAACGAGAGATAATTTCTTAATTCTAGGACCCTTAAAGCTTATTAAAGGGATAGTTAATTCATTATAAAATCAAAGGTTGTTAAATGTTTTCAGATCACACCTAAAATGAAATGGTGCTTATCATTCACATTTATTTGGGATTGAGGCATATGGCCGGATCTACATAACATATACCATGGAACATGGATGAATCTTGTCAATAGACCACTTTCAAGATCTGAAAACATCTGACAAACTTTTCATTTTGGAGTAAACTATCCCTTTAAGGCCCATTTGGGTGTGCTGTATGTGTCAACATAGTGCTAAGCATTGATCAAAAACCATTGGCGCCAGCTAATGCTATCATCCTAGATAGCCACCATCACAGAAAACTACTTGTGTGTTGTATTCAGAGCAAAGCAAATAGGCAAGCCAACTCACACTGACAGTTCAGCTGCGTTCTCTCTTTTACCTATACAATAAAGAGAAGGGGAGGAGAGAGAGAAGAGGTTGTTCATACATAGTCAGACACCAGCAAAGGCCTGTGTTGCTGGGGGACTGTAGGTCTCTCTACCTCTCTTGGAATTGTAACGCAGCACGCAGCCGAGGACCAGGACAGCCACCACCAGCAGACAGCAGGCCACGATCAAACCTTTCTTCCACATTGCCATCTTCACTGTAGAGAGAAAGGGAGAGAGAGAGAGGAAGGGAGGAAAAGGGAGAGTGGGAGAGGTAGGGAGAGAGATGCAGGGAGAGGGGGGAGGTAGTCAGGGTGTTTGTGAGAGGCAAAGGGTAAAGGTTAAAAGAAAGTTAGGGTGGGTGGAGATGAGGACAGAGGATGATGGTTGAAAGAGGGAGAGAGAAAAAGTCAATCTTAAAGTTCAGAGTCAAACGTCCATCTGCTTCCTCCTCTTGGGGTCTGAACTTAAGTGTTCCCTTCATTTCCCCTCTCCTCCTCATCCCCCTATCCTCTGCCTTGCCACTGTAGCTGCTGTAGTGCCAATATGGGGACTGAAGCAGGCTGGGTCTAATTGCTCTGGCTAATGAGTGCTAGCCATGTCGTGCTGAGGAGTCACGTTCCATGGGAGCCTAGCGCGTCGCAACTAGCATCCGGATTGACGTTGTGCTCTCGCGTTAGCCGTCGGCGCTAACCACACCACAGGACATAGATGTCAGAGTGGCTACGGGCCAAGGTTAGCTTAGCGGCAGGGTATTTAGCGTGGCTCATGCTAATCAGCGCCACAGCAGAGGAGCTCATTGGGGTTTATTAATAGGCTTGCTGGCAGGCACTGGGGTGGAGGGATCAGATAAAGATTGAAAGACCCAAACTTGTCAGTTGTCACTGAAGCAGCCCCTGAAGAGTGTCGTGAGAAGAACAAAGCTGTCGCTACTGGTCCAAAGCAGAGGGTCTTTAGTTTTTACACAAGTGGTACTGTGAAAGCAAATGAAGCTAGACTGCTGCATTCAGTAAGAGTAGTAAAGAAATGTATGTCTCTATGGTGGAGTGTGTGGACTCCCACTGTGTGGTGTTTGCCTGTCTCTCAACCTATTGTGATAAGTACAGCAGGGCCTTGCATATCACTGTACATGTGTGTGTGCATAACTCTCACCAACTACAGTGACTAGCTGGCTCTGGACCATGTTAGCGTAGTTGATGGCCTCGCAGTAGTAGTTGCCACTGTGCTCATTGCCCACTCCCTTGATCTGGTGGGACGCGCTGGATTGGGTTGAGGTGGTGGTGAACAGGGGCTGGACGTTGCCTCTTCGGTACCACTTAAAGGTGACGGGCGGGGAACCTTCCACCCCACAGATCAGGTACATCTCATCTCCCTCTGCGACCTCCGACAGGTCTGGGAGGACGGTGAGTCCTGGATTGGACAGAGGAACTGGGAGAGGGAGTGGCTAGTGTCAGGTGGTGTGGAGGTTGGTGGTGTAATGATACTTCAAGGTATTTCTGATTATTAAATAATAAGTGTCCAATAATGCTACAATCCAATGAAGCATGAATGTGCTCAGTGTTGTATACCATTCCATACTTTAACAGGCTCACCTATGACTGTGGTGTTGAGTTTGTTGCTGACCAACGCGTCGACTTTGGGGTTGTTCTGCGCCTCGCATTTATAATCCTGTATGTCGCTGTAGTGCTGGATGGTGATAGGGAAGACGGCCTGGTGATGTGGCTGCTGCACGGTGGTTGAGTTAACCTCAGAATACTTCTTCCACAAGGTGTACTTGATGGGTAGGCTGCCTCGGTCTGAGTGACAGCGCACCTGGAAGGGCTTTCCCACGATCACTCTGCCATTGGCCGTTATATCCGGTTTACTGACCAGAACTGGGGAAAGAACAGAACAAGGAAAGTGACTGAAATTACAAAATGGACTGTTAATGTGGAGAGGTCCATGACATCACCAATGACATCATCAACATTACTAAGCAGCTACACGTATGACTAAACTTCAACTCAAAGATTGTATCTGAGTCAAGGTTGAAATTTAAAACAATTTCCCAAACTGTCATTCTTGATTGGAGTTCCCCTTTAATATCATATTGTTGTGAGAGATACTTTATCCATACAGGTTATCAGCATATCCTTATGAATATCCTTATTTTACCAGGTAAGTTGACTGAGAACACATTCTCATTTACAGCAACGACCTTGGGGAATAGTTACATGGGACAGGAGGGGGGATGAATGAGCCAATTGGAAGCTGGGGATGATTAGGTGGCCATGATGGTATGAGGGTCCAGATTGGGAATTTAGCTAGGACACTGGAGTAAACACCCCTACACTTACGTTAAGTGCCATGGGACCTTTAGTGACCACAGAGAGTCAGGACACCCTGTTTAACATCCCATCTGAAAGACTGCATCCTACACAGGGCAATGTCCCCAATCACTGCCCTGTGGCATTGGGATATTTTTTTTTGACCAGAGGAAAGAATGCCTCCTACCATCCCTCCAACACCACTTCCAGCAGCATCTGGTCTCCCATCCAGGTACCGACCAGGACCAACCCTGCTTAGCTTCAGAAGCAAACCAGCAGTGGAATGCAGAGTGGTATGCTGCTGGCGATTAACTAAATTAATTTATTCAAAGACAAGTGAGATTGACTAACTTTGGGTCACACATAAAGCCTTATGTGCAGTAGTCATACCTTTTGCTTGGACAGGCAGCTTTGCACTGTACTTGGAGATCAACTTGGCATCTGCTTTACATGAGTAATTCCCACTCAGGTTCCGTAACCCCACAGGGACAACATATATCCCATTGAAGCTGCCTGGCGTCAGGTTGTAATTGTCTATGTAAATGGTGTATTTCACATCCTGAGCGCTGATTCTGTCAGAGGAGTAGTTGGCACTCTTGCAGGTTAACGTGAGTTTCTCCCTTTCAAACACCTCTGTCGGATATATGGTCAGGACTGGCTGGGAAAACAGTTCTGTTGGGTAAAACATTGATTACTCACACTCTTGGAGGCTGAGTACATGTAAGAACATTCACGAGAAATGTTGTGATCAACATTGATAAGCGTCATAGGTTGATAACAAAAAAAGGTAATAGCTGTGAATAGGGTTGGAAAATTCCAGGCACTTTTCCCAAAATGGCCAGGTTTTTCCAGAAATCCTGGTTGGAGGATTCTGGATTTCCTGTTTATTCCCTCCTGATTCCAGGAATCTTCCAACCAGGATTTTTGGAAAACCTAGGAATTTGAGGAAAAGATCACCAGAATGTTTTTACCCTAGCTTGGTTTATAAACTGATAGAGCAGATAATAGCTTTTTGATAAGCTTTTTTCAACAGCTAACACCACATTCTACATTTCAGATTAGTTATAAATCCATTCACTCACCTGTAATCGTCACGTTTTTCGTTGCTCGCTTGACTACATTTCCCATCTCCAAACTGCATTCAAACTCCCCAGAGTGCTCGGCCAGGGCTCTCATGCTGTGGTTGGCTTTACTCTGACCAGTACTCAGCAGATTCAGTCCCTTGCTCAGGTAGACTTTGAGCCCAGAGCTGTTCTGTAGGTTACCACTGACACTGCAGGAGATGTCCAGATTGTCCCCTTCGATGATCTTTGATCCGTGTGGTCGGACAGAGATTACAGGTGTGATGAACAGCTCTGGAGGACAAAAATAGGAAAATTGGTCTGGAAGCATAAGGTTGAAACCGAGAGACTTTTCCCAGACACGTTCTATGAAGTTTAGGACATGGTTAAAATGATTAGAGATTAATTGAGATTGAGAACAGTAGGGGCTAGTTTCCCAGACACAGATTAAATGTGGTCCTGGACAAAAAATATATTTCGAATGAGAATCTCCACTGAAAGTGTGTTTCAGTCCAAGACTAGGCTTAACCTGTGACTTGGAAACCGGCCCTAGATGTTCACCCACCATTTACAGTGACCGCCACATTGTTGCTGGCATTGGATCGTACCGAGTCTGGCAGCAGTATGACCCTGTAGTCACAGTGTAGCTTGCGGTCGCCAGCGTGGTTGAACCGCAGCCTAGTCTCCACCTGGTTGGTCATAATAATATAACAATGTTAACTACAAAAGGACATTTCCTAAAGTAACAGTACCAGCCAAAAGTTTGGACACAACTATGAAATAACACATGGAATCATGTAGTAACCAAAAAAGTGTTAAACAAATCAAAATATATTTTATATGATATTCTTCAAAGTAGCCACCCTTTGCCTTGATGACAGCTTTGCACACTCTTGGCATTCTCTCAACCAGCTTCATGAGGTAGTCACCTGGAATGCATTTCAATTAACGGGTGTGCCTTCTTAAAAGTTAATTTGTGGAATTTATTTCCTTCTTAATACGTTTGTGCCAATCAGTTGTGTTGGGGGGGGTATACAGAAGATATCCCTATTTGGTAAAAGACCAAGTCCATATTATGGCAAGAACAGCTCAAATAAGCAAAGTGAAATGACAGTCCATCTTTACTTTAAGACATGAGGTCAGTCAATCCGGAAAATGTCAAGAACTTTGAAAGTCGCAAAAACCATCAAGCGCTATGATGAAAATGGCTCTCACGAGGACCGCCACAGGAAAGGAAGACCCAGAGTTACCTCTGCTGCAGAGGATAAGTTCATTAGAGTTACCAGCCTCAGAAATTGCAGCCCAAATAAATGCTTCACAGAGTTCAAGTAACAGACACATCAACATCAACTGTTCAGAGGAGACTGCGTGAATCAGGCCTTCATGGTCGAATTGCTGCAAAGAAACCACTACTAAAGGACACCAATAACAAGAAGAGAAACACGAGTAATGGACATGAGACCGGTGGAAATCTGTCCTTTGGTCTGATGAGTCCAAATTTGAGATTTTTAGTTCCAACCGCCGTGTCTTTGTGAGACGCAGAGTAGGTGAACGGATGATCTCCGCGTGTGTGGTTCCCATTGTGAAGCATGGAGGAGGTGTGATGGTGCTTTGCTGGTGACAATGTCTGTGATTTATTTAGAATTCAAGGCACACTTAACCAGCATGGCTACCAGAGCATTCTGCAGTGATACGCCATCCCATCTGGTTTGGGCTTAGTGGGACTATCATTTGTTTTTCATCAGGACAATGACCCAACACACCTCCAGGCTGTGTAAGGGCTATTTGACCAAGAAGGAGAGTGATGGAGTGCTGCATCAGATGACCTGGCCTCCACAATCACCCGACCTCAACCCAATTTAGATGGTTTGGGATGAGTTGGACCGCAGAGTGAAGGAAAAGCACCCAACAAGTGCTCAGCGTATGTGGGAACTCCTTCAAGACTGTTGGAAAAGCATTCCAGGTGAAGCTGGATGAGAGAATGCCAAGAGTGTGCAAAGCTGTCATCAAGGCAAAGGCTGGCTACGTTGAAGAATCTAACATATATTTTGATTTGTTTAACACTTTTTTTGTTACTTCATGATTCCATATGTGTTATTTCATAGTTTTGATGTCTTCACTATTATTCTACAAGGTAGAAACTAGTAAAAATAAAGAAAAACCTGTTGAATGAGTAGGTGTGTCCAAACTTTTGACTGGAGCTGTATGTTTGGGAAATAAGTTGTAGTGGGGTAAAAAACCTTAGCAAGCACACTCAATATTAACACACATGGTTGGTGTTGACCATCTGCTCATGGAGGTCCTTGGAGTCCTCATAGAAGTAGAAGACAATAGTGCCGGACTCCTCAGGGGCCGTACACCAAACGGTCACCTCCTCTCCCTCGCTGAACACACGCTTGTCGATGCTGAGGACTGGCGTCTGCAGGCCTGGATGGACACGAGTATGAGTGAAGGCACGCAGACATGCACAGATAAAACACATGCCATAGGCACACAGAGTTACAGGAGACTACATTCACACAGGAGACCAGTATTTTTATTGTCACATGTGCAGGATACAGCAGGTGTAAAACAGTACAGTGAAATGCTTAACTTGCGAGCTTTTCAGTCTATAACAGAGAGGAGCACTAACCTGTCACAGTCAGTTTCTCAGAGTTGCTGCTTAGCTCCTTGCCCTGTATGTTCACCTTGCATTTGTACTTCCCAGTGTTGGCCACTCTGGCCATGCGCAGAGAGTAGAGTAGATCCTCGGTGGTGGTGGTGTTCTTAGTGTACACCACGGTGTTGTCCTTGTAGATGGTGTATTCACGGTTCAGGAACCCAGAGCTGCTGACTAAGGCCTGGCAGCGTACCGTCACGATGGTACCCCGGGAGACGGTTTTGCTGGGCTCGAGAGTCAGGGTGACACTTCGGATGGTGAACACTGAAGAAAGAACTCAACGTCAATGCTCTGACTGATCAAACATTCTGTATGAAAAAAGTCCTATAAAACAAGCCTGTGTGATCTTGTACCAAAGCACATTATCTAGTGAATTCATACACTTGGTAGTGGCATGAATCTGCTCACTGAGGCAAAAAATACATCTCCATAGTAAGAGAATAGTGCAATAAAAACAGTTCTACAGTGAGGGAAAAAAGTATTTGATCCCCTGCTGATTTTGTACGTTTGCCCACTGACAAAGACATGATCAGTCTATAATTTTAATGGTAGGTTTATTTGAACAGTGAGAGACAGAATAACAAAACAAAAATCCTGAAAAATGCATGTAAAAAATGTTATAAATTGAGTTGCATTTTAATGAGGGAAATAAGTATTTGACCCCTCTGCAAAACATGACTTAGTACTTGGTGGCAAAACCCTTGTTGGCAATCACAGAGGTCAGACGTTTCTTGTAGTTGACCACCAGGTTTGCACACATCTCAGGAGGGATTTTGTCCCACTCCTCTTTGCAGAGCTTCTCCAAGTCATTAAGGTTTCGAGGCTGACGTTTGGCAACTCGAACCTTCAGCTGCCTCCACAGATTTTCTATGGGATTAAGGTCTGGAGACTGGCTAGGCCACTCCAGGACCTTAATGTGCTTCTTCTTTTCAGTCCTTCACGGCGTAGTATGTTACCAATTGTTTTCTTGGTGACTTGAGATCATTGACAAGATCCTTCCGTGTAGTTCTGGGCTGATTCCTCACCGTTCTCATGATCATTGCAACTCCACGAGGTGAGATCTTGCATGGAGCCCCAGGCCGAGGGAGATTGACAGTTATTTTGTGTTTCTTCCATTTGCGAATAATCGCACCAACTGTTGTCACCTTCTCACCAAGCTGCTTGGCGATGGTCTTGTAGCCCATTCCAGCCTTGTGTAGGTCTACAATCTTGTCCCTGACATGCTTGGAGAGCTCTTTGGTCTTGGCCATGGTGGAGAGTTTGGAATCTGATTGATTGATTGCTTCTGTGGACAGGTGTCTTTTATACAGGTAACAAGCTGAGATAGGAGCACTCCCTTTAAGAGTGTGCTCCTAATCTCAGCTCGTTACCTGTATAAAAGACACCTGGGTGCCAGAAATCTTTCTGATTGAGAGGGGGTCAAATACTTATTTCCCTCATTAAAATGCAAATCAATTTATAACATTTCTGACATGCGTTTTTCTGGATTTGTTTGTTGTTATTCTGTCTCTCACTGTTCAAATAAACCTACCATTAAAATTATAGACTGATCATGTCTTTGTCAGTGGGCAAACGTACAAAATCAGCAGGGGATCAAATACTTTTTTCCCTCACTGTATATAGCTAGTCATCTTAAAGCTCCAAGATACTCAGGAGATGGAATCACTCACACCAATGAATTGGACATAAACACAGACCCTCAACAAAAACAACACACAAAGTATTTTGATTCAGTGTCTGCTGATAGTGAACTGTTTTCCCACGTTTGTCCGCCACAGAGTGCTTCTCTAGATAAAGGGGACTCCCAGTGGGGTCTAGTGTAGGCACGCATGACTGTAAGTCGCTTTGGATAAAAGCGTCTGCTAAATGGCATATTATTATTATAGTGCGGAGCGGGCAGTTCTGTCAGGTTGAGACCCCCAGTCTGGGGTGTTCCCGTCCCGAGGGGGACGTCCCAGTAAACAGACCCCCGCCAGCCAGAGGAAGGAAAAGCATTTTGTTAAACAGGCAAACAGACCCATCGCTATTTTAGCCACCGCCGTCCCCACCCAACGTCACTCAGCAGGGCCCGGCGCGACCAAGGGGAAAACCACTGATAGGGGGGCAGAGGGTAGTGAGCAGTGCCAACCAGTGCACGAGCCATAGCGGACCCCCATGGAAAGGGTGTGTGACCACTGACCAGCCTTGGCAAAGCCAATAAGTCAACTTTCCTGCTTAGAATAGGGGTATTCTGCTTTTCCAAGTACAGAATTGCTAATCTCGGTATGGTCAGGATAAGGTGTCCATCTCTACCACTGGCTAGCTGGCCTCATTCCTCTCCCCAGTGCCTGGCTTTTTTCCCTGTCCTAACAGCAGGAGAAGGCGTGTGACACTGCTAACAAATTAGTTCCCAAAGCCTTCCTCCACAACTTTTCCACAGTCTCAGACTCCAAAACAGTGAAAACACTGATAAGACAACAAGATCCAGGGACCATTCTCATAGGATTCCCTGTTATGGTATTTCCAGTGCGTCAATACAGTTTAACCTGTGTTGATACTACGATTAGGGTATATCAGTCACCTCTCAGTATAAGATATGTCTTAGTAAAACAGGCCCATAGTGTTAGAAAGATGTAGATAAGCAAGAACGTCCAGTCCCAATGCACACTATCTACGAATACACCAACTTTCACAGAAAGGAGAAACAAAACAATAGCTGAATAGATACAAAAGAATAACCTGAAATACACTCAGAGTTCCATTGTTTTGATAACTGTACCCACTGCACTCTTGACAATCCCATTTTAAGAATCTCCTCAAGAACAGAACACTTTAATACTTACATGCCTGTGATTCCGCCACCTGGCCTGGATGGAACAGGAGGGAAAAAAAACACACAGTACATCAACATAAAGAAAATCCATACTTCCTTATTTCCCCACACAATCCAAAACCCTCCCAAAGGTAGATTATCATCAAGCTTCATTACAGGTGGAGAGGAGTATGAAGGTGAGCAGTAGTAGTCGGGTGCCCATCCTGAGTGAGTGCTGCTGGGGATCCCACATTGGTGGTGTCTGTCCTGGGCTGATGCGACTGGAGCTCAGGAGGTTGAAGACTGACTGGGGGACAGTGGTGGGAGGGGAGGAGGGAGAGGACAGGGGAGGTGCTCTACCTCAGCCACAGAGTGGGCCGCCAGGCCGCTGGTTATCACAGTGAGCAGAGCCCTCGACATGCCTTCATTTGCCAGGAAGTGACTGTTGTTTCCTCAGGATGTGTGAGCTGCTGGCGCTTTGTTGTTTTGGAATGTTCTCTTTCTGGGCCGTGTGTGTAGTCATAGACACTGCTCAGCATGCTTAGGGTGCAGTAGGCAGGAGCTAACCTTTGCCCCCCAGTGTCTGGGCCTCTGCAGGTACTACATAAAAAAAAAAACATTTTAGTCATTTAGCAGACGCTAAAGAGCGACTTACAGTTAAGTGAGTGCATACTGGCCCCCCGTGGGAATCGAACCCACAACCCTGGCATTGCAAGCGCCATGGTCTACCTACTGAGCTACTATGGGGCAACATGGAGTGGGGCACCCCTGCTTCTGTGCTCAGGAGAGCCCGTTTCCTGAGGGTAGGATATCCCACTGTGCTCATTCGTTACAACAATTTACACTGTTGTAAATCACAGCCTGCCCTTCAAAGCTGTTGAACTACTGTGAACTTAAGCCCTTTGTTACGATTTTGTTTAACACTACTACTGAGATACCTACCGCCAGACATATTGTACCTTATCGGATGAATTTATTATAACAAAATAAACTGTTTTACTTAAGCAATAAGGCCCGAGGGGGTGTGGTATATGGCCAATATACCACGGCTAAGGGCTGTTCTTATGCACGACGCAACGTGGAGTGTTAGGACACAGCCCTTAGCCGTGGTATCTTGGCCATATATCACAAACCCCAGAGGTGCCTTATTGCTATTAAAATTAGAACAGTAAAAAGTAAAGTTTTGTCATACCCATGGTATACGGTCTGATATACCATGGCTTTCAGCCAATCAGCATTCAGGGCTCGAACCACCCAGTTTATAATATGATCTATAACACTCTTACCTTTGTACCAATTTCTTAAGGGCAGGGTTGGGTAAGTTACTTTCTAAATGTAATCCGTTAAAGTTACTAGTTACCTGTCCAAAATTGTAAAAAGTAACGTAACTTTTGGATTACCCTAACTCAGTAATGACTTTCCCCTTAAGAGGCATTAGAAGACAAAAATGATACATCAAACGCATTTGGTGTGTCATCATAGTAGTCTGACTTGTGGTCAGACTCGCTCAGATGGAACAAACTTAAACTGGCACTTTTTTTCAATGCTGACTTGAATGTCATTGAGAAAACAGAAAGGGGTCAATTTATTTTTTTGTTCAAGAACCAGCAACCTCTTTATACCCCCTTAAGCTGGGTTGGGCATTAACTGATTACATGTAATCACGCACATGTAATCTAATTACATATAATCTGATTACAAAACAAACAAATCTGTTACGTTACCAGCAATAACGTAATCAGATTACGGATACTTTTGAATGTTTGCCTGATATCCAATTGGACAGGACAGTGTGTGACTGGACTTATTTTAGCTCCTGCCCTGACTCCAGTTAAGGCAAACGTACAGTGGGGAGAACAAGTATTTGATACACTGCCGATTTTGCAGGTTTTCCTACTTACAAAGCATGTAGAGGTCTGTAGTTTTTATCATAGGTACACTTAAACTGTGAGAGACGGAATCTAAAACAAAAATCCAGAAAATCACATTGTATGATTTTTAAGTAATTAATTTGCATTTTATTGCATGACATGAGTATTTGATCACCTACCAACCAGTAAGAATTCCGTCTCTCACAGACCTGTTAGTTTTTCTTTAAGAAGCCCTCCTGTTCTCCACTCATTACCTGTATTAACTGCACCTGTTTGAACTCGATACCTGTATAAAAGACACCTGTCCACACACTCAATCAAACAGACTTCAACCTCTCCACAATGGCCAAGACCAGAGAGCTGTGTAAGGACATCAGGGATAAAACTGTAGACCTGCACAAGGCTGGGATGGGCTACAGGACAATAGGCAAGCAGCTTGGTGAGAAGGCAACAACTGTTGGCGCAATTATTAGAAAATGGAAGAAGTTCAAGATGACAGTCAATCACCCTCGGTCTGGGGCTCCATGCAAGATCTCACCTCGTGGGGCATCAATGATAATGAGGAAGGTGAGGGATCAGCCCAGAACTACACAGCAGGACCTGGTCAATGACCTGAAGAGAGCTGGGACCACAGTCTCAAAGAAAACCATTAGTAACACACTATGCCATCATGGATTAAAATCCTGCAGTGCACGCAAGGTCCCCCTGCTCAAACTAGCGCATGTCCAGGCCCGTCTGAAGTTTGCCAATGACCATCTGGATGATCCAGAGGAGGAATGGGAGAAGGTCATGTGGTCTGATGAGACAAAAATAGAGCTTTTTGGTCTAAACTCCACTCGCCGTGTTTGGAGGAAGAAGAAGGATGAGTACAACCCCAAGAACACCATCCCAACCGTGAAGCATGGAGGTGGAAACATCATTCTTTGGGGATGCTTTTCTGCAAAGGGGACAGGACGACTGCACCGTATTGAGGGGAGGATGGATGGGGCCATGTATCGCAAGATCTTGGCCAACAACCTCCTTCCCTCAGTAAGAGCATTGAAGATGGGTCGTGGCTGGGTCTTCCAGCATGACAACGACCCGAAACACACAGCCAGGGCAACTAAGGAGTGGCTCCGTAAGAAGCATCTCAAGGTCCTGGAGTGGCCTAGCCAGTCTCCAGACCTGAACCCAATATAAAATCTTTGGAGGGAGCTGAAAGTCCGTATTGCCCAGCGACAGCCCCGAAACCTGAAGGATCTGGAGAAGGTCTGTGTGGAGGAGTGGGCCAAAATCCCTGCTGCAGTGTGTGCAAACCTGGTCAAGACCTACAGGAAACGTATGATCTCTGTAATTACAAACAAAGGTTTCTGTACCAAATATTAAGTTCTGCTTTTCTGATGTATCAAATACTTATGTCATGCAATAAAATGCAAATTAATTACTTAAAAATCATACAATGTGATTTTCTGGATTTTTGTTTTAGATTCCGTCTCTCACAGTTGAAGTGTACCTATGATAAAAATTACAGACCTCTACATGCTTTGTAAGTAGGAAAACCTGCAAAATCGGCAGTGTATCAAATACTTGTTCTCCCCACTGTATCTGTACTTCCAGACCAGTAGGATTCTATTCCATGTCTAAACTCAGATAGGGGACTGCTAGTTGGCAAGTATCATTGGTTATCAATTAAGCTCTATCTCTTTATGCTGAGGCTTTCTTGACCTTTAACCATAGACAAGCCAAAGTCATGGCAAACAGAGAAACAGTTAACAAAGTTAAGGCCTCTATTCAATCTGTCTCGCTGAAGTGTTACAGATTGCCCGATAGAAATGTAAAGGTAATTTCCCATTGAGCTGAGATATGCAGCATTTATAGTGAATGCAGTCTCTGCTAACGTAGGAACATTGCCATATAATTTCAATTACGCTGAACTTCCGCAATACGGATTGAATAGACCTAAATCAGATTTTATTCAGAATATTCATGAAATACCAAACAAAGAATAAATACAAGGATTCAGAATGGAAAACTAAAACAAAACGTAGCAAGCAGCACCTCGAATCTCAGGCTTAATGAAGTCTTTGATATGAAATTCATATCAGGACTGATTTTCACATCACAGACACTCACTCTTCAGGGGACGTTTTGAAGCGGTCTGGTGAGGAGGATAATATGCCTGATAAAAAGTGTTATATTTATTTAAATAAAACATTCCAGATACACCGATATGATAATGAAATGAATATTGTGACGCAATAGCAGATACATTTGTCTTACACGTTACATGTAGAACTGTATAATGAGAGCATGAACATTAACACACACATGAACACACACACCAACAAAAAAAAACACCAGGAAAACCAGTCTTGTTGTGTATTTGGTTTATTTTACTGACTTCACCTCCTGTCTTATAAACCAGTCAGCAAAGCAGTCTACCGTCACAGAGAAACACCTGATTGTTTTCAATTTTTCCTTCTATGTCTTTAAAGTTTATTTTGTTTCCATATCTAAAATGTTAAAACTCAAAGCAGGATATCTAGATGTGATTCTGAGCATGGCTGACACACAGCGCTGTGGGGTTTTTGCTGTAGGTGTCAGTGAAAGCAGTGAAGGCTGTAGTACCTCCTCCATACACTAGAGGGGGAGCTACAGAGCGTAGTGGGGCTTGGTTATGACTGCGAGTGCAGCCGCTTATACAGAACGCATGGCATGTGTTACCGGTTACCTTCAGTCCACAGGCAAAGCATTATTGTCCATTCCTTTCTAGGTTGACCTTAGAGGCAAAAAGGTGAGGGTAGCATCCATGGGTGAGTATGAGGAGAGACACCGGGTGGGAGAGAGCGTCTGTGAAAGGGGGAGAAACAGTCCTCTCCCATCTCTCCATCCCACTGAGATCCAAAGGCAAACAAACACCAGCAAATTAAAAATATAAAATTACAAAAAAGCGAGTGGGGGAAAAAAAAGTTTCAAAGAAAAACAGGAAGGTCACATCAAGAGTAACACCAGACCTTGTGGCAGTCAGACCTCTGTGTCTATCATGCGGAGACGTTGTGGTATTGTGTGGTATATTGTGGCTCATGAGGTACCTGAGCTAGTGTTGGAAGTTGACAGGAGAGCTGTGGCTTTTAACAACAAGGACACTGAACTGAAGAAGTGCTATGGAGCATTCCTGTGTATTTACCATTGGTATTACACCAAGTGAGGAAGGTCTGAAGTCACTCCTGTTTTTTGACTCAACTATCACAATCTTCTTGAAACTCCCTTTCTGCTAAAGAATATCAAACCAAACACGGCTGGCAAATAAAATCAAGGTTAAAAGAAAAAAATTAAAGATAGAAGAAAATAATTGCCGCAGACTTTTCTCCAAAAACTGTAGCGAATAGCAGGGGGGAGGTTGGTTATTGGCACACAGGGGAAAGGGCTGCCTAGGGCTGGGGTGTGTGTTTCTGGGGACAGTCCTTGCACAGTTCATGAAGTCCTCATAAGCCTGTGTGCGAGGATGCAGCAAAGTAGCAGCAGAACCCTCTCCCCACAAGACCGCTTCGTATTGCTGTCAATTGGGATGAGGGGATGCAGTGGGCGCAGTTTTTCTTCTCGTCCAGCCTCAGTGCTTCTGGCTGGGGTTATGTCTGTAGGAAAGACTGGGGATGGGCATGGTCCAAGCGGGCCTCAGCCAGAGCTCTGGAGCTGATACTTCAGGACCCCAGCGAACTTCTCCGTGTCTCCCAGTGCTGGGGCTCCTCAGGCGGGTATGGCTCAGCTGATGAGTGGGGGGTCTGGAGCTGGAGCAGCAGAGGCTTGGAGGCTGTACAGAGCACCTTGCTAATTCATTATTGCTTTGCAGGTAGGGCAGACAGGTAGCATTCAGTCTTGGGATTAGAACTGAGCAGTAGTCACCCATTGTGCTAAGGACAATGGAGATGAATGGCAAAGGTTGGTGAGTTTAGCACAATTGGGCGCATGGATGCAAGGAGGTTTGGTTAGTCCTACAGTATAGCATGGTAGTGGACATCTATATGGGCATCAGTTTGTGTCCAAGGCTGTGGGCCAACGTTGGGCTCATCTGTGCTCTGTTCTACATTTAACTTTCTCACACACCAGATGCTCCCCGTCGGTCAAAGTGCCTGGCCGTTTTGGGGGAAAAGGACGTAGTCCACCATCTTGTGAGCGAGCAGTGAGAGAAAGTCTATTAGCTATTGCAAGGGGGGGGGGGGGGGGGGCATGGGGGGGGGGGCTTTCAATAAGGGTCGTGCAGGCGTCCGTGAGCCACGCCTTTAGGTCCAGAGTCATGTGTGAGTGTGTGTGTGAGAGTAGAGAGGGAATTGTCTATCTCTTGACAACCCCTTGACCCCGATGCATAGAGGTCATAGAAAAGGTCATGTAGAGGTCATTCAGAGTTCATTCAGGTAGTGACAACGCCAGTCTGCCCCAGCCAAGGCTGGAACCTTTAAAATAGACCTATTATTTGTCTCTGTATATACGCAATTAAATATACACACTCCTCAGCACTGCCAAGTCTACAATCAATAGCTTCATAATAAGAATATGAATAAACGATCAAGAATAATAATATAAGTCATCATAACATGAGTTTGTCAGCAGCCGTCACTATAGAACATTCAGGGGTGGTAATAATTGCATATGTACATTAAAAGTCATTTACATCCTGGCTCCGAGGGGAGAGAGGTCAGGGGTCAAAGGTAAAGTTCGAGGGGGGGGGGGGGGGGGGTTGATGCTGAGGGGTTATCTGAGCCTCTTCTCCGCTGAGTAGATGGACATGTAGTAGTCGTTGCTGCCCACCGCTAGGTGGGGCTGTTGGGAGAGAGAAAGATAACAAATATAATGGACTCATAAAGACAGGTGTAAAAACATTCATTTTCCAAACCATTTAGTTTAATTAGGTGTGATGAAAAGACATGTACAAGTTAATAGGTTTTGCAGAGTATAATCCTTGTACCAACGCAATTCCAACTTATTCACTTGAATGCATTATTCACCCAAATCGTAGTTCCCATGAAATGTTTTCAAGTTGGGATTCAGACTACTATGAACAGAGTAAGAATGCCATAGTACCCAGTAGGGATGGAAGGCCAAACAGCTGATAGCCCCGATCCTTTGGCCCATGAACCCCTCATAATACTTGATGTTGCTGATGACATCACCGCTGGAGTTGTACACCGCTATGAACTGGTTCATCGATCCACTGGGAAAGGATGGCGAGAACGAGAGAATGAAAGAAAGAGTGAGAAATTAGTTTCATAGCTGCTATACCAAATGTAGCAAACGTTGAAATCGTCAGACCGTCCCCCACCTTACACCCGTTAATAACATGACATATAGTATTGACCACATTTAATTCCTAAAAAGTGAGTTTTGACCATAGAGTTTGACAGAGGGCTAAAACGGGTTAAATCCATCTAGTCCTCTATCTAACCTCCATGGTTTAGACCAATTATAAAGGCCCTTCCTGTGTTGTGCCGTGACCTGTGAACTCACCAGGCGAACAGGTTGGCCTGTGGATGGATGTCCAGCGCTGTTAACCCCTTCACCGTCTGCAGCACGTTCACAGAGTCAGGCGACCGCAGCTCGAAGAACCGCACGTCTCCATCAACACTGGGGAGGAGGATGAAGGAGTACAAACAGTACATGACCTGTCATCACATCCATTTAGATCTACAATAAGTAGGGTGCTGGTCTTGGACTGGGCCAAAGAGACAGCAAGAGAACTAGAGTGTGAGAGAGTGGAAAATAGTAGTATGACCATATTTGGGCACCCGAATATGTCACAGAAATAATCCATCAATCAATCAACCATTCAATCAATCACCAATGAGCACTACCTGACACTAATGATTTTGCCATCCGTCTGCTTCTGTAAGTGGGCCTTGACCACCCAGGACGAGTGTTCCCGGTACGTCATCACACGACTGTGGAAACAGAGGAAAAGCATCATCAACTTTACTCCACCTACAACCATGTTGTTGTTCACAGGAGAGACAGAGGAAGATGCGAAAAGTATATGCAGTGTGGGTGGATGGACTCCCACACAGTGTAAAGGTGACCGACGTGTGAGAATTTAAAGCAGTGTCATTGTGTTGAATGGAGTCTATGTTATCAATCAATCAATCAAATGTATTTCTAAAGCCCTTTTTACATCAGCAGTGTAAAGGTGACCGACGTGTGAGAATTTAAAGCAGTGTCATTGTGTTGAATGGAGTCTATGTTATCAATCAATCAATCAAATGTATTTCTAAAGCCCTTTTTACATCAGCAGATGTCACAAAGTACTATACAGATACCCAGCCTAAAACCCCAAACAGTAAGCAAGGCTGCAGTGTGTGTATATGGCCACTGGGTGTCGCCCTAAGTACATGGTATAATCACTATAGGACAGCCCCTCTCCATGGTAACAGCATCCTTGAGTGACTGAGGCACTGTGATTGAAGATTGAGGAAGAAGTTGCCCCTAACCACAGATCTAGGATTTAGATGACCTAACCTCAAATCCTAGCTTTAAGAAGTAGAAAACAAATCTGACCCTGGGCCAGCAGTAAGTAGCAATCAGAAAGCGAAAGTGAGGACCAAAACCTATCCCTGTTCCCTTCGCAAAAATAGTTGTGTAAGAGTGTGCATGAGTGTGTGTTTGCCTATGTGTGTATGCGATGCGTGTGTTTGCTTAGCCCTCTACTGGTTTTAAAGGAGAGCCAGGAAGACCACATAGGGAAAGTGTTCTACAGTCTCAGTGCCTGAGGGGAAGCTCTTAAATTAGCATTAGTTAAAGATTTATGGGACATTTTATGGCTTAATTGCTCTGTTTTCTCTTTGGGGGGGAACTAAAATAATGTTTGGCTGTGGGGGGGAAGCATTTGATGACGCACACGACCGTGTGGACACAAGATGCGGCAGGAGAGCTGGGAGCTGCACAGGTGAGAATACAGCAAAAATCACTTCATGAACAACTCATCAATTAAATTATGTACAGTGATATGAGTCATCAAATAAACAGCCAGTTTATTAAGTACACCGGGGTGTTCACGAAAATGGATCGCTCCTACAGACAGTGAGTAACGTGGCCGTGGCTTGCTATATAAAGCAGGCAGATAGGCACTGAGGCATTCAGATACTGGTCGATTGAATGTTAGAATGGGCAAAACGAGTGACCTAAGCGACTTTGAGCGTGGTATGATCATCGGTGCCAGTATCTCAGAACGGCCGCCCTCCTGGGTTTTTCCACACACGACAGTGTCTAGGGTTTACTGACAATGGTGCGACAAACAAAAAACATCCAGTCAGTGGCAGTCCTGTGGGCGAAAACAGCTTATTGATTAGAGGGGTCGAAGGAGAATGACAAGAATCGTGCACGCTAACAGGCGGGCCACAAACAGACAAATAATGGGGCAGTACAACAGTGGTGTGCAGAACGGCATCTCGGAACGCACAACTCGTCGATCCTTGTCACGGAAGGGCTATTGGAGCAGACGACCACACCGGATTCTACTCCCATCAGCTAAAAACAAGAAGAAGCGGCTCCAGTGGGCATGTGATCACCAACACTGGACAATTGAGGAGCGGAAAAACATTGCCTCGAACATGACAGCGAGTTCAGTTTACTTGAGTGGCCTGCACAGTCCCTAGATCTCAACCCAATAGAGCATCTTTGGGATGAGATGGAACGGGCTGTTCGCAGCATGAATGTACCGCTGTCCAATCTGCAGCAACTGCAAGATGCCATCGCGTCAGCGTGGACCAACATCCCTGTGAAGCGTTTCCAACACCTTGGAGAATGCCCCGAAGAATTTAGGTTGTTTGGAGGCAAAGGGTAGTCTGACCCGGTACTAGATTCGTGAACCGAATATACTGTCCGGCAAGTGTAGAAAAAACTAATCAACAGCTTTACATATTTGTCTTTGCTCAAACGATTTTACATTGTGTAATATGATAATTAAGGGGATTAAAAAAGCACTCTTGCATAAAATATATCTGATGAGAGCTTCATTAAACATTAAGACACACAGCTTCTCTCTGTGGTACTGGGAATAAGAAACCTTATGATTTAGTCATGAATCAGGAAGATTAGTAGCCCATTCACATTTACCTCACAAGTCACATTTTAGACAGAATAATGTGATGAGGTACATGTGCGTGTAGGGATGATTCTCACCGTTGAAGTCTTATGAAAGCGTGTAGTCAAGGTGTGGAGGCACCATTAAAAGTGTGTGTCTGCGTTTGTGTGAGCGTACGAGCGTGTGTGCATGTATGTGCGCGTTAGACCACTCACCACTCGTTGGCGCCCATCCTTCTGTCATAGACGCGGACCGAGCCGTCGCCGAGCCCCGCCGCGATGAGAGACCGCTGTGAGTCACATGATAGGCTAGTCACACAGCTGTCTGCCCCCGTTGGGATGTCCTGGTAGACACACACACACACACACACACAATTAGTTAAAGCAATATGGGAAAAAATTAACGTAATTACATAGTCGTTGCCGTGACATAACAAATGTTGTGGTTGTCACGGTGCCCATTAAACATTGAGTAACTGGCTAACAACTCAATCAATCACGTCTACAGCTGACTGATGGAGAATGTCGTCTGGCCTTTGCCGTCAATACAGCCCGGGGCAGGGCTCGAATACTTCACATACTACTGTCTGTCAAATAAAGGGTTAACAGGTTGAATGGAAATACAACTGATAATGTTGCACCAGGTGCTGAATACCAGAATGCATGCAGTGCCTTCAGAAAGTATTCATACCCCTGGACTTGTTCCAAATTTTGTTATGTTACAGCATGAATTCAAAATGGATTAAATACCTATTCTATTCTCACCCATCTAGACACCATACCCCAAAATAACAAAGTAAAAACAATTTTTTAGGAGTTGTAGCTACTTTATTGAAAATTAAATACAGAAATATCTCATTTACATAAGTATTCACACCCCTGAGTCAATACATGTTAGAATCACTTTTGGCAGCGATTACAGCGGAGAGTCTTTCTGGGTGAGTCTCTAAGAGCTTTGGACACCTGGATTGTACAATATATGCATATATTTAGCAATTTTACCTTAGTGCCTTATCGCAAACAGGATGCATGTTTTGGAATTCTGTATTCTGTACAGGCTTCCTTCTTTTCACTCTGTCATTTAGGTTAGTATTGTGGAGTAACTACAATGTTGTTGATCCATCCTCAGTTTTCTCCTATCACAGTCATTAAACTCTAACTGTTTTAGTCACCATTGGCCTCATGGTGAAATCCCTGAGCGGTTTCCTTCCTCTCCAGCAACTGCGTTAGGAAAGACGCCTGTATCTTTGTAATGACTGGGTGTATTGATACACCATCCAAAGTGTAATTAATAATTTCACCATACTCAAAGGGATATTCAATGTCAGCTTTTTTTTTAACCTATCTACCAATAGGTGCCCTTCTTTGCAAGGCATTGGAAAACCTCCCTGGTCTTTGTGGTTGAATCTTTGTTTGAAATTCACTGCTCGACTGTGTGGGGTACAGAGATGAGGTAGTCATTCAAAAATCATGTTAAATACTATTATTGCATACATAGTCCATGCAACTTATTATGTGACTTGTTGAGCACATTTTTACTCCTGAACTTATTTAGGTTTGCCATAACAGAGGGGTTAAATATTTATTGACTCAAGACATTTCAACTTTAGATTTTTTATTAATTTGTAAAAAAAATCTAAAAACATAATTCCACTTTGACATCGTGTTATTTTGTGTAGGTCAGTGACACAAAATCTCAATTGAATCAATTTTTAATTCAGGCTGTAACACAACAAAATGTGGAAAAACTCTAGGGGTGTGAATACTTTCTGAAGGCACTGTAAACCGATATGCAAGAAAGAGGGGGAAAGTATCCACAGTTCCACAGATTGTCATTATGCCCAATGGACCTATTGGACCTATTGGTCAAAACAATAACTTGTAGAAGGGATTTGAGATTCGTCACCTGATAAATAATGGATGTGCAGAGGCAACTGTGACATTTCAAAACATTGTCATTGATAAAGAGGTTAGGGAGCATGATCAGTGTGTGCGTTTCTCTTTACCTGGACCTTCATCTCCCTCTCCGTGTCCCAGATCCTGATGACCCTCACGTCTCCAGACGTCATCAGCAGCCCCGTCTCCTGCTCCCAGTCCACCACCATGCCTGCACCTAAGAGAGGACATTGGTTAGTAACACACACAAAGATACAACGGAACACACACAGGCGGAAACACCATTGACAAAGACCCAGCTGTCAATGTCTGGGACTCGGACACGATCTACCAGCTGAGCACAGGTTCTGCTGTTCAGACACATACTCAGACTGAAGGCCTGGCGGATGTAAACAGGAAACACACCATCTGAGTCAACTGTGGGTCAAATGAAAGGTCACTGTCTGACACCAGCCATCAGGATATCACTAATATCTATCCAACCCTAAGGGTAGGGGGCTATATACATGTGGAATTTGGGACGGTTGCAAACCCTGTGACTCACAACAGGCTGAGGTTAAAAGACCAACTCCTCTACCAGATGTTACTACTGGCAGGCAGCACTGACAGGGTGTCACACCCAGAGAGAGAGAGAGAGAAGCCGTCAGCACCTCCATATGCTGCTACTGAGAGAGGGAGTCACAGAGCTAAGCTGTGGTCGCGTCTCAACCGTACTTGATAAGCCGCTCTGTGACACCTGACAGAGGCCCGGGGGCGTAGCCTAACCTTGACGGACAGGTGAAGACTGGCAGAGGGACACTGTTTCCCAGAGTGTTGTACCTGTGCTGTGTGATAGACAGGTGTGGAGAGGAACAGGGGATAACTCTGAAAGCAGCTATGGGCTTTGCAACATACACACTGTAAACACACACACTTTCTCTCTCTAAGTGAATCGCACACTGCTTCTCTTCCTACTTTTCCTCCACCTACATATCATGATCTCCTTCCTCTTCCCCATTATCATAATCATCAACAATCCCAACCCTGTTCTATCTGTCTGGTCCAAATCCCTCACAGCCCTGTTCCAAAGCCCCAGTGTGGCTAGCTCTGGCGTCACAGCTACGCGGGCTGTTAGCTAGCTCAGGCTCACATGCAGACGCGTGGGGGGGAACACTTCACAGAGTGTACTCAGCCACCCACAGAGCTGGGACACTCACACGCACATCTGTGATTCCCCCATTACATACACGCGTGCGCACACACACACAAACAACACAAGCGCACTCACGCGTGCACACACAAACACAGAACAACTGGCCCCATTCAGAGACCTGAGAATGAGGGAGAAGAGGAGGCATTCCTTTGAAGTCTGGAGCTCTGCGTTAGTGAGAAATTCCCATCTCTGGTTGATGAGGAGAGAGGGAGAGGAAGGGAATCTTGCTTATTCTTACTTTAACTATTCCAGGCAGATAGTACTAAAGTCAATGCTTACAAGCAGGGGTTGGAAACCCCAAACATTTCCAATCGTTTCGTTCTGAACAGAAGCACAATTTTTTCAGCTCCATTCCACTGTTCTGATCAGCATTATAAAGTTCTGAGCCGGTTCAAACCAGAAGAAAGTACCGGTTTATATATACTGAACAAAAATATAAACGCAACATGTAAAGTGTTGGTCCCATGTTTCATGAGCTGATATAAAAGATCCCAGAAATCTTCCATAAGCACCAAAAGCGTATTTCTATCAAATATTAAAATAATGGTTATGTTCCTGAACACTAGAGATCACATTCGTTCCCGGTTATGTTTCCGTTCCTCAAAAAACATAATTATTTCCAGTTTTCGTTCCCTATTTTTTGTTCCCTGAACCGGTTCCAACCCCTGCTTACAAGTCAACACACTGACTGAACCCAATGCCAGGACAATAAGAGAACAAAACGCCCTTCAAGTCCACCCCATTTCTCTTTCTTTCGCTCTCTCTTTCTTTCCTTTCATCTTTTTCCTATTTCCACTCACTCCATCACCTCTTTTTGCTTCACTCCCTCAATACAGTTCATTCCTAACCAACTCCAATCCAAAGAAAATCTCAGGCATTGAAAGATTTTCCATGCTTTAGGTCACATCAGGGTCAATGCATTGAGTTCTTACACCGACTCTATATGCTACTAGTCAACTACCCTAAAATGAGAGAATCAATCTGAGTTCCCTATGGCAGCCTAACCAGTGAGGCAGGGATCTTAGGAGTCCACACAGAAATCAATACCGACATTATGTATGGAGATGCGTGACTGAGGGAGTGTATATGAGGGAGTGCAGCCTAGGCATTTCTGCCTCATCACAATCTGATTCTCAGGGTTCTCGTTATACACAGGGGAATACCTCCTCGAATATATACCCTGCCTCTCTCTCTCTTTCGCTCTACTCTCCCTCATTCTCTCACTATCTATCCCTCTCTCCCTCCATCTCAAATTCCCTCCTAACTGGAGGCCCATTGTTCTCCTTAATAATGACTACAAAGGCGGCTAATGATTTAGTCAGCATTAGCATACTGTACAATGGATTGGATATTCGGGGCTGCCTGTGCGTGGGTGTTGCTGTGGCGTATAGGGGCTGGCTGCTAGCGCAATGAGGTTAGCGCTATATCTAGTATTCGCATAAGCTAGCGTTAGCGGTCTCCAGTGGCTAAGATAGCCACATTCCACTACTCATTCTGCCCCTGCCTCTCTTCCCTAATCCCCTTCTCTCTATAGCTCTCCTTATATATCCCTCTGTGTCACTTTATATTTCCATCACACATTCTTTCTCTCTAGAGGAGACTAGCACTGCCTCTGCATTCTCATTCCACACCATTATTACCTGTTGATGGATTGGCTCTCACACACCGCAGTTTATTAAAGACTGCGCGCCGACTTTACCCTTCCCTCTCCCCTCCTCTCTCTCTTTTCTTCCCTTCATTGCGTTTGCTTAGAAAGTGTCCTCCAGGACCCAGGTGACGGAATTAACTAGGACTACGCTGCACCCCTTTAGCATATAATTGATGATGAGGGTGTCACTATGGATGGGGTTGATTTGATGGACACTGACACCGGTAGTTTTACGAAGCTTTTGGTGCTAGGCTAGTTGACCTGTGAGCTGACGAGAGACATAAAGCAAAAGAGTGGAGCGGTGCCTGTATTTAACCTGTATTACAGACTAAGGGAGTCTGAGTATTATAACAGTGATCCAAAGTCGCTGAGCCATCTGAGCCTTCTCTCTTATTCAGTCGCTGTTTGTCCCTCTCTGTCTGTTCCTCTCCTAGTCCCTCTCTGCCCCCCACTCTGTTCCTCGCTCTCCACGTATCCTTTTGTGCTCTTGTATCTCCCAGCCAATACCTCCCAGAGGCCTTTTTAACAAGCCTCCAGCCATCCAGTGTATGTGGAGTAGGACACACATCTCCCCCCCCCAGCCAAACAGCCCCAGGACTGCCCTACTTTCACTCAAACTTCCCTAGTCTAGTCAGAAAAAAGAAAATAAATGAAAAACTTCCTCAAGCTGCTGCAGGAGAAAAACGGAGAGAGAGTTGGGGGGCGTGATAGACGAGAGAGAGAATGAGAGAGGGGGGAGAGCGCAAGCCGTTACAAACGACATCTGCATGAGAACTTAATTAGGTCTGCGCTCTGTCTGTGTGGACGGTAAGTCGATGTGCGTCTCCGAATGCTAAACAAACACTAATGATAACTCCATAGGGTGTAATGAGGGCTGAGAGGGAGACGGAGCCTCGCGCTGCGCTGCTCCACAACAGATAGAAAATAAACACCCAAACAGGCAGGCAGGCTCTCCCTCTCTCATATCTCTCTCACTTTCCTCCTCTCTGTCAATCCCTCACTTTCTCTCCTCTCTTTCTCTCTACCCTTTCCTCCTTCCCTATCTCTGTATTATCTTCTCTCCGACACACGTTGCATGCTAATTCAGCTGCAGAGGAAAAACCCAAGTCTGGATGAAGATAGTTTTAAGGCCCCCTGCTTGGCTGTGGAGGGAACTAATCATGGGTACTCTAGAGTCTGGAGTTAGGGCCTCAGGGCTAGAGGTTGGAGAGAAGTATTGGACATTATTTCTACTATCAACATCACACATGACCAGCAGGCCTCTAATTATACACTTTAGATGATTGAGGATGCCCTAAAAATGATATTTTATAACACATATGGGGGGTGCTGTGTTGATAGTTCTAAGACTAATGGGGGTTCCCTGATTTGTGCACTATTCCCACTGGAATTCGAACCCTGCAATGATATTGGGCAGATAGAACCAGAAACGTCATATTCCCATATCACGCTGGAAAAAGGCTCTAACTATATCTACACAAACTGTTTTTATTATCATTTATTCATAAAGGGTAAAACAAGTAAACAAAGTTAATAATTCATAAAAACAAACATGACAATCACGCTATATCTGCATTTAACTTGCGTGCGAAAGCTTACAGTTAAAACTAGAGAGTTGTCTGGGCAGAGTTTGTCACCCATCATATCTGTTTTGTACATGACCACCGGTAGGAAGACACGACACCAGCTTTGGCCTGTATGATAGAGGGATACTGAAGAAAGAGGCCTGGGGGGGGGGTGATGAAGGGGTCAGGTTACAGGAGGAAGAAGTAGTGCAGGGACAGACTGCTGGAGTTTGTGCAGCACACAGTCAGATGAGGGGAAAAGAAGATGGCAGCACTCACCTCCCTGTCCCTTACTCCTGTCAAGATAGATGGAGACCCGCCTGGCCAGACCTGCGAGGGGAGGAGCAGAAAGGAGATGGGGAGGAGCCGGGGAAGGGGGAAAGGAGAGTCAGAAGCACATCAGCCCCAGCACAACACACCGTTAGCAAGGACCCCCGCATGCAAGGACCTACACACACACATAAGCGCGCATAGACACGTACACAATGAGCAGCGGAAGAACAAGGCTGCAGTTTCCCCAGCATTACATCATCCATGTTAATACCGCTGATACACCCGGATCAAAAACTAAAAGAGTGAGATAGTCCACTACTCAACTACTTGCTGTGCATTTAAAACAGGCTCCAGATAGTTACACTCCATCTTATATCATATATGCACCCTACGGCCTTGGTCAAAAGTAGTGCACTATATAGGGAAAAGGGTGCCATTTGGGATGTAGTTCATATCTCATCTAAAAGCCTGGAGGGCAGAGGAGTATAAATCCCCTGTACCACAGGGCAGATAATAGTGTGTGTGCACCTTGTTGAATGCACGTTTGGTTTGTGTTCATGCATGCGAGTGTGAATGTGTGTGTATGCATGTACTCTGAGTGTACAAAACATTAGGAACACCTTCCTAATATTGAGTTTCACCCCCTTTTGCCCTCAAAACAGCCTCAATTCGTCGGGGAATGGACTCTACAAGGTGTCAAAAGCGTTCCACAGGGATGCTGGCCCATGTTGACCCCAATGCTTCCCACAGTTGTGTCAAGTTGGCTGGATGTCCTTTTGGTGGTGGACCATTCTTGATACACATGGGAAACTGCTGAGCGTGAAAAACCCAGCAGTGTTGCAGTTCTTGACACAAACCGGTGCGCCTGGCACCTACTACCATACCCTGCTCAAAGGCACTTAAATATTTTGTCTTGCCCATTCACCCTCTGAATGGCACACATACAATCCATGTCTCAATTGTCTCAAGGCTTAAAAATCCTTATTTAACCTGTCTCCTCCCCTTCATCTACACTGATTGAAGTGGATTTAACAAGTGACATCAATAAGGGATCATATCTTTCACCTGGATTCACCTGGTCAGTCTCATGGAAAGAACATGTTTTGTACACAGTGTATACATGTGAATGTGTGTGTCAGTGTGTTCTGCAATACAACAGGACTAACTGCATATAGCATAGTGAAACATCATTAACACCAATACAACTATTACTGTGTGGGGGGGAGCTAGCAGCCTTGTTCTGCCCCTCATGTAATGAGGGAGAGGAAGACGGAACATAAAGCCAACCAAAGTCAACGTAGCAGCAAAGTAGCAAGCCAGAATTAGAGGATCTGAATGAAATGAGGCAAAATGAAGAGGAATAGCACCCGACACAAGCCGTTACTGGATGGAGGGGAGAGCTTGTGTTATGGAGATGGGGGAGATTTTGGAATGTGTGTGCTTCTGAAGCCGTTACAATCGCTGCCAATGATGATCTCACAATGGCATCTGTTCATTTGAGCTGCGCTACCCGTATCAACGCAAGCTTGAGCTGTGCAGGCCTTCTCTACCTCCAAGGTGAAGTGGTGGTTACCCTGCTAAATCCTGATTGCTGAATACCTTGTTGTTGACTATGATATGTGCCCTACTCTGAAATCTTCAGGGATGTGTGTGTATGACAGCTCTCCCTGTGATGCTTAGCTAAGTGTGTCGCCTCTCAGCAGGTACACTGAGCAGGGACGTTGCTCATCTTTGTTAATAGGGACACACACAGCTGGTGGTCCGCTGTACTGTCAGTCAGTCAGAACACATACACTCATTGAATAGAATGAGTGTGTCTCATTCTAGGATTCTACACAGAGCTGTCAAAGCTAACATCCTGCTAGCTAGCTCCCTTGCCTGTCCTCCTGCACACCCACCACAGATAATTGAATGTGATTCAGCTATGTATTGAATGTCATACAACAGTTCATCCTTGACCTGTATGTGCGCACACACTTCTAATACTGTACATTGGGCATTTTAATGACACTGTTTATACACACACACTGCATATTTATTTATATACTGGATTCTTGACATTGCCCACTAATAAATCTACTGCTGTACATATTCTTAGTATATCTTGTGTAAATTAATCCGGTGTACATACGTATAAGATTGCATTTAGATTACTGTTAAGGCGCTTTTTGGGTTGTTGATTTGACACAATTCTAACTCAAGCCTATATTGCACCAAAACTTGTGATCTGCATCAAAATAAATGCCTGTATTTGTATGAAACATTGCACATGGTCCCTGAAAAATGAATGAATGCAGTATTTTGTGGTCCTCTGTAGCTCAATTGGTAGAGCACGGCGCTTGTAACGCCAGGGTAGTGGGTTCGATCCCCGGGACCACCCATACGTACAAATATATGCGCACATGACTGTAGGTCGCTTTGGATAAAAGCGTCTGCTAAATGGCATATTATTTGTATTATTATTTTTTATGAAGTAGCCCGTTTCCTGCACCTGCCATCCATAAGCATAGCCTATAGTAGTTCTCTGACTGGCTACATGTCAGAACTATAGAGAGGAACATAGACAAGCGGTTGACAGATGTAGAGTGGGAAATATGAGGGGGTTGGAGAGATGGTGGAAAAGGGGTGTGTGGAGAAGGGGGTCTGAATTCTGAACGGGTGGGGAGGAAGAGGGGACTTGAATAATGGACGCTAGGACTAGGTGGATTGAGGGTTTGGGGTGGGGGGGGGTAACGGGGTAAAGGTTGTGTTGTGTGTAGTGGTGGTAGGACAGGGGGGTAAACTGAGGTTGATAGGGAGGTACACTGAGGGTCTAGGCTGATAAATGGAGGGGGTCTAGGGGGGTAAATAGCGTGGTCTTTACTGTGGGAGCTGGAGGATGGCTGACCTCGGGTGGTGGGGAGCATGTCGGACAGGCCTTGCCAAGCTGTCACCATCTCTGGGTTCCGCTGGTCCGCAAAGTTCTTCCAGATACGCAACGCCCCGTCATCTAGAGGAGGAGAAAGAGAGAGAGGGAGAGGGGAGGGAGAGAAAGGTGGGAGTGGGAGGTTTGCAGAAAGAAAGAAAGGGGGGTAGGTGACAGAGAGAAGGAAGGAAAAGCAAAGAGAGAGAGAAAAAAACATGTGAAACATTATCATACAAGGTTAGAGGTAGCTAACAACTTCCATATTTGCACTTGCACAAACACTTCCTCCCTTTGTGCCCATGAGACGAAGCATGTGCACATGGATTTGAATTAAACGCTATGGCCTCGAGCACGTCCATGACCTAAGAGTGCCGATAGAACACAACAGGAGCACAGTCTACGGCAGCATCCCAAATGGCACACTACAGAGTGCACTACTTTTGACCAGAGCCCTATGGGTGCACTATATAGGGAGCTATTTGGGAGGCATCCTATCCCTTAACATGCATCTTTGAACAAATCTTTGTACAAAAGAGCTAACTGACAAGTTCTTACGTTGGGTTTACACAAAGCAACTTTCAAGCAATTTTCCCTCGTCTCTTCAGCCTCTAGCCTCCTTCAACTCTACAAACTCATATGCACAATACAATGCGCTCGTGCCTCTCCTCCAAGAATGGTAGCCTTCCCACCGCTTTCAAGCCCTGCCACCCATTCTACAAAGGCACCGCAAACTAAACTGAAACTCATTTCAAGGTTGTGTTAACAGGGGCTTGTTTCTCTAGTCCTCCTGAACAGATTGCCAAATTATCCCAGAACGTTCAGTATTGAACCAGCCTAGGTCAAGGCCATGTTCCAATGTACACTTCCTTTCTTCCTAGAAGTAATGACTGATCATGCTAGATCCTTCACTTCACGGTAGGGAAGAACTTCAAATACGGATGTATTTTGAAAGTCTTCAGACAGGGCTACAAACCAGGGTGAATGAATGACTACGTTTAAAATTACAGACAAAATCCCATGACTGTATATGACTTTGAAGCCGTGAACAGAATGGTGCTGTCCAGCAATTCAATATAATGCTGCCGACTTAATTCCTTTTATTTTTATTTAAGACAGCATTTTTTTCACCCAGGGAACAGTGTGTGTTCCTGTCTGAGGATGTGAGCCAGGCTTGCTTATTAAGACTTCAAGGTCTAGGAGGAGGGAGAAAACATGCACATTTATTTGCTGCAAAATGATGGTGTCCTTGAATTGAGGCAACTAGGGTCTATTTGGTTTCTGCATTGTTCAAGATCTCTGCATTTAGCTCGATGGGGTGATGCTGAAGTGATTGACAGTTTGGGAGTTTGTTCGATTATTGCACGTGTGTGTGTGCTTGCATACGTTCGTGCGTGCGTGTACAAGATAATTGAGTCTGTGAGTGTATGTGTGTGTTCATGAGATCGCGAGTATGTGTATTTATATAATACTTTTTTTGTCATTTAGCAGACTCTCTTATCCAGAGCAACTTACAGGAGCAATTCGGGTTAAGTGCCTTGCTCAAGGGCACGGCGGAAGATTTCACCTAGTCGGCTCGGGGATTCGAACCAGCGACTTTTCGGTTACTGGCCCAACGCTCTTTAACCGCTAGGCTACCTGCCTGTGTGTACAGTGTATAGGTGTGTGTGTGTGTGTGTCTGACCTGTAGCAGTGAGCAGTAGTGAGCAGTCGTGTCCGTTGAGGTACTCCATAGCTGTGATGCGGGTGTAGCGAGGGTTCCCGTTGTAGAAGTAGTCCAACCTCTCCCCCTTCTCCCAGTCCCAGAAACTAGAGAACACACATACACTTTAGTTACTTCCAGCACTTTTCCCCAGCACTTTAGTTACTTCCGGCACTATACATCAAACCAAGTGTCTGTAGCACTGCCAGATATGTCTCTATGTGCGTCACTGGACTGTGTCATGGCCCTGATAGGGGCCAGACTTTTCTCAGGGCTGCCACTACAGCATGTGTCTGAATGACCTGGTTCTGATGACTTTCAACTCTTTTTACAGAGATTAACACAAATAACCCATAATATATGGCTTGTATAGACATATCCAGTCCTCTCAGATCAGCAAACAGTCAATTGCCACATCTCAAATGGCTTCCTATTTATCATATACTGTAGTGCTCCGTTTGGCCAGGGCTGAGGGCAGAAAGTTCACACCCCTTGACCTTTTCCACATTTTGTTGTGTTACAAATCATGTTAAACACTATTATTGCACACAGAGTGAGTCCATGCAACTTATGACTTGTTAAGCACATTTTTACTCCTGACCTTATTTAGGCTTGAATACTTATTGACTCCATACATTTAAGCATTTAATATTTTATTAATATGTAAAAAATGTAATAAAAATAAATAAATAAAAAATCCACTTTGACATTATGGGTTATTGTGTTTAGGCCAGTGACAAAACATCTCAATTTAATCAATTTTAAATTCAGGCTTTAACAACAAAATGTGGAAAAAGTCAAGGGGTGTGAATACTTTCTGAAGGCACTGTATGTCTCTGGCCATAGTAGAGCATTATGTACAGGGATAGACTCATGTGAGACAGTAAATAATGTGTTTCAAATATAGCTGAGGTGTTGCGTATAAGACCGCTGTCTCTCACCAGATGCTGTCTTTGTCTGCCACGGCGATGCAGGGGTTGAAGGGGTGGAACTTGACCACGGAGGGAACGCCAGGGTTACGGTTGATGAAGATCTGGTCATCCAGACGCGTCACGCCTAGAGGGGGAGGAGACAGAGCACTATCAGTCACCTGACACCAGTCACCAAACAAGGATCAAACACCAGTCAGTCATAGATAATAAAATATTGTCCAAAAATACAATCCATATATATGATTTGGCTTCATCAATTAATGAAAATAAGTATAGAAGTCTATATAAATGGGTGTGTGACTGTGGTATCACGATAGTAAAGATATGTTTGGATGAAAACACTCTTGTAACTCCCATAAAGACTGGAACATTTGATAGTGAGAGCCCTATTCAATTGTCCTACAGTCACATTACAATCCTTGTCTAAAGGTCTAGCTCTCGCTACATTGCCATGACAACCATCATTTGTGTCGTCAATGTGTCCTTTGGCTATCTGGAATGTCTCAAAGTAGACTGTCAGGAATTTCAGAAAAGAAATACTAATTGAAAAATATTTCATAAAGTCGTAACAAAGGAAATACCGGAGGAAAATGTTTTGAATCTAGCCTAGCGAGACATTGGCAAGACCTTCGCCTCTCTACTTGGTGATCAAAAGCTGAAAAGGTGTTCATTAAAAGCTAGTCTTGTCTGTGTCGTTTCTCTACCATGCAAAATGCAATACTGCGAGAGGGAAACATTGTAACATTTGTTGCCTTCAGCAAACTCATCACGTATTTCATCACAAATAAAACAGAGAAAAACAGACTTTAATCAGTTTTTAAAAGCCTTTAAGGTTGATTCCCCGACTCTCTTCTTTCCCGTCTCTGTTGTCCGCCCCCTCTCTTTTCTCTGTTACCCTCTCTCTAACTCCCCCTATCGCTCTCTCTTTCTAACTTACCCCCTCCCTACCCCTCTCTTTTCTCTGGCTGTCAGGAGAATGAGGGCAGCCTTAATCTTTTAGTCTCTCAACTTTAGAGGATGGGAGAAAGGGATGGTTAAAAGGGGATAGAGAGAGATACATGCGTATGTGAGCCTCAGCTCTGACGCCAATGGACTCGTGAGCATGTGTGTGTGTCCTGTGTGTGTGTGTGTGTTGTAGGGGCTGGCAGTGACGTGGGAGTGTTAGCCATTCTGTTTGAGCGAGCTCTGACTTCACGGGGGAGCTGCGCTGAAGCCTGGGGTCTTTAATGTGTGTGTAGTGTGTGCATTGTGTTTATAGTGTGTGTGTGTGTGTGCGGGGGGTTCCTCTGACACAGAGAGAGACCCGTCTGGCAGAGCTTTTGGAACAAGGGGGGTTTCCAATAGATCCTCTCTCCCCCTCACGTTCCCCTCACTGGTGTGTGTATCACTCTTGAAATATCCCCATATCCCTCTGCCACGGTATGCCATGGCATGTCTGACTAAGTGAGTGCATGAGCACAGTTTTCTTTCTATACTGTGGGTGAGTGTCTATACAAGAGTGACGGCAAATCTACACAAGTGTGGGTGTGTGTGTGTGTGTAGCTATGCATAGTGTATCTGTGTGTAGCTATGCATAGTGTATCTGTGTGTAACTATGCATAGTGTATCTGTGTGTAACTATGCATAGTGTATCTTGTGTAACTATGCATAGTGTATCTGTGTGTATGTCACCTCTCTGCGTGATGCGTTGGCTCTGTTTTCGAACGCGGGCGTTCCTCAGGAACCTCCACTCCCTCTCTTTCCTCACCTGGCTCTCCGCATCATGCTCCTCTGGAATCTAGAGAGAGGAGCAAGAGATAAATGTTTTCTTTCTATTAGATTGAATAAGGCGGAAGCATGTCTAAACTGAAAGTGATTCCAGAGCTAAGAGAGGAAGAAACACTTGCTTCCCTTACTCACTCTCTCCTCCAATCACACCCCTTCATGGTCTTGTATAAAGACGAGCTTTGTGCTACTGAGCTAAATGAAAAGGGTTGCCTCTCAGGCTGCTAAGTGTTTTCTCCCACGTTTCAACTCTCCCTCTTCCTGCCCATCTAACACTCTTATCTCCCCTTCTCTCCTCCTCCTCTCTTTCTGGCATCCCATTCTTTGGAATGATGGGTTAATGAGCTAAATGAAGAGGGTCGCCTCTTAGGCTTGAAGTGTTAAAAGCTCTATCCTTGCTTGTCCTATCATCTCTCCTCCCCCTCTCTCCATCCATCCATTATCCCCTCCTCCTCCCCTCCTCTCCATCCATCCATTATCCCCTCCTCCTCCCCTCCCTCTCCATCGCCTCTCTTTCTGAGGGCTGCCTCTCAGGATGTGTTGATGGTTTTCTCCATCCCTCAGTCCCTGACAGGGAGAGAACAGGGAGAGGATCATTAGTGAACATCAATGGAGGTCCTCTGGTGTAACTGCAGAGGGCAAGGAAGGGATTGAGTTTTAGTGTTTCTGTGTGTGTGTGTGTGTGTGTGTGTGTGTGTGTGTGTGTGTGTGTACGTGTGTGTACGTACATGCGTGCATTTCTTTGTAGATATGTGTGTTTCCAAGTGGATGTGTGTGTATGTGTTTCTGTGCGTCTGTGTTCGCACACATGTAGATATATGTGTGTACGTGTCCTTGTGTGTATAGCTGTAACCATTAGCATTATGGACAGGGCTGGTAATGTACAGAGAAAGACTAATGGAGTGTAATGGTGGAGTGTTGCGAGGCCAGAGAGCTGCTGCTTATTAAGCACATGCCCCACCAGGCTCCCTGCTCTGCCCTCTGAATACTAAACACTAACAGAGCAGCCACACATTGACTACGTCCCAAACGGCACCCTATTCCCTATGTAGTGCCCTACTTTTGACCAGGGCCCATAGTGCGTTTTATAGGGAATAGGGTGCCATTTCAGACACAGCCACTGACTGTTACTGCAGCTGCTACCGCATGTGGATTCATATGCTCTGGTAATCACCACCAAGCACTCACAGTGACATAACACAGAGAGAGAGGGGTGGAGGGAGGGACAGATGGAGGGAGATGGAGGGAGACAGGGAGGGAGTAAAAAGGACTGGAAGAGGGGAAGGGATGGTGGGTGGAGGGAGGGAGAGGGTGTGAGAGAGAGGGGGAGGTACGATGGGAGAGGGAGAAGGAAGAAAAGATGGCCGGAGGGAGAGAAAGAGAGTAGAAGGGGGGAGAGAAAGAGAGTAGAAGGGGGAAGAGAAAGAGAGTAGAAGGGGGGAGAGAAAGAGAGTAGAAGGGGGGAGAGAAAGAGAGAATGATTAAGTAAAGGACGCAAGGGAATAGTGTGTGCAAGTCACTGTTTGCTTGTACATCTCTACAGTGCTAAGACACTAAGGCCTGCCTCAGTCAGAGCTGATGAGTGTGTGTGTGTAGGTGTGTGTGTCAAGTTGAGAGGCTGTCATTATGCCGGGTCTCAGCTAGGGCTGCAGGATATGGGCAAATAATCTAATTGGCATGACAACGAATAAAAAAAGCCAGGTACAGTAGAAGTTGATGTGACAGGGTAGGAACCAAAGTGTTGGTCAGTTTCCCATGGGACCCTTATTACATTCATGGCGCTTAAAAAAAAGCGATATGGATATTGCACATGCCAATGTTGCAATTTCGATTATTTAGGCAGCCCTAGTATCAGCCACTAATGTGGGACATTACACACTGACCCTGTCTGAGAAAGAGTGAGGGACACACACACACAACAAAAGGGCTGCTAATGGTTATGTAGACACACAAACACACACACACACACACCCCTCGTACTGCTGACACAATGATATGATAACCTGTGTACAGATTTTTAGACACAAAGGCTCTTTATGGGAGCATTCCAGAAATTGCAAACACAGCTTTCTCATTTGTACTACAGCAAAGTCCCCACTTTGTTCCTCCCTCTTTCTCCTGTTTCTCAAGCCCCCTCTCTCTTCCTCTCTTTTCCACCTACAGTCTCTCCATCCCTTTCTCTCTCACACCTCCAGACCAGAGTCAGTTTGGCAAAGTCAGCCGACCTCGAATCAGACGAGCTGGCAATGTTTATTTTTCTATTTTTTCTTTCAGAGAGGATGGAGAGATGGCTCCCCTAACTGCATTGCCAAGGCGCGTGTGTGTGTGTGAGAATGTGTGTGAGTGCGAGGACACAGTGTGTTTGTGTGTCGGAGTGAGTGAGTGTGTATGTGTGTGGAGACAGCCATACACGTGACTCAGCTGCTTCCTCTGACCATCAAAGGAAGGTCAGGAGCTGTATAGGCCTGTAATAGGCTAAACAGCTTCCTTGAACAGGTACTGGGACACACTACAGTATTGGTGTGTGTGTGTGTGTGTGTGTGTGGGAGGGAGGGAGAGAGCGTGAAAAAGAGGGAGGAAAATGGAGAGAGTGAGGGAGAGTGCGTGAAAAAGAGGGAGGAAAATGGAGAGTGAGGGAGAGAGCGTGAAAAAAGAGGGAGGAAAATGGAGAGAGTGAGGGAGAGAGCGTGAAAAAGAGGGAGGAAAATGGAGAGAGAGAGGGAGAGAGTGTGAGAAAGAGGAGGAAAATGGAGGAGAGAGGGAGAGAGGGAGGGAAAATGGAGAGAAGAGACGGGAGAGGGAGAGAGCGAGTGAGAAAGAAAGAGAGAGAAGCGTAGTACAGTACCTTCATAACAGGCTGAGCGAAGTACTTGGCGCTCCAGTCACACAGCCCTGTAGACAGGTTGGCATTCATGTAGGCCTTGTGACCTCCTGGGTCATCTGCATCATCACCGGCCTAACACGCACACAAACACAGACACACGCAGATAATTAAAATAATATTCAAATTTAACACACTACCACTAATGCACACCACCACACTCTAAGAATTCAGTTTAAAATATAATAAAGAAGATAAGAGTGCCTGGGAGATATCTTTTATAATGAATCAAACAGACTAAATTGACTAAAATTAAGCGTCTTAAGCAACTAGGATAATGTTTTCCCCCAGAACCTTAATTGAGCAATTGAGGTCATTAGCATAAAATACTTGTTTAAATGGGTATGCTAGTGTAGTCCAGGGCCAGGATTTATTCTCAACTGACACTTCTTCCTTTACTATAAACTTCTGAAGAAAGTTAAGAAAAGTTGCGATTCCTCAGAAGTTAACCAGAAATTAGATTCTAGAAAATAAAGTTCTTAGATGTCAGGGTACCTGTTCAGAGCCGGAGGGCCCCTTGTCGAACATCTTTCGCGTGCGGGGGAACTGGTGGGAGTGGGGGGCCTGTCCGCCCAGCGTGGGGGTGTAGGGGGGTCGCGTGGGGGGCTGTTCTCCTACGCGTGTCGGGGGTTTGGGCACCTCGTTGGTCAGACTGGAGCTGCTGGCACTAGGCATGGGGGGAGAACCACTGGGGGAAGCGCAGATATGGGAGGGAGAAGGAGGTTAGAGTAGGTGGCAGGAGAGCATTGGTGAGAAAATGAGGATGGTGGATGTAAAGTGGTGTGTGTGTTTCTGCTACGCCAATATTCCTGGAAGGGTTAAGACTATGAAGATTGTGTGTGTAATATGAGTTGAGCGTGCATGCAGGTCACTCACCCTGCCTGGTGGATGTGTGTGCCCTTGCTGGTGGGGCTGGCGGGGGCCGACTGGGTGAGACAGCCAGAGTCCAGGATCCTCTGGGGCCGAGCGTTCATAGTGGCCTGGGGAGACAGAGACAGAGACAGGGCCTGAGAGACCAGAGAGAAGAGGAGAAGAGAAATGGAGAGTATTGGAGATAAGGAACATAAAAACAAATGGAGAGGGAAGAGAGAGAGCATGAGTACAAAAGTGCAACCCACCTCCCTGATGAATGATAATAGCCATGAAGAGCTCAATGTCATAAAACACAAGCAAGTAAGCTAAACCATACTTTGAAAGGAAACCTACTGTACCATGTTCAGTAACTTGAGCAGTTGGGTGAACTTCTACTGTATTTCAACATATTACCCTTTGACAAATAATCTATACAACAATACCAGCAACAGCCAGACACCTTGAAATTCTCTGTTTCATGGAGACAAGTCCTCCCCTACTTCCCCCATCAATAACAGAATCAAGACCAGTATAAACTGTAATAGCTATTCACCAGAGGAAAGTCAAACTCAATAAAGGGAAACCTGATGAATAACAGTGAGTTGTTTACAAAAGCCAGAGCAGAGAGAAAAACTTGGTGCGCTTTAGGAGATCCAGTTAACACCAGCAAACAAACACATTCCACCATCTGGAATTGCCTTTGATTTATATGCTAATTACCAAGAGTAGTGTGTACTGTGTGTGTGTGTGTTTTGGGTTTCAGAGTTTGTTACCACTATACGTGTGTGTGTGTGGGTTGCGGCAGCATCAATTACTAGTGTTTGCAGACGAGCGCTTGATTAAAAAGTGTCTCCAAATATGAGAGAAGCATAGAAATGACAGTTGTTATTGATGGGCTGCCACTAATCTGAGAGGCTTCACAAACCGCAGTAGTAAAATATGAATTAGGTGGGAGAAACCAAGTAATTATCACACACCACCACAACAAATAATACATTGTTTGGGAAGGACAATTAGATAAATGCTAGTTACCACGCAAACTCAGAGAAAGCATATTGGCACAAATCTGTTAACATGAGCCCCACACACACACACACACACACACACACACACACACACCATCACAGCGAGAGAGAGCTGTGAGAAGCAGTACTTTTTAGACATAAATCTTCAAAGGGTAAAATTAATCTAATCTCACAATGGGAGTCTTTGCTAAGTGTTAATCGAGATGCTCATATTAACTAAGGAACAATGGAGATATCTTTTCTCTCTTTGTAAAGGGGTGAGGGAAAGCTATCGTTATTAAACAACAGTCACAGCAAGCGGAAGAAGAGGAAGAGGGAGAATAGCAAAAGGAGGAAGATGTGAAATTTTATCACAATCAGTAAGAGCTGGTGATGGTGAAGTTAGTCTGACAGCGTAAGAAATTGAATTACCGGTATGTCAGTTCCCATGCAACATACAGTCATCATCATGAATTTGGCATGGAAAGCAATATTTATCGTTACCCCACAGACTAAGCTTCCTTTATGCAAAACATACAATTGTTGAGTAGTTCGAACCGACGAGTTCCACCATTGGTGCATAAACAGTCATCATCGACACATGGAAAACAACATGCATATTGTTCCCCAACAGCCAACGCTTCCCAGCATAATGCAAAACATTACATAGAATTGTTGCGCAACTGTGTTTCATAATTGCATGGCATTAAGTGCCTGGCTGGCTCAAACCAACGCCTTCCGCCACCGGTCTATACATAGTCATCTTCGCCGCATAGGCATATCGTTTCCCCATAGACAACACTTCCTAACATAACGTATGCAAAACATGACATATTGTTGCATTGTATGGTGTTGAGTTCTTAGTTAAGTCCGCCACCGGTGCACTTAACGGAGACGCCAACGCAGTGCTGTGGAACATCCTGTCCCCCCGTTAATCTCGCTCTCCCACTCTATTACTTACTACCCTTGCTTATTAATCACTTCCAAAAGCCAAGCTAACAAAGTACACAAAGTTAGAGAGATACTGTAGTGTAAGTCGCTTTGGATAAAAGCGTCTGCTAAATGGTATATTATTATATTATATAGACCATGTTATCACAGTGGGCCTCCTGGCGGGCCAGGAGACCTGCAACCCAACGGCTTCTGCAGCAGAGAAAGTTAATAGCATCTGGGTCCCAAAAGGCACCCTATTCCCTATTTAGTGCACTACTGGGCCCTGGTCAAAAGTAGTGCACTGTTACGGAATAGGGTGCCATTTGGGACGCAGTCAGCCAGTGTCTCTATATTTGAGTGTTTCATTATTCAAAGGGGGATTTAAATGTTCTGTGGGCGCACAAAAGTACAGAATACCTCCCTGATAAACGATAATAGCCCTGTGAAGCAGTCTCAAACTGAGGTGTGATTGGTTGGAAGGGGATGTGGTCTGATGCAAGAAGCAATCTGATTGATGGAGGCAGTACCGAGGAGGAGGGATTGTGGAAGTGAGAGTGGTGATTTTTTGCTGAGTAAGGCAGTAAGGCTCAGAGATTATGGGTTGAGAAGAGTGGGTAGGTCATGATCTCATGCAGTGGATTTCAGAGCTTTTTCTACCAGTGTTTCCGAATGTGCAAGTGATATTCATCAAGCCTGGTCCCACATCAGTTTGTGCTCTCTTGCTAACTCCTACTGGTGGTCTGTAGGAGTTGGCACAAGAGAAAACCAGATCTGGGACCAGAGGTGTATTCACTAGGAACCAAATAGAAGCAAACAGGCTGAAATGGGAAGGGACCTAGCTGAACTTGTGCAATAAGAAACACTGTTGCAAAACTGCACTAATGAATACACCCCGGGCTAACATTCATCCACAATGAACCCTGAGGACTGATGTTGGAGTGTGAGAGAATAGCAAAGACTCACATCCAGATTCTACTTCAATCTTATCTTAAATCGTATCATCACAAAGTATAGATCACATACTAAAAAAATAACCAATTAACCTTTAGGCTTAAACCTCTTAAGGTAAAAAATGCACTAAATGTTAAGTTGGAGAAAAAAGAAGCTGCATGTATTTCACAGTTCCATCCTCCTTGGCACCTGGCAACTCGGTGAAAAATCCAAATTAAAATAGGATTGGATTTGCTCAGTTGACGCTCTCGCTTTAACGGACGTGGGCTGCACCAAACTGTTACACACTCCAGTCGATATTGCGTTTAGCACGGGCTGAATACCTGAATACTTGTTTTTAAGTGTGTGTTTGTGTGAAGGCGTGGGTAGACCCTCTGTTCTTTCCTTTGAAGTGCTGTCAGGCTGAAGAGTGTGTGTAGTAAAGATCCCTGTGAGATGTTTTTTTCTTGTTGAGGGGAGAAAGGTTGAGGTTAAAGGTTCATTTCTCTTATGTACAGAATATACACCGTCCAATGGAATGCTTACTTGCAGGTTCCTTCGCGACAATGCAACAATAAGAAAATAATTACGATAAGAATATGAAGATAAAGTCAATGGCTCAGCAAAATGTACAATCCAATATTTGTTTGTGTGTATCTGTTTGTGTCAAACCATAAAGTCATACAGTTTAAGTATTCTCCATCTCATTGTTTGTTCATTACCTTTCATTTCTACGGCAATTATCATTTACAGGTTAAATCAGTCAATTGGAACCTGGGGTAGAGTAGAATGTATTGTGAGGGAGCGATGGTGGGGGGGGGGGGGGTTGATAAAAGGAAATCCTCCTAAAATCATTTTAGGAAAGAAACACCACGGCAACAGAGAGATGCTAGTTAATCCCATGCTCATCTACAAGTGGATCAAGCAGGAAACAACAAAGAGAGAGTATGCGTCCCAAATGGCACCCTATTCCCTATGTAGTGCACTACTTGAATAGGGTGTCATTTTGATCACTTCCAGATATTCACAGGGATCTCCAGCTGGGCTTCCCCCTGTTTCTGTCTCTGAGTGAAGAGTTGCATAGGAATGTGGATTATGTTGAGGAGAAAGAGTGAGTACACTCTGGAGACTATAAAAAGTTGTTAGAGACTCATGGTAAAATGCACTTTCCCGAGGCTGCAGCAGTGGCCCATATTGTATATTTTAAAAATACTGCAGCATCATACATTATAGTCTATTGCAGTGTTTCATACATTAGAGTCTATTGCAATGCAGTATCTAATATAGTAAGTCCTGTTGTTATTTTACAGGGCTCCAGTGGGGAGCCCTAAAGCTGCGAGGAAAGGATGGTGTCAGCAGCAGGAATACAAGGGGGCTCTCTCCGGCGCGGGGGTCCAACAGTGGTTATTACACCTCCTTAAGTAACGGCAGGCCTCTCCTCTCTGCAGTGGCTGGCCTGGGGGAGTCGTTTCGCCTTAATTGCATTTGCACAAAAGTAATGGTCTCGAGGTGGGGAAAATGTCAGGGAAGAGGGAGTGTGTGTGTGTGTGTGTGTGTGTGTGTGTGTGTGTGTAAGTGAGAGAACGAGAGAGTGTGTGTGCGTGTATGAAACCACATGACCTTTTCAAAGCATAAAACACACCTAAAGAAAACCAAAACAGACACACACCCGAGGGAGAGAGAAGAGTGTGTATGTTTAGTACCTTGTAGGCGATGCTGTTGAGGACCTTCATGGCCAGGTCAGACACCTCTGGGAATGGGTCGGCCGCCAGGTGTAGGAGAACCCTCCAGATCTGTGTGTAAACGCTGTTGAACGACACCCCTGCAACGACACACACAGCATGATTTACCATATACATAATGATCCAACATTCACAGACAACGTGACTTACCATCAATACACACACACAGATTTTCCATACTCATAATGAGCCAACACAGTGTGAAAACCATCAATATACATTAGCGAACATCAACATTCTGTCTCCCATTCTCAACAAGCACACAAGCACATAAACACAGCATGATTACCATTCAATATTTGATTAGCGACCATCAATAAGCGAGCCAACCTTCTCACCACCTCATTTTCTCACGTACGCACACAGCATGATTTCCATAAACACACTCAACAATCTCTCTCTCTCGCTCTCTCACCCAAACACAACATGCTTAGAGATCACACTCAACCACTGAAATCACCATCATCATCCAAACGCTAACATCCAGCTGATGTTAATCACCTGTCATCTAACATCCAACAACCATCACATCCACACTGACTGGCCATTGTCTCACTTCTCATTCACTCAGTCATCTGCTGAGGTGCTGGAGCCAACATGGCCGCCGTGTCAGGTAATGTAACTCATTAATCAACACACACAATGAAGGCAGCTGGTTTCTGCACCATTGCTGATTGTGAGAGGAACACGACTGCCAACTGTCATCATTATCCGGAATATGAATGAGCAAATACTCTGGTATTGTCCTTTTACCTACCGAGGGTGACAAGTCTATGTGTGTGTGTGTGTGTGTGTGTGTTTGTGAGAGAAAGAGAGAGAAATCGTGTGTTCACTTTGACGATTATTCTCTCCCTTTCCACCCAGGAGTATTTCCCCCCTCCATCATTTATTTATCGGTTTTCCCTCTCTCCTGCCGTCCTCTCTGCGGTGTCATCCCTCATTCCAAGCTGTCACTCAACCTGAAAGAACACCGCAGTGCCGCTGAGCTGCGTTAGAGAGAGACGGTCACTCACCGGGTTTGGCCACGAAGGCGCTGTCAACATTAGTTTGTTTTGCTCCGGGCCTAAACCTGCCTGTCACTGTTGTCTTTGTATTAGGAGTGCCCCCCTCTTCTTCTAGTTCATTTGTTATGGCACATTGACTCTCACTTTGCAATGAACACAGCACTCCCTCTCTCTAGTTTCTTTGCTGTGCCCTTCCTCGCTCAAACATACACACACTCTCTCTCCCTCGGTCTGATGCAATCTTTTGTTTGTCTCGACACCTGGCAGTGAAGGTATCCAGCTGTTAATGCAATCTCTCTCTCCCTCCCACTCTCCCTCTCCCCAGCACTTCACACTTGTAGATAGCGGACAGAATGAAAAGTGTCCTTAGGGAGTTGAGAGTCACTTTATGCTGAAGGTAAGAGAGGACACTGTCTTAACCCCTAGACAGGACACACTCTCTTCCTCCTCCAGAGGCTGTAGAATGAGGGACATGTGAGGGGAGGTGTGGCAGGCTATCAGGAACTGTTGGGGCTAATCAGATTCAGTGTGTGAAAATGTGTGGAGGCACATGTTGCAGCAAAATCGGAAGCTCTGGTTAATAGTACTGCAGCAGATTGTCGTGTGGGTCGAGAGGGGGGTGAGAGCTGGAGGGGGAGAGTGGGGAGAGACAGGATAGTGTACATGCGAGAGAGAGAGAGAGAGATAGCAAGGGGGGTAAGCAAGAGCGGAAGCATGAGAAGGAGAGAGAAAGAGCACAGGGAAAGAGGGAGCGAGAAAGCAAGCAAGTAATCAGGCAAGAGAGAGAGAGAGCAAGGGAAAAAGCGAGTGTGTAAGCGAGAGCGTATGAGCGAGGTAAAGAGGTGATTAGGTTCTAGCCCGGGGGCCTGAATATGATTAGGTTCTGCGGTAAACAGCCCTGGTGATGAATGTGAAATACTGTTTCCCCTCCATTTAAACAGGGAAATATTTCACAGTTTTCACTGGCATAGACAAATTATCACCACACCACTGTATACAGTTCAACATGAGACTGTGACTACAGATAATTCCCAGGCTGAATGGTGTGCAGCAACGCCTGGTAAAAGGACATTTGCAATATCTGCACAATTACTGTAAAATGACTAAGTAGCTACATGAGGTACTATGTGGAGTCGAAAATGTATGACTAAGGCCTTGTTTCATATAACTCCCGGTCGCGGCCGGCTGCGACAGAGCCTGGATTCGAACCAGGATCTAGTGGCACAGTTAGCACTGCGATGCAGTGCCTTAGACCACTGCGCAGCCGGCCGCGACCGGGAGACTCATGGGCGGTTTTGCAGGTTTTCCTACTTACAAAGCATGTAGAGGTCTGTAATTTTTATCATAGGTACACTTCAACTGTGAGAGACGGAAAATCCCATTGTATGATTTTTAAGTAATTAATTAGCATTTTATTGCATGACATAAGTATTTGATACATCAGAAAAGCAGAACTTAATATTTGGTACAGAAACCTTTGTTTGCAATTACAGAGATCATACGTTTCCTGTAGGTCTTGACCAGGTTTGCACACACTGCAGCAGGGATTTTGGCCCACTCCTCCATACAGACCTTCTCCAGATCCTTCAGGTTTCGGGGCTGTCGCTGGGCAATACGGACTTTCAGCTCCCTCCAAAGATTTTCTATTGGGTTCAGGTCTGGAGACTGGCTGGGCCACTCCAGGACCTTGAGATGCTTCTTACGGAGCCACTCCTTAGTTGCCCTGGTTGTGTGTTTCGGGTCGTTGTCATGCTGGAAGACCCAGCCACGACCCATCTCCAATGCTCTTACTGAGGGAAGGAGGTTGTTGGCCAAGATCTCGCGATACATGGCCCCATCCATCCTCCCCTCAATACGGTGCAGTCGTCCTGTCCCCTTTGCAGAAAAGCATCCCCAAAGAATGATGTTTCCACCTTCATGCTTCACGGTTGGGATGGTGTTCTTGGGGTTGTACTCATCCTTCTTCTTCCTCCAAACACGGCGAGTGGAGTTTAGACCAAAAAGCTCTATTTTTGTCTCATCAGACCACATGACCTTCTCCCATTCCTCCTCTGGATCATCCAGATGGTCATTGGCAAACTTCAGACGGGCCTGGACATGCGCTGGCTTGAGCAGGGGGACCTTGCGTGCGCTGCAGGATTTTAATCCATGACAGCGTAGTGTGTTACTAATGGTTCTCTTTGAGACTGTGGTCCCAGCTCTCTTCAGGTCATTGACCAGGTCCTGCCGTGTAGTTCTGGACTGATCCCTCACCTTCCTCATGATCATTGATGCCCCACGAGGTGAGATCTTGCATGGAGCCCCAGAGCGAGGGTGATTGACCGTCATCTTGAACTTCTTCCATTTTCTAATAATTGTGCCAACAGTTGTTGCCTTCTCACCAAGCTGCTTGCCTATTGTCCTGTAGCCCATCCCAGCTTTGTGCAGGTCTACAATTTTATCCCTGATGTCCTTACACAGCTCTCTGGTCTTGGCCATTGTGGAGAGGTTGGAGTCTGTTTGATTGAGTGTGTGGACAGGTGTCTTTTAGACAGGTAACAAGTTCAAACAGGTGCAGTTAATACAGGTAATGAGTGGAGAACAGGAGGGCTTCTTAAAGAAAAAATGAACAGGTCTGTGAGAGTCGGAATTATTACTGGTTGGTAGGTGATCAAATACTTATGTCATGCTATATATATATATTTTTTTTACAACCGTGTTAAATCCTAAACAATATTTCTCATTACAACAGAGACATTTGAAGCTTCACTTGCAGTATTCGAACAAGACATAAAACATTGTCTCAAAGGAAATCTGTTCATGCATATTTAACACCCAATCCAATATAAGTCTTGGTCAGCCTCTGTAAGCTACAGTATATCACCCATTTCCTTCATTCAAACATGAGAGCATCTCAAATGCACTGACACAGGGAGAAGCTTACTGTGGCCAAAGTCCTTACTGTGGCCAAACAGAAATGTCAGGGAGGATATCAGAACGCCTTAGAGTAGGTAGGTGTGTGTTCTGGGTGGTATTTTGCTGTGTAAGACATTTTTCTTTTTATCTTAAAGGCCAGATTCACTAAGTGCTTCCACCTGTTATTTTCAAGAGGGAATAGAATCAGCTGTTTCTGTAGCGTGAGGCAGCTTGCTGTACAAGTACACCCGCTGGACAGGACGCTAGTCTATCGCAGGGCCTTAAAGGGGTAGTTCTCCCAAAATTCTAAGTTTGTCAGATGTTTGCGTACCTCATAAGTCCATATTCTGTGCCATCTGTTGTGTTGATTTGGGAGTGAACTATCCCTTTGCGAAGAGCACTTCTATCAACTACCAGGTATTGCCCAATCAACTATATATTCTGTGTAACTGACCAGTGTTCGCTAACACAACCCAATTGTGCTCCTGCAACGTTGCGAGCCTCCCAAACAAGTTACATATCGAAATGCTTTGGCATCGAGTCAGCACTATGCTAAACCTCCCTCTATGGTACAACCCCATGTGGTGTTTGTTTATGCATGCCATGTCATGTCATGAGCTGCTAGTTGGGAGTCAGAAAACAAGCACATAGGGAGGTAAGGACCATGGAAATATAATTACTAATACTATTTCTATGGTAAGGACGCTAAACTGGGCACAGCATAGTGTACGACGGGCCAATTTCATACTCAAGCTGTTTAGAATTAATCAGACCCAATGATTGTGTTAGGGACCCCAGTGCAGCTTGGGAAGGGGTTAGACAAAGGCTGAATGAATGCTAAACGCACCGGATAAAAGGGTAGCGACAGAAACGTCTGCCAAAATGTTTTGTAAATGTAATTTTATATCAATTTCCTGGTAATTTATTCTTCAATGGAAAGCACTTGTAGAATGGAAATGGAAAGCACAAGCCACTGTGTCCTGTAAAGACCCATAGATGTGGCTGTGTTGGATTTGACCAATCCGGCTTCCTGTGGGAGTTGATTAATACTGGATTCATTGATTAATCTGAGTTAACGCAGCGGTGTGTTCCCATGAGTCAGTGGTGCACTTGAGGGATGCGTGTGTAGTGTGCTTGTACTCGTCTCACGCCACCCCTGTGTGTGTGTGTGTGTGTGTGTGTGTGTGTGTGTGTGTGTGTGTGTTTGTGTAGCCGTGTCCTCGTCTTTTGGAGCAGTGGTTCCCAACTGTGGTCCTCCAGTACCCCCAACAGTACACATTTTTATTGTAGCTTGGACAACACACCTGATTCAACTTGTCAACTAACCAAGCCCTCAATGAGTTGAATCAGGTGTGCTTGTCCGGGGCTACAACAAAAATGTGTGCTGTTGGGGGTACTGGAGGACTGGAGTTGGGAACCACTGTTTTGGAGGATATTGTCAAATACAAGGGCAGTTGGTGTGTGATGTGGGCATTTCTCAAACTGGCAACAGAAGGTAGGGAATCCCCATCTCTCTCTCTCTCTCTCCCTCGTATCGTTGGTGAGTTAATGTTCTTTCTCCACACACACAAACTGAGTGTCAGGACGCATCAAGGCCTCTGCCAATCACCACAGCATAGGGGAAACAGAGCGGGGCCAGCCCTCAGTGAAACCAGGAAAAGCACTCAATGTCTTTTGGAGCCTCGCCTCGTGAGTTGAACAGTAGAGGATGGTAGGTTGAGAACAGGAGTCTTACCTACGGGTATGAGGGAATTGAAGGAGGAGAAAAGCGGAAAGTATAGGAAGACAGGGCTCCAGACTACGACCATTTAGTCGCATTTTGCAACATTTTGACTTGGCTGTGCAAGTAAAACATCTTATTGGTTGCATCGGCGCGAGCTGAACATTCACTACATGGTCACCTCACTCAAAAGTTTCAAAATGTCCTATTTTTCTGACGGCTAAAACAATGATTTGGTCAAACAGTAAAGTGCATTATCCTCAAGATTCCTGTAATGAAAGTGTCTGACCAACCCTGTAACTGTTTCGCTGGTGCCTGCTGTGACGAGCGAGCCACACTCTCTCCCCCGAAAAAAGGGTTCTGATTGTATAACATTTAAAAATCCAACTGCGGGAAAAACACAGTGTTGGAAGCAACAACTGCTGAAACTATTGAAGAGAGGATATTCTCAGCTTTCTGTGGGTATCCTTTTTTTCTCAACTCTTTATATTGAGCTCAATAGCAAATATTTTACAACCTGAAATGAGCTGAAATAAAAGATACACACAAAAAGCTTATTTCTCTCAAATTTTGTGCACAAATTTGTTAACATCCCTGTTAGTGAGCATTTCTCCTTTGCCACGATAATCCATCCACCTGACAGGTGTGGCATATCAAGAAGCTGATTAAACAGCATGATCATTACACAGGTGCACCTTGTGCTGGGGACAATAAAAGGCCACTAAAATGTCCAGTTTTGTCACACAACACAATACCACAGATGTCTCAAGTTTTGAGGGAGCATGCAATTGTCATGCTGACTGCAGGAATGTCCACCAGAGCTGTTGCCAGATAATTTAATGTTAATTTCTCTACCATAAGACGCCTCCAATGTTGTTTTTAGATAGTTGGCAGTACATCCAACCGGCCTCACAACCGCAGAACACGTGTAACCATGCCATCCCAGGACCTCCACATCCGGCTTCCTCACCTGCGGGATTGTCTGAGACCAGCCACCTGGACAGCTGATGAAACTGAGGAGTATTGCTGTCTGCAATAAAGCTCTTTTGTGGGGAAAAACTCATTCTGATTGGCTGGGCCTGGCTCCCAAGTGGGTGGATCTATGCCCTCCCAGGCCCACCCATGGCTGTGCCCCTTCCCTGTCATGTGAAATCCATAGATTAGGGCCTAATTAATTTATTTCAATTGACTGATTTCCTTATATGAACTATAACTAAGTAAAATAGTTGAAATTGTTGCATGTTGTGTTTATATTTTTGTTCAGTATATATGGCTTTGAGACATACAGAACACTTGAAATGCACATCGGCCATTGCGAGTGCATAGGGTAGTAGGCTACAACTGCAACGTTTCTTTAGGACATTACATTTACATGACTACTAGCAGTGGGTATTATATTTAGTGTTAGCGATCTAGCTAATGTGTTTTGAGTTTTAGCCCCAAATAAATTTGCCTATGATATTAATGCACATAAAGATGTAGGCAAATTAATCTCTATTGAACAACAAAATTCTGAACATTCTGGAGCCCTATTTTAACGGTATTGATTGAAGCCTCGAAAAAGAATGGTGCGACCAAATCATGGGCTGGTTCCACCAACTGAAAAAGTTAGTGGCACCAGACTAAAATGTTAGTCTGGAGCCCTGAAAGGGGCGAATTGTAACTTCCACTTAAGTAAAACATTTTTACTTAGTCTCCCATTGACATCAATACATGACTAAGTGAACATTTGACTTAAGTGGTAGTTACTACTACCCCTTACTACTGAGAGGAACAAGAGGTGAGTTGGAATAAAAGAGGAGAGGAGTAAGGAAAGGATTAGAATAGTCAAGATTGGTAGTAAGGGTAGTGTAGGTCAGTAGTAAGGGTACTGTAGGGCAGTAGTAAGGGTAGTGTAGGTCAGTAGTAAGGGTACTGTAGGGCAGTAGTAAGGGTAGTGTAGGTCAGTAGTAAGGGTACTGTAGGGCAGTAGTAAGGGTAGTGTAGGTCAGTAGTAAGGGTGGAGTAGATTAGTTGTAAGGGTGGAGTAGATTAGTAGTAAGGGTAGTGTAGGTCAGTAGTAAGGGTAGTGTAGGTCAGTAGTAAGGGTGGTGTAGGTCAGTAGTAAGGGTGGTGTAGGTCAGTAGTAAGGGTGGAGTAGATTAGTAGTAAGGGTACTGTAGGTCAGTAGTAAGGGTAGTGTAGGTCAGTAGTAAGGGTGGTGTAGGTCAGTAGTAAGGGTGGTGTAGGTCAGTAGTAAGGGTGGTGTAGATTAGTAGTAAGGGTAGTGTAGGTCAGTAGTAAGGGTGGTGTAGATTAGTAGTAAGGGTACTGTAGGTCAGTAGTAAGGGTGGTGTAGATTAGTAGTAAGGGTAGTGTAGGTCAGTAGTAAGGGTGGTGTAGGTCAGTAGTAAGGGTGGTGTAGATTAGTAGTAAGGGTACTGTAGGTCAGTAGTAAGGGTGGTGTAGATTAGTAGTAAGGGTAGTGTAGGTCAGTAGTAAGGGTGGTGTAGGTCAGTAGTAAGGGTGGTGTAGATTAGTAGTAAGGGTAGTATAGGTCAGTAGTAAGGGTGGTGTAGGTCAGTAGTAAGGGTGGTGTAGATTAGTAGTAAGGGTAGTGTAGGTCAGTAGTAAGGGTGGTGTAGGTCAGTAGTAAGGGTGGTGTAGATTAGTAGTAAGGGTAGTATAGGTCAGTAGTAAGGGTGGTGTAGGTCAGTAGTAAGGGTGGTGTAGATTAGTAGTAAGGGTAGTGTAGGTCAGTAGTAAGGGTGGTGTAGGTCAGTAGTAAGGGTGGTGTAGATTAGTAGTAAGGGTAGTGTAGGTCAGTAGTAAGGGTGGTGTAGGTCAGTAGTAAGGGTGGTGTAGATTAGTAGTAAGGGTAGTGTAGGTCAGTAGTAAGGGTGGTGTAGATTAGTAGTAAGGGTAGTGTAGATTAGTAGTAAGGGTAGTGTAGGTCAGTAGTAAGGGTAGTGTAGATTAGTAGTAAGGGTACTGTAGGTCAGTAGTAAGGGTAGTGTAGGTCAGTAGTAAGGGTAGTGTAGGTCAGTAGTAAGGGTACTGTAGGGCAGTAGTAAGGGTAGTGTAGGTCAGTAGTAAGGGTGGTGTAGGTCAGTAGTAAGGGTAGTGTAGGTCAGTAGTAAGGGTAGTGTAGGTCAGTAGTAAGGGTACTGTAGGTCAGTAGTAAGGGTGGTGTAGGTCAGTAGTAAGGGTAGTGTAGGTCAGTAGTAAGGGTGGTGTAGATTAGTAGTAAGGGTACTGTAGGTCAGTAGTAATGGTGGTGTAGGTCAGTAGTAAGGGTAGTGTAGGTCAGTAGTAAGGGTGGTGTAGATTAGTAGTAAGGGTACTGTAGGTCAGTAGTAAGGGTGGTGTAGGTCAGTAGTAAGGGTAGTGTAGGTCAGTAGTAAGGGTAGTGTAGGTCAGTAGTAAGGGTACTGTAGGTCAGTAGTAAGGGTGGTGTAGGTCAGTAGTAAGGGTAGTGTAGGTCAGTAGTAAGGGTAGTGTAGATTAGTAGTAAGGGTACTGTAGGTCAGTAGTAAGGGTGGTGTAGATTAGTAGTAAGGGTAGTGTAGGTCAGTAGTAAGGGTACTGTAGGTCAGTAGTAAGGGTGGTGTAGGTCAGTAGTAAGGGTGGTGTAGATTAGTAGTAAGGGTAGTGTGGGTCAGTAGTAAGGGTAGTGTAGATTAGTAGTAAGGGTAGTGTAGGTCAGTAGTAAGGGTAGTGTAGGTCAGTAGTAAGGGTAGTGTAGGTCAGTAGTAAGGGTAGTGTAGGTCAGTAGTAAGGGTAGTGTAGGGCAGTAGTAAGGGTACTGTAGGGCAGTAGTAAGGGTACTGTAGGGCAGTAGTAAGGGTAGTGTAGGTCAGTAGTAAGGGTAGTGTAGATTAGTAGTAAGGGTACTGTAGGTCAGTAGTAAGGGTAGTGTAGATTAGTAGTAAGGGTAGTGTAGGTCAGTAGTAAGGGTAGTGTAGATTAGTAGTAAGGGTAGTGTAGGTCAGTAGTAAGGGTAGTGTAGGTCAGTAGTAAGGGTGGTGTAGGTCAGTAGTAAGGGTGGTGTAGATTAGTAGTAAGGGTAGTGTGGGTCAGTAGTAAGGGTGGTGTAGATTAGTAGTTTTCCTACCTATAAGGGAGTTGAGGGAGGAGTAAGAGGAGACTCGTCTCATCTTGTCGATGGTCTCAAAGGAGAGGATGTACTCGTCGTTGTCAGGGCTACCCAGGGTGCTGCTAGCACTGCTGCTGGTGCTCAAGTTACCTGGCGAGAATGCCACCGGACCACCTAGACATACAAATTACAGAATAGTAGTTACACAACAGAATCACTATAACCTGAAATATACCATATTATACCAGAATAACTATACCCTGAAATATACCATATTATACCAGAATAAATATACCCTGAAATATACCATTTTATACCAGAATAACTATACCCTGAAATATACCATATTATACCAGAACAACTATACCCTGAAATATACCATATTATACCAGAATAACTATACGCTGAAATATGCTATATTATACCAGAATAACTGTACCCTGAAATATTCCATATTATACCAGAATAAAAACACTACCATTCAAAAGTTTGGGGTTGCTTAGAAATGTCCTTGTTTTCCATGAAAACATACATGAAATGAGTTTGAATAGGAAATATAGCAAAATTAATAGGAAATGTAGTCATTGACATAATAATTGAAATAATAATTGTGTCCTTCAAACTTTGCTTTCGTCAAAGAATCCTCCAGTTGCAGCCTTGCAGACCTTTGGCATTCTAGTTGTCAATTTGTTGAGGTAATCTGAAGAGATTTCACCCCATGCTTCCTGAAGCACCTCCCACAAGTTGGATTGGCTTGATGGGCACTTCTTACGTACCATACGATCAAGCTGCTCCCTCAACAGCTCAATAGGGTTGAGATCCGGTGACTGTGCTCGCCACTCCATTATAGACAAAATACCAGCTGACTGCTTCTTCCCTAAATACACTGCTCAAAAAAATAAAGGGAACACTAAAATAACACATCCTAGATCTGAATGAATGAAATAATCTTATTAAATACTTTTTTCTTTACGTAGTTGAATTATCAATGGAAATCAAATTTATCAACCCATGGTGGTCTTGATTTGGAGTCACCCTCAAAATTAAAGTGGAAAACCACACTACAGGCTGATCCAACTTTGATGTAATGTCCTTAAAACAAGTCAAAATGAGGCTCAAATCAAATCAAATCAAATTTTAATAATAATAATAATAATAATAATAATAATAATAATATGCCATTTAGCAGACGCTTTTATCCAAAGCGACTTACAGTCATGCGTGCATACATTTTTTTTTGTGTATGGGTGGTCCCGGGGATCGAACCCACTACCTTGGCGTTACAAGCGCCGTGCTCTACCAGCTGAGCTACAGAGGACCATGCGCCGAATACAACAGGTGCAGACATTACAGTGAAATGCTTACTTACAGCCCTTAACCAACAGTGCATTTATTTTAAACAAAAAAAGTACAAATAAAACAACAACAAAAAAAGTGTTGAGAAAAAAAAGAGCAGAAGTAAAATAAAGTGACAGTAGGGAGGCTATATATACAGGGGGGTACCGTTGCAGAGTCAATGTGCGGGGGCACCGGCTAGTTGAGGTAGTTGAGGTAATATGTACATGTGTACACTCAGTAGTGTGTGTGGCCTCCATGTGCCTGTATGACCTCCCTACAACGCCTGGGCATGCTCCTGATGAGGTGGCGGATGGTCTCCTGAGGGATCTCCTCCCAGACCTGGACTAAAGCATCCGCCAACTCCTGGACAGTCTGTGGTGCAACGTGGCGTTGGTGGATGGAGCGAGACATGATGTCCCAGATGTGCTCAATTGGATTCAGGTCTGGGGAACGGACGGGCCAGTCCATAGCATCAATGCCTTCCTCTTGCAGGAACTGCTGACACACTCCAGCCACATGAGGTCTAGCATTGTCTTGCATTAGGAGGAACCCAGGGCCAACCGCACCAGCATATGGTCTCACGAGGGGTCTGAGGATCTCATCTCGGTACCGAATGGCAGTCAGGCTACCTCTGGCGAGCACATGGAGGGCTGTGCGGCCCCCCAAAGAAATGCCACCCCACACCATGACTGACCCACCGCCAAACCGGTCATGCTGGAGGATGTTGCAGGCAGCAGAACGTTCTCCACGGCGTCTCCAGACTCTGTCACGTCTGTCACATGTGCTCAGTGTGAACCTGCTTTCATCTGTGAAGAGCACAGGGCGCCAGTGGCGAATTTGCCAATCTTGGTGTTCTCTGGCAAATGCCAAACGTCCTGCACGGTGTTGGGCTGTAAGCACAACCCCCACCTGTGGACGTCGGGCCCTCATACCACCCTCATGGAGTCTGTTTCTGACCGTTTGAGCAGACACATGCACATTTGTGGCCTGCTGGAGGTCATTTTGCAGGGCTCTGGCAGTGCTCCTCCTGCTCCTCCTTGCACAAAGGCGGAGGTAGCAGTCCTGCTGCTGGGTTGTTGCCCTCCTACGGCCTCCTCCACGTCTCCTGATGTACTGGCCTGTCTCCTGGTAGCGCCTCCATGCTCTGGACACTACGCTGACAGACACAGCAAACCTTCTTGCCACAGCTCGCATTGATGTGCCATCTTGGATGAGCTGCACTACCTGAGCCACTTGTGTGGGTTGTAGACTCCGTCTCATGCTACCACTAGAGTGAAAGCACCGCCAGCATTCAAAAGTGACCAAAACATCAGCCAGGAAGCATAGGAACTGAGAAGTGGTCTGTGGTCACCACCTGCAAAACCAGTCCTTTATTGGGGGTGTCTTGCTAATTGCCTATAATTTCCACCTGTTGTCTATTCCATTTGCACAACAGCATGTGACATTTATTGTCAATCAGTGTTGCTTCCTAAGTGGACAGTTTGATTTCACAGAAGTGTGATTGACTTGGAGTTACATTGTGTTGTTTAAGTGTTCCCTTTATTTTTTTGAGCAGTGTAGTTATTGCATAGTTTGGAGCTGTGCTTTGGGTCATTGTCCTGTTGTAGGAGGAAATTGGCTCCAATCAAGCGCCGTCCACAGGGTATGAGATGGCGTTGCAAAATAGAGTGATAGCCTTCCTTCTTCAAGATCCCTTTTACCCTGTACAAATCTCCCACTTTACCACCACCAAAGCACCCCCAGACCATCACATTGCCTCCACCATGCTTGACAGATGGCATCAAGCACTCCTCCAGCATCTTTTCATTTGGTCTGCGTCTCACAAATGTTCTTCTTTGTGATCCGAACACCTCAAGCTTCGATTTGTCTGTCCATAACACTTTATTCCAATCTTCCTCTGTCCAGTGTCTGTGTTCTTTTGCCCATCTTAATCTTTTCTTTTTATTGGCCAGTCTGAGATATGGCTTTCTCTTTGCAACTCTGCCTAGAAGGTCAGCATCCCGGAGTCGCCTCTTCACTGTTGACGTTGAGACTGGTGTTTTGCGGGTACTATTTAATGAAGCTGCCAGTTGAGCACCTGTGAGGCGTCTGTTTCTCAAACTAGACACTAATGTATTTGTCCTCTTGCTCTGTTGTGCACCGGGGCCTCCCACTCCTCTTTCTATTCTGGTTAGAGCCAGTTTGCGCTGTTCTGTGAAGGGAGTAGTACACAGCGTTGTACGAGATCTTCAGTTTCTTGGCAATTTCTCGCATGGAATAGCCTTCATTTCTCAGAACAAGAAGAGACTGACGAGTTTCAGAAGAAAGTTCTTTGTTTCCAGTATGAAAATGTATGCACTCAAGTGTAAGTCGCTCTGGATAAGAGCGTCTGCTAAATGACTGAAATATAAATGTTTCTGGCCATTTTGAGCCTGTAATCGAACCCACAATTGCCAGTTTTATTGCTGCTTTAATCAGCACAACAGTTTTCAGCTGTGCTAACATAATTGCAAAAGGGTTTTCTAATGATCAATTAGCCTTTTAAAATTATAAACTTGGATTCGCAAACACAACGCGCCATTGGAACACAGGACTGATGGTTGCTGATAATGGGCCTCTGTACGCCTATGTAGATAGTCCATTAAAAATCAGCCGTTTCCAGCTACAATAGCTATTTACAACATTAGCAATGTATACACAGTATTTCTGAACAATTTGATGTTATTTTAATGGCCAAAACAATTGCTTTTCTTTCAAAAACAAGGACATTTCTAAGTGACCCTAAACTTTTGAATGGTAGTGTTTACCCTGAAATATACCATATTATACCAGAATAACTATACCCTGATGTAATGCATATGGACCAGTAACAAATGGAGCTTGAAAATAAAGTACTTGTTCTGTTCTGATTTTTGATTTTGTGTGTGTATGTGTGTGTTTCTGCAGGTAAAGTGAAGTGTTAACTTTTTGCTAGCTCAAGAAATCAAACACCCCCCCCACCCACCAAATCTGCCTCTAGCTAGAAAACTAGAAACTACAAGCTATCGACTGGACCTTCCATTCAATCTCCCCAGCCTATTCTAACTGTCCTCCCGAGTCATCACACTCTATAACTCTACACAACTTCCCATTATCATCGTCTGACTCACACAAAATGGCCACCATATATCCCTGTGACGGAGTGCATATTGAGATGGGGATTGGGAGTAGGCAAGGCAGGCTAAACGGTTTGTCATGGTTATTGGTGACAAGAACCGCTGTCAGTTAGAATGAGTGGACGATGTGGATCGAGAGAGGCTGTAAGCTGTAAGCTAACGTGCTAGCAGCTAGTATTACTCAGCATGGCTATATTGCCATGTGGCTGTGCTGACAGGGCCTTCAGCTAGAATGAGCTGACATCCCCCCCCCCCCCCAACCCCAACACACACAAACACACGCTAAGCCCTAGCATCAGCGTGGTAAACCCGAGGAGGATTATATTCTCTGTCGTGACTTTGCCATCGTAACTATGATGATGATTCTTCAAATCACTTCAAGTAACTCTTTCGGAAAGAAGAGAGGCTCTACCCTTACGTCCATTTCTTTCTCTCCATCTCCCTCTACAGTACATAACCACATGTATCTCTCCCTTTATTTCCATCTCTCTTTCTTTCAGCCTCGATGTCATCCTCTCCATCTCTCTCTCCTACCCTCTTCGTTGAGGTTGAGGTTCTGCAGGCTCTTGTTGAGGTTGCGTGCGGTGGTGGCAGCTCTGATGTTGGTGTAGGAATTGACTGAACGCAGCCGAGGGACGGCCGGGCTGTCGCGCACTGGAGTCAGGTTACCAGGCTCTGTACAGACACACACAGGTCAATTAACTGATTCATTTGGCACTAAATGGAATACAGTAGCGACATGACAATCAATGTGAGAATAGGTAATAAAGGTCATTTTAAATATTGATGTGCTCTATCAAAACATGCTGCATATTTCATTAAAACTCCCTCAGATCCCTAAACCCCATTTCACATGTACAGCAGTTAGTATGAGTGGACCAGTGTGCTTTACAACAATACACGTCAATTACTTCCTATTGTAATGATTATGACAGAAGATCGAAGTGTGTGCATGTGGTGTGTGTGTGTGTGTGTGTGTACCTAAGGTGTTGGCAGGTGAGGGTACAGTGTAGTTCTTCTCCTCCTCCATGAACTGCAGGGCCACGGTGCAGAAGTTACTCTCATACTGAACCACCAGGTGACTCAGAGCCACCACCAGCTCCTGGAGAACACAACGCGACCACATAGTCAACCATAATCCAACACACATGGTAGAACCTAGTCAACCACAGCAAAAGACGTATCATGGTCAACCAGCCACAGTAAAATCAGTCAACGACCTTACCAAGAACATTGGAAATAGCGAGATGAGAAAAAGAAGTGTGTACGTGTGTGTGTGACCCACCTTGCGGACCACAGGGCTGCCGTCGTTGATGAGCTGTGCCAGCATCATGGCCACGTTGTGGTCGATGGTCGTAGAGTGGTCCGTCCGCTCAGCTGAGTTCCCCACAAATGTCCCCAGGGCAAACACCGCCGCACAGCGCACCTGAGGAGACCGGGGATAGTTTGGTACCAAGAGAAGCCAGTCCCTAGTCACTTCCTGGTTGGATCCAGACCAAGTCATTGGTCAGTCATTGGTTAGATTGCTTTGGTACTGCTTTTTAAAGGGGAATCAATACTAATACTCACTACTTAATCCTCTCATTTCTAATGCAGACATATTTACTGAGAAAATCAAAGGTGCCTGAAAATAATAATTCACCATTGGTCACGCAATACCTCCCATCACACTAAGTTACTGCATAAGCTAAGTAACAATAACTCCTACTTCTAAATTGTAATCTAAGAAAGTGCCGGTCCACATAATCCATTGAGTATTCTCTAAGTATCTCTCTCAGTGCAGTGCCTGTCATATGCAAAACTCAAATCTGGCCCTGTGTGTGTGTGTGTGTGTTGCAAAGAGTAAATATACCTCTCCTCTTGAGAAACCCCCCCAACAGGCCTCAGCTGAAAGTTAATTAAAACCCCTTTCTGCTTAGTCACTGATCTATCTTCCTCCCTCTGCCTCCCTCTGTTCTCTCCAGTCCTCTCACTCTGTCCATCTCTCTCCCTCTGCGTTCTATGGGGTACTAGACACACACCTTCATTTTAAAGAGAGGAACTGAAGAGGAGGGAGCTGCTCAAACTAGTCAAGTAATAAATATACGTTTTTAGATTGTGGTTTGTGTGTGCCTGGGTTCTCCAATGTCCCTGGGATTCAAATCCCAATTCTTCAGCTGTGATGTATGGCACTCACAACATACAGTGAGGAAAAGGGATGACCCTTGCTATTCTCCCCTCAGAATGCAGTCTGTATGTATGCATGGAGAGACAGATACACCCACATTCAAAACTGTTATAAATTGATTTGCATTTTAATGAGGGAAATAATTATTTGACCCCGCTGCTAAACATGACTTAGTACTTGGTGGCAAAACCCTTGTTGGCAATCACAGAGGTCAGACGTTTCTTGTAGTTGACCACCAGGTTTGCACACATCTCAGGAGGGATTTTGTCCCACTCCTCTTTGCAGATCTTCTCCAAGTCGTTAAGGTTTTTACATTTTACATTTTTTTTTTACATTTTTAGTCATTTAGCAGACGCTCTTATCCAGAGCGACTTACAGGAGCAATTAGGGTTAAGTGCCTTGCTCAAGGGCACATCGACAGATTTTTCACCTAGTCGGCTCTGGGATTAGAACCAGCGACCTTTCGGTTACTGGCACAACGCTCTTACCCACTAAGCTACCTGCCGTTTTGAGGCTGACGTTTGGCAACTCGAACCTTCAGCTCCCTCCACAGATTTTCTATGGGATTAAGGTCTGGAGACTGGCTAGGCCACTCCAGGACCTTAATGTGCTTCTTCTTGAGCCACTCCTTTGTTGCCTTGGCCATGTGTTTTGGGTCATTGTCATGCTGGAATACCCATCCACGACCCATTTTCAATGCCCTGGCTGAGGGAAGGAGGTTCTCACCCAAGATTTGACGGTACATGGCCCCGTCCATCGTCCTTTTGATGCGGTGAAGTTGTCCTGTCCCCTTAGCAGAAAAACACCCCCAAAGCATAATGTTTCCACCTCCATGTTTGACGGTGGGGATGGTGTTCTTGGGGTCATAGGCAGCATTCCTCCTCCTCCAAACACGGCGAGTTGAGTTGATGCCAAAGAGCTCCATTTTGGTCTCATCTGACCACAACACTTTCACCCAGTTCTCCTCTGAATCATTCAGATGTTCACTGGTAAACTTCAGATGGGCCTGTATGTGTGCTTTCTTGAACAGGGGGAACTTGCGGGCGCTGCAGGATTTCAGTCCTTCACGGCATAGTGTGTTACCAATTGTTTTCTTGGTGACTATGGTCCCAGCTGCCTTGAGATCATTGACAAGATCCTCCCGCGTAGTTCTGGGTTGATTCCTCACCGTTCTCATGATCATTGCAACTCCACGAGGTGAGATCTTGCATGGAGCCCTAGCCCGAGGGAGATTGACAGTTATTTTGTGTTTCTTCCATTTGCAAATAATCGCCTAAACTGTTGTCACCTTCTCACCAAGCTGCTTGGCGATGCTCTTGTAGCCCATTCCAGCCTTGTGTAGGTCTACAATCTTGTCCCTGACATCCTTGGAGAGCTCTTTGGTCTTGGCCATGGTGGAGAGTTTGGAATCTGATTGATTGATTGCTTCTGTGGACAGGTGTCTTTTATACAGGTAACAAACTGCGATTAGGAGCACTCCCTTAAGAGTGTGCTCCTAATCTCAGTTCTTTACCTGTATAAAATACACCTGGGAGCCAGAAATCTTTCTGATTGAGAGGGGGTCAAATACTTATTTCCCTCATTAAAATGCAAATCAATTTATAACATTTTTGACATGCGTTTTTCTGGATTTTTTTGTTGTTATTCTGTCTCTCACTGTTCAAATAAACCTACCATTAAAATTATAGACTGATCATGTCTTTGTCAGTGGGCAAACGTACAAAATCAGCAGGGGATCAAATACTTTTTTCCCTCACTGTATATGTGTATGTCAGAGTGGATGCAGACCCTAGTCTCACCCTTCAGCCACAGCAGCTGCTTGGCCTCTAGAGAGAGAGGTTGCCCTGCTAGGCTGCAGGCAACAGATGTTCCATGTCTCAGTGTGTGTGTGTGTGCGTGTGTCCTGCATTTCACCCATGTGTGGTGGGTGAAATACAGGGCAAACTGACTATTCACTGTCCCTCAGGTCCTCAAAATTCTAAAGGAACCACTGAACCCCCAATCTGCTAGGTATGTGTGTTACATTCGGTGACTGTGTGTGTGTCCCAAAGGTGTGTGTGCGTGTCTGAAAGGTGTGTATGTCCCAAAGGTGTATGTGAAAGGTGTATTCCTTCCCTCTCACCTCAGGTATGGGGTCGGACAGCAGGCTGTAGAGCTTCTCGTGGGCGCTGTCCCTGACACCACACCAGCGGGCCGAGTCAAAGTTCTGCCAGATGCGTCCCAGGCAGATGGCCACCCACTGACGTAGCAGGGGATGAGGGTCAGAGAGCTGCTCCAGGCAGATAGCTATCAGGTTCCCCTGAAGACAGGCCTCCTGGGGAGGGAGGGGGAGAAAAGGAGGGAAGTAGAGGGTGAGTGGAGGAGGAGGACGAGAAAGGAGTTGGGAGGGAGGAGAGAAAGAGGGGGGCCATGTCAGTAATTCACACACACGTCCACACAATTTCCTTTGATGAGACCCTGTAGCCTAATCCATAGGCCTTTATGACTTGGCTTTAAGCGGAGCTTACCATCTCGAAGTCTATGGGCAAACCCAACAGGGAACTAACCTCAACCTCCCACTGTGAACCTGAAGGGTAGATGTCCAATGCTTGACAGTTAAGTGTTTGTCATCATTTCTGTGGGGTTGTATTGGTTCTTGTGGCTATGAAAAGCCACTATTTGAAAGCCTATACCTATTTTGGCAGACTCTCTGCATTGTGGCAGTATCAAACTATCCTCCATCAGACTACTAGAGCCGTTCAGGGATTTGTGTACAAGTTGAAATAATGTTTTAACTTGATCATACCGTAGCTGAACCCTACCAGTAGGAGTACCATCACTCCTAACCCCTGAAGTTTAGACCACATGTTCCAACCAATCCAACAAACTGAAGTAATGATGAAGTACTAGTTGAATGGAAGGCTTGTATAAATACAAGGAGGCGAGAACGTCGAACGAGCGGCACGTCTTTGTAATGTTGGAGCTCATCTATTATTAACACAGAGCCAATGGTAGAAGGAGAACATTAAGTAAACAGAGAGAGAGAGCGAGAGAGAGAGGGAATGGTGTTTGCGAAAGATATGAAGAGCAAGATGAATAGATGGAAAAATAGATACCAGTAGATAGACAGAAAGACAGACTGACAAAGAGACAGACCGAACGAGACCGACAAAGAGAGCGAGAGAGGGGGGTTTGTAAGGCTATGTGTAAGGCTAAGCTACATCATCGCAATACGACAAATAAGAGACACAAAAAAACAGTCTGGAGCGGTTTCTGGAAATAAATTAGGTGTATACGGTGACAGTTGCCATGACAAAGTGTTGTCAGGAGAGAGAGAGAGCAGAAAGTGAGGACATGTTGAAAATATGACTTATTATCTCCTCTACTGAGAGTTGGGGAGAATTCAGAAGTGTGTCTGTTGAAGGGCTAAAATGACAGACCCAAATCTAACTGCCTGTAGCTCAGGACCTGAAGCAAGGATATGCATATTATTGATACCATTTGAAAGGAAACACTTTGAAGTTTGTGGAAATGTGAAATTAATGTAGGAGAATATAACACATTAGATCTGGTAAAAGATATACATAACAAAAAACATGTGTTTTCTATTATTGTTTTTGTTATATCATCTTTGAAATGAAAGAGAAAGGCCACAATATAATATTGCAGTTTAGGCGCAATTTAGATTTGCCACTAGATGGCAGCAGTGTGTGTGCAAAGTTTCAGATTGATCCAGCGAAGCATTGCAATACTGGACTATTTTGTATCAAGTCTGCCCAAATGTGCCGAATTGGTCAATTGATACATTTTCAAGTTGAGAGAGGCCTGTAATTTTCATCATAGGTACACGTTAACTATGACAGACAAATTGAGGAAAAAAAATACAGAAAATCACATTGTAGGATTTTTTATGAATTTATTTGCAAATTATGGTGGAAAATAAGTATTTGGTCACCTACAAACAAGCAAGATTTCTGGCTCTCACAGACCTGTAACTTCTTCTTTAAGGCTCCTCTGTCCTCCACTTGTTACCTGTATTAATGGCACCTGTTTGAACTTGTTATCAGTATAAAAGACACCTGTCCACAACCTCAAACAGTCACACTCCAAACTCCACTATGGCCAAGACCAAAGAGCTGTCAAAGGACACCAGAAACAAAATTGTAGACCTGCACCAGGCTGGGAAGACTGAATCTGCAATAGATAAGCAGCTTGGTTTGAAGAAATCAACTGTGGGAGCAATTATTAGGAAATGGAAGACATACAAGACCACTGATAATCTCCCTCGATCTGGGGCTCCACGCAAGATCTCACCCCGTGGGGTCAAAATGATCACAAGAATGGTGAGCAAAAATCCCAGAACCACACGGGGGGACATAGTGAATGACCTGCAGAGAGCTGGGACCAAAGTAACAAAGCCTACCATCAGTAACACACTACGCCGCCAGGGACTCAAATCCTGCAGTGCCAGACGTGTCCCCCTGCTTAAGCCAGTACATGTCCAGGCCCGTCTGAAGTTTGCTAGAGTGCATTTGGATGATCCAGAAGAGGATTGGGAGAATGTCATATGGTCAGATGAAACCAAAATAGAACTTTTTGGTAAAAACTCAACTCGTCGTGTTTGGAGGACAAAGAATGCTGAGTTGCATCCAAAGAACACCATACCTACTGTGAAGCATGGGGGTGGAAACATCATGCTTTGGGGCTGTTTTTCTGCAAAGGGACCAGGACGACTGATCCGTGTAAAGGAAAGAATGAACGGGGCCATGTATCGTGAGATTTTGAGTGAAAACCTCCTTCCATCAGCAAAGGCATTGAAGATGAAACGTGGCTGGGTCTTTCAGCATGACAATGATCCCAAACACACCGCCTGGGCAACGAAGGAGTGGCTTCGTAAGAAGCATTTCAAGGTCCTGGAGTGGCCTAGCCAGTCTCCAGATCTCAACCCCATAGAAAATCTTTGGAGGGAGTTGAAAGTCCGTGTTGCCCAGCGACAGCCCCAAAACATCACTGCTCTAGAGGAGATCTGCATGGAGGAATGGGCCAAAATACCAGCAACAGTGTGTGAAAACCTTGTGAAGACTTACAGAAAACGTTTGACCTGTGTCATTGCCAACAAAGGGTATATAACAAAGTATTGAGAAACTTTTGTTATTGACCAAATACTTATTTTCCACCATAATTTGCAAATAAATTCATAAAAAATCCTACAATGTAATTTTCTGGATTTTTAAAAATAATTTTGTCTGTCATAGTTGACGTGTACCTATGATGAAAATTACAGGCCTCTCTCATCTTTTTAAGTGGGAGAACTTGACTATAGAGAACATACAAAAATGATATGGTAATAAAAAAAAAATGTAAGTTTACACACTCCCAAGAATGTCATACATGATGGATCATTAGCTTATACATTAACTTTCACACATCTAGATGGCCGGGTGGGGTGGGTGTGGAGCCAGAGACAGCAGCGGTTCAAACTGTAGAACCCAGTTCCTACATTTGAATATAAAAATTTATTTTATCAAACAAAACTATGCTACATTTTATCTCTGGGACCCTTAGGATGACAAATCAGAGCAAGATTACTGAATGTAAGAACATTATTTAACTTCAGAGGTGAATGTATCAAACCAGTTGCTGTGACACGTTTTTGTTGTTGTTGTGCACTCTCCTCAAACAATAGCATGGTATTTTCTCACTGTAATAGCTACTGTAAATTGGACAGTGCAGTTAGATTAACAGGAATTTAAGCGTTCTGCCCATATAAGACATGTCTATGTCCTGGAAAGTTTGCTGTTACTTACAACAGTCATGCTAATCACATTAGCGCACGTTAGCTCAACCGTCCCGTATACGGGACACCGATTCCGTAGAGGTTTATCAATGTGAGGCTTGCTTTATAATAGCATCATCTTTAAAGTGATTTCTTTATCGAATAATTTACCACATTCTCCCCTAACATCTCTCCTATGTGACCTTTCTCTCTCAAGACACCCACACAGTATGTACGCAGACACACGCGCACACAAGCACACACACACACCTGGCCTGTCGTGTAGCTGTTGACAATCACAGCCAGGATAAAGACAGCCATGGTGCGGTGCTCAGCCTGAAACAGAAAACACAAGAAAAGGTTTTAACATGGCAGGCAACTGCCATGTATCAACTCAGTTCACCAACACCTCATTCATAACTGTGAGCTATGGATCATAGAACACAACATGTTTGAGTAGGTAGAAGTTGTCACTAACCACTGATACAGGGTCAGATATTTTTTCAACTTTAATGGAAAAGGTTAGGATGGGAGGGCAATCTGATCCTAGATCTATGGTTAAGGGTAACATTTGTGTTGCACCCATGATTGCCTCGGTTTTCTCATGCTCTGATTGGTGGATACTCACAGGCATGTAGGGGTCGGCCAGGACAGACAGGAAGTACTTGTGTCCGTTGTCCTTCACCAGGTCTGCCTGACATGACTAGAGAGATAGAGAGAGAAACAATCTTCAAAACCTCAGTTCCAGTAAGTCAGTCTTCGTCACAGTCTTCGTCATTAATCTGCTGTTACTACACGAGTGGTGAACAAAACCCATGACTCACACACACTTCACTTACAGTAGAATCAACTCAGCCTAAATAACTCTTATTTCCTCTATTTAGGTAGATGGCTTTATTGTGCTCCTTGAGGAAATGTTTCAAATATGCAACTACTCAATATAATATTTATAAATAAGGTTAAAGACATAGCCTAGACATTATTGAATAATGCAACTCAATACCTGAGTCACACTACTAAACTGACAGAGAAAAATGACTTTTCTTCCCGTCCTTTCATTTCAAAGTCATTTGATTATTCTAACCACTAACACTGTGATGACTACTCGTGGGTCTGGATGCAAAGGAATCACTATAATACTACAGACTGTCCTACTACCTTAGGACAGTGTTTCCCAAACTTGGTCCTCGGGACCCCAAGGGGTGCACATTTTGGGTTTTGCCCTAACACTACACTGCTGACTAAAATTATCAAAGCTAGATGATTAGTTGATTATATGAATCAGCTGTGTAGTGCTAGGGCAAAAACCAAAACGTGCACCCCTTGGGGTTCCGAGGACCGAGTTTGAGAAACCATGCCTTAGGATTATACGGTTAGTTCTACCATGTAAGTAAAAGGCTAAATGCTTTGTGTTAGTGAGTTTTAGGGTGGGCATTTTATTCAACAGCTAAAAATGTGCCAAAAGGGCTATCACATACTTATGGCCTCTATGAACATTACCCAATATTGACATCCAATAGCTAGCTAAATACTTAACAGTTGGTTGAGGATTCACTCAAATAAGTAGCACAACTCAATCTCCTGATGATGATTAGTCTACATTAACGTCAACTGATATTAAAGTGATTGACTGACATTAACTGACTGAATGGGTTCAGATAGACATATTTTCTGCTTTTATCTGGGGCTGTTATTGACTTTATGGCAATCATGTCTCTGTATAGCTTCACTCATTAGAGCTACTCCATGTGATAGCCTCCAGTGTAAATTATAGGTACAACTATAAATGTAACAATTTAAATGTTGCTTGCTATGAAGGTTGGAGTCTGGTATGGTTTGGTTATTGTGATTGGTGTTATGGTGTACAGTGTGTGTGTGTGTGTGTGTGTGTGTGTGTGTGTGTGCACACGCGCGTGTGTTACTACTCACGCTGTCCACAGCCAGGATCTTAGCCCAGATGAAGACCAGTAGGGGTCGGAGCTCCCGGGCAGAGCTCTGTAGCAGCTTCAACACGTAGGGGAAGATCCCCACTGAGAGGGCCTGAACACACACAAGAGATATTATTCACTTTAAAGTTCAAACCCAAAGAAATCATAACTGGCTTGAAGTATTGTGTGTTTCTAGCAACACCTATTGCGTATTGCAACACCTGCTTCAAAATGAAAAGACTAAGAGGCCCCTAAGGCCCTAAATGTATGTCTATATATTTAATAATATATTATTCCTTTATTATTTTCCCCTAACCCTACCACCCCTCCCCTAATTGGAGTAAACTAATGGACAACAATACTTAGGCTTCTAAATTATACATACTATATACATTTTACGGACACAGTATATATTACATTAGTTATCTTTTGTGTATTTAGTCCCATCCTTCAACTACCCTCAACCCCTCCCATTTATCTCAGAAGACCATCCAGTTTTGATTTCTATTTGACATATATTTTCAACTGTGCTGTGATGTTTGTGATATACATTTTACGGACACTATCTGTGTTAGCTAAACTTGTATTTGGATATGTGTTTGTGTATCGGTAGACAAGAATGCTGTCTAGTTTCTCACCAGACTGACGGCCCAGGGCCCCAGGTCCAGGAAGCGGCCAAGCAGGTCCAGCGCTCTCAGCCTGTGCACCTGACTCAAGAGGACCTGAAAGAGACCAGGGAGGGGGCAGAGGTCAATACTGTGGTGTGTTCAATGTGTTTAGTGGCACTGCGAGCCAAAGGAGGAGAGTGGGAGAGGTGGAACAGGTGGCTCACACCACTCACCAATATGCTGGCACTGGCGATTGTTTGTCTCTCTCTCTCTGTGTGTGTGTGTGTGTCTTGACTGCTTCAGGTGTACATACCGCTTTTGCATAAGAGGTCTGTGTGTAATGAGGTGAGCATATGAATACATGTGTATGGGTGATTTCCCATTCGGTATATGACATTGCATTTGTGTGCATGTGTGTGTACTGTATGTGGGTGGGGCATTATGTTAACAGATTGTGTGTGTTTTTGGCAAGGCAGCACCACCAGGGCCGGACGTTGGCGTGTCCCCATGCGACTGTGTGCCGTGCTGTGTGCGAGAGGGACGCGCGGGGGGGGGGAAGCGGATTCCACACAGCCCACCCCCCCGACCAACCCACACACACGCTGCTATTTCTATCATAGTTTTGTGTATTATTAGAGCAGTGTGACCTCAACCCAGCGACCGTGAGCGAACGCAGGAGGAGACCGGGGTTGGACCGTGCCAGGGTTACCCCTCAACGCTACAGGGGAACGCGTGGGAAAGGAGAGCCTGGGAATTTGTGGTCTGTCTGTTATACAAGAGGAGGAATATTCAGCGATTTAAGAGCGGTTGGAAGCGGAGGGCTGAAAAGGTATACTTCTGAATGATGGTATCATAAAACAGACACTAATGACACACACAGAATAGCAAAGTCGCTCATCAATCTTGTCCCAAATGCTGAGACACAAGTGACAGTGACTAATCAGCATCATCAGCGGGCACGAACACACACACACAACTAAAGTTAACAGACTAAGACCAGTTCAAATGACAGAGTAATATGCTCCTTCACTATCCTGTCATGGGCGATCATCAGTAACACGTGTTACAAGACATCAGGGAGTGAATCAACTGGTACAGATGTTCAATCTGCAGCCACCCACTGATTCACTATACTGTTATAATGATTGAATGGGCTTTGTGAGAGTGTGTCTCCTAGAACGCCAACCCGTCTGAGATGGCAGTCGTAGGACATCACAATCATCTTTCCCAATCCTTTTGTTTCAATGGGAAGTCTAGATGGGAAGTATGTTACTATGATGACATCAAGAGGCTTTATCTCTTTCTGACCCCTCCTCCTCTCTTTTACTTATTTTCCCAAAGCTCCTCATCAATGGATTACACACATGCAATCTCTGAGAACGCAATGTCATAGCGTTAGATATTAGAGATCAACGTAAGATTGTCTGTTCTTACGTGGGTGTGTGTAAGAGCTTACGTGGGTGTGCACAATGATCTACATGTGCACACCCACAAAACACACCCTCTCCACTACCACCCATCAAAAAAAATAAAAAATCCACACTATCCCTCCCCTATCGTTCCACCAGACAGTCTCTTGGTTTTTATTTGCCTTTCTGTCCCCAGTGGACGTGTGAGGGAAGGCTGCAGCTCACAGCTCTGCTGAGTCAGGGGGAAATGACCATGCAGAGTACAGCATGGAGCCGTACAGCAGAGGGACTAGGCCAGCACAACAACACATGGGCCTACTGCTGCTGTGAAGTGACACTTTAAAGAAAACATAGCCTGACATAAAGGGGGAGGGACAGGGTGATGAGAGAGAGAAAGAGCAGCGAGAACCAGAGAGAGAGCGAGAGAGAAAGAGAGAGGGAGTGCATGAAGGCGCTAGCGAGGCAGATAAAATCATTATTTGTGTAGTTAGAGAGCAGGCCATGATTTAACACAGCCAGGCTGACAGAGAGCACGCAACTGCTTGACATTTAAAAGGGCAATTCCGCCAAGCCACTTTAAACATTTTGAATGTTATTATAATGTTATTTTTTTGCAGTGGCCACGATTTAGAAGCGGCGGTGTGCCGCTGCTAAATACATATAGGGGAATTACTGGTGAAGACAAATTGTTCCCAAAATGAGATTTAAACGATGATGGTCAATAATCCAGGAGGATTCTCCACCCCACCACTCGCCATCGTACAGAACTAGTTCCCGGCTGCGCCTCACAAAAGGACAGGTTGAAATGCGCCAATTAAGATTAGAATTTTGATTACAACGTGTGCATAGGCTCTAGTTGTTTTAACGGAATAGCCTGAAATGTTTTTCAGCTCTGATTTACTCAAGAGGCCTAGAGTTTTTTTCCTATATACACATATACACACACAGTACTATTTTCTACATTGTAGAATAATAGTGAAGACATCAAAACCATGAAATAACACATATGGAATCATGTAGTAATCAAAAAAGTGTTTTTTGAGATTCTTCAAAGTAGCCACCCTTTGCCTTCATGACAGCTTTGCACACTCTTGGCATTCGCTCAACCAGATTAATGAGGTAGTCACCTGGAATGCATTTCAATTAACAGGAGTGCCTTGTTAAAAGTTCATTTGTGGAATTTCTTTCCTTCTTAATGTGTTTGAGCAAATCAGTTGTGTTGTGACAAGGTAGGGGTGGTATACAGAAGATAGCCCTATTTGGTAAAAGACCAAGTCCATATTATGGCAAGAATAGCTCAAATAAGTAAAGAGAAACAACAGTCCATCATTACTTTAAGACATGAAGGTCAGTCAATACGGAACATTTCAAGAACTTTAAACGTTTTTTCAAGTGCAGTGCAAAAACCATCAAGCGCTATGATGAAACTGGCTCTCATGAGGACCGACACAGGAAAGGAAGACTCTGCTGCAGAGGATAACTTAATTAGAGTTACCAGCCTCAGAAATGCGTCACAGAGTTCAAGTAATAGACACATCTCAACATCAACTGTTCAGAGGAGACTACATGAATCAGGCCTTCATGGACGAATTGCTGCAAAGAAACCACTACTAAAGGACACCAATAACAAGAAGAGACTTGCTTGGGCCAAGAAACACGAGCAATGGACATTAGACCGGTGGAAATCTGTCTGATGTCTGATGAGTCCAAATTTGAGATTTTTGGTTCCAACCACCGTGTCTTTGTGAGACGCAGAGTAGGTGAACAGATGATCTCCGCATGTGTGTTCCCCACCGTGAAGCATGGAGGATGAGGTGTGATGGTGCTTTGCTGGTGAAACTGTCTGTGCTGTATTTAGAATTCAATGCACACTTAACCAGCATGTCTACCACAGCATTCTGCAGCGATACGCCAACCCATCTGGTTTGCGCATTGTGGGACTATCATTTGTTTTTCAACAGGACAATGACCCAAAACACACCTCCAGGCTGTGTAAGGGCTATTTGACCATGAAGGAGAGTGATGGAATGCTGCATCAGATGACCTGGCCTCCACAATCACCTGACCTCAACCCAATTGAGACGGTTTGGGATGAGTTGGACCGCAGAGTGAAGGAAAAGCAGCCAACAAGTGCTCAGCATATGTGTGAACTCCTTCAAGCCTGCTGGAAAAGCATTCCCCATGAAGCTGGTTGAGAGAATGCCAAGAGTGTGCAAATCTCAAATATATTTTGATTTGTTTAAAACTTTTTGGGTTACCACATGATTCCATATGTGTTATTTCATAGTTTTGATGTCTTCACTATTATTCTACAATGTAGAACATAGTAAAAAAATTTGAAAAACCCTTGAATCAGTAGGTGTGTCCAAACTTTTGACTGGTAATGTACAGTGGGGAAAAAAAGTATTTAGTCAGCCACCAATTGTGCAAGTTCTCCCACTTAAAAAGATGAGAGAGGCCTGTAATTTTCATCATAGGTACAAGTCAACTATGACAGACAAAATGAGAAAAAAAATTCCAGAAAATCACATTGTAGGATTTTTAATGAATTTATTGGCAAATGATGGTGGAAAATAAGTATTTGGTCAATAACAAAAGTTTCTCAATACTTTGTTATATACCCTTTGTTGGCAATGACACGGGTCAAACGTTTTCTGTAAGTCTTCACAAGGTTTTCACACACTGTTGCTTGTATTTTGGCCCATTCCTCCATGCAGATCTCCTCTAGAGCAGTGATGTTTTGGGGCTGTCGCTGGGCAACACAGACTTTCAACTCCCTCCAAAGATTTTCTATGGGGTTGAGATCTGGAGACTGGCTAGGCCACTCCAGGACCTTGAAATGCTTCTTACGAAGCCACTCCTTCGCCCGGGCGGTGTGTTTGGGATCATTGTCATGCTGAAAGACCCAGCCACGTTTCATCTTCAATGCCCTTGCTGATGGAAGGAGGTTTTCACTCAAAATCTCACGATACATGGCCCCATTCATTCTTTCCTTTACACGGATCAGTCGTCCTGGTCCCTTTGCAGAAAAACAGCCCAAAAGCATGATGTTTCCACCCCCATGCTTCACAGTAGGTATGGTGTTCTTTGGATGCAACTCAGCATTCTTTGTCCTCCAAACATGACGAGTTGAGTTTTTACCAAAAAGTTATATTTTGGTTTCATCTGACCATATGACATTCTCCCAATCCTCTTCTGGATCATCCAAATGCACTTCAGACGGGCCTGGACATGTACTGGCTTAAGCAGGGGGACACGTCTCGCACTGCAGGATTTGAGTCCCTGGCGGCGTAGTGTGTTACTGATGGTAGGCTTTGTTACTTTGGTCCCAGCTCTCTGCAGGTCATTCACTAGGTCCCCCCGTGTGGTTCTGGGATTTTTGCTCACCGTTCTTGTGATCATTTTGACCCCACGGGGTGAGATCTTGCGTGGAGCCCCATATTGAGGGAGATTATCAGTGGTTTTGTATGTCTTCCATTTCCTAATAATTGCTCCCACAGTTGATTTCTTCAAACCAAGCTGCTTACCTATTGCAGATTCAGTCTTCCCAGCCTGGTGCAAGTCTACAATTTTGTTTCTGGTGTCCTTTGACAGCTCTTTGGTCTTGGCCATTGTGGAGTTTGGAGTGTGACTGTTTGAGGTTGTGGACAGGTGTCTTTTATACTGATAACAAGTTCAAACAGGTGCCATTAATACAGGTAACGAGTGGAGGACAGAGGAGCCTCTTAAAGAAGAAGTTACAGGTCTGTGAGAGCCAGAAATCTTGCTTGTTTGTAGGTGACCAAATACTTATTTTCCACCATAATTTGCAAATAAATTCATTAAAAATCCTACAATGGGATTTTCTGGATTTTTTTTTCTCAATTTGTCTGTCTCATCTTTTTAAGTGGGAGAACTTGCACAATTGGTGGCTGACTAAATACTTTTTCCCCACTGTATATATATTTTTTATGTATTAATTCGGGTTCACAGTGCGGACCGAACCAAGGTCCCCGTACCGAACAGTTTGGTACGAATACGTGTACCGTTACACCCCTATTATTAAGTATTTATTGATGTCCTACACAGTTTTAGTGTATCTTTATGACTTCATGTATATTTACTTTTTAGTGATGAGCAAAATGAAAATTGCTTCTCTGTGATGTTTTATGACTAGAGATGACTAGCGATAGTCATGAGATGACTATTAAAATAAATTATGGCCAGTCATTTTCAGCTTTCTATATAACCCGTCTGTAGTTTTCTGATCATATTGGAACTCCCTGCTATGTTGCTCTTGTTATAATGACATTTAGTCAGCTTATGCCAATAATGTTCTGTTGTTCAAGGCTCAAACTCCGATTCCATTCGGCAAAACCACTCCCACCATCACCGATGAAGTTGTAGTTCCATTGCGTTGTTTCCAATAGCCTATATTTTCGTAGTAAATTACTTGTAAACGTCATACTTTTTACTAATTCCAAAAGGCCTACAGTGTTGTTTGATAGTTGCTTGGACAGTCGCTAAGGGTGCATTTAGTTATTGTTGAAAACACTATTTCAGATACAGCTGGGTTAGCTACTTAGCATTGCTAATGTAAGCACCAAAGACACAGGCTTTATTCATGAGACTAGGATTCCGTAGTGATTTGCCTGTACATTTCAAAATAAATGTTGTGTTCCAACAGGCCTACATGTTGTTTGGACTGTTGTTTAAGATTAAACTTGGCTGTTATTGTTGCAAACACTTATTTTGGATGTAGAAGTCGGGCTAGCTAGCATGCTAGCTAACCATCAGATGCAGTAACTTATGGTTAGCATTCGTTAGCATCTAAATTCGAATAATGTTTGAGTGTAATGCAGTTGATTGGTGACAATGACATGAACATACATTCAGCATTAAATTTTTTACATTTTAGTCATTTAGCAGACGCTCTTATCCAGAGCGACTTACAGTTAGTGAGTGCATACATTATATTTTTCATACTGGCCCCCCGTGGGAATCGAACCCACAACCCTGGTGTTGCAAACGCCATGCTCTACCAACTGAGCTACATCCCTGCCGGCCCTGGAGGACCACTTTACTAGCTAGCTACTTGTATGACTGAATGATGGAGAATGCTAGTAAGGGGCTTTTAAATGGCAAATTCAATTTCAAATTCCTCCCAGATGGCTCTCTGGATAAAACCTAAGTAGTTTGCATCTACTGTAAGGCTGAATTTGTTTATCACCGAAGTTACTTATAATTTACAAGCGAAACACACCGCTGACGCCAGCACTAAAAGTAACGTTGCTAGTAGCAATGGAGGACATCTTTCTGCAGGCTAAGCTAGAAGAGTGTGCGCGTGGGAGGCCTATGGACAAGACGAAGAGCAGCAAAATAACACAAGCAATAGCCAAGTGGATAGCTACAGCTTGCAGTCCACATTGTGGAGGACGAAGGCTTGCGGGATATCATTCGGATCGCAACGAACAACTCAAGGGTATTAGTTACCCTCGAGAGCCACCGTCGTTACAAGAATACACAAGCTGTATGAAAGCGAGAGGGCTACGAAAGCGGAGTTGAAACATGCAACGGCTGTTGCTCTCACGGGAGACCACTGGACTTTGGTGAGTAAGCACAACTACCTTGGGGTTACTGCGCACCACATCGATGAAAACTTTAAACTGCATTCACACGCTCTGGCCGTAATGAAGACAGAAAATATGCACTATACTGAAACGTGTGCCAAACATTTCATGGTTGTAGCAAAGCAGTGGAACATTGACAACAAAGTTACCACACTGCACGGAACATGATTGCAACTGGGAGACAACTTCCTTTTGAACACCTGCCCTGCACCGCGCACAGTCTCCAAAAGGTCCATTACAGTGTCCATACAGAACAGGGGGTTGGACAATGCCCTAGCCAAATGCCGAATTTTTGGGGGGGGGCATTTCAAACACAGCCCACCAAACGCTGCAGAGCTAGGACAACTGCAATTTGTAAATGTGCAAAAGATGTCACTGACACAAGATGTCACAACAATATGAAATTCCACTCTGGAAATGGTAAAGCCTGTCCACAGAAACCAACAACCACAGAGATGCTCTGGCCCAGCTGAACTGGAGAAACTGCAGAAGCTGGAGGCACTACTGGAGCCCTGCAGGTAATCTTCTTTATCACACTATTAGTGTTATAATACGATTGTGAAGTGTGTGTGTGTGTGTGAGAGAGTGTCAAATGTGTGTGTGTGTGTGAGAGAGAGTGTGTGTGTGTGAGAGAGTGTGTGTGTGTGAGAGAGTATGTGTGTGTGAGTGAGAGTATGTGTCTGTGTATAACAAGTTTCTAATAATTCAAAATCACTGCAGTCAATTATCTTCCACTGCAGGTACTTGACTGAATTTCTGGGAGGAGAGAAGTATATTTCCTGCTCAGTGGTGTTGCCTGCTATGTGCCATCTCCTTTGAGTAATGGAGAGCTCCGATGATGACCCTGCCTACGTGGTAATATTCAAGCTGACATTCACAACAGACCTGGAGAAACGCAAGTAAAACACCAACCTCACATGGCCACAGCACTCGACCCAAGTATTAAGGACCTGAAGTGCGTTTCCAGACTTGAGAGGTGTGGGCTTTGGTGAAACTTTGGTGCAACTTGCTGAAGGAAGAGAGGCCTGCACAGCAACCTGATAAAGCAACAGAGCCCAGCATCAGCAAGGAGGACTGTCCACTACAGTGGTGGTCACAGCATGCAGGGGCACACACCAGGCTGGCCTGCATTGTACGAAGGTACCTGGCAACGCCTGCCACATCAGTACCTTGTGAGAGGCTGTTTTCACTCTCTGGGCGTATCGTACAGAAGAAGAGAGCAGCTTTATCATCTCAAAATGTCAACAGGCTTGTTTGTCTTAGCAACTGGCTCAGTGAAAGAAATAGGAGGACGACTGAAGTATATGGTCACAGGTTTATGTTCTGTGGAATTCATGACATTGTTGGACAGATTTATGCTCTTTTTATCCATAGAGCCAGTTCTTTTTTCTTATAGCCAACCCTCCAATCAGTAATTAGGAGAACAATCATTTGGAATGGCTAAAGCTATAACTGTGTGTGTGTGTTTGTGAACTTCAAGAAAATGTATGAGGGAGTAGGCCTACTGGGAGCATAATTACAGGAATGTTGTATTCTGATACAGAATATTTTTTGTGTTTCAGTCCCTACACACCTACAACTCAATACACAGCTTAAAGAAGAAAGAAAGAAACAATGAAAACTCTTTATTAAGCACCAATTTTGAGCAAATAAAAAATCTGCGATTAATCGCGATTAACTACAGAATTTAATGCGATTATTTGCAATTAATCATCGTTTGACAGCCCTAGTCTAAACCTAGTTGTCTTTAGCCTATGTCATTACGAATCACATACAATTAATCAGATTGTTCTCTACAATATTATAACCTTAATATACATATTGATTAAATAAGAACGTTAGTTTGTTGGGACCGTAGCTAGTTTAGATCACACCGGTCTTGGTTGTCTCTCTTCCATATTTCGGCGTTGGGAGGTTGTAAGATTAGGAGGCGTTTCCGCACTTTGGACCAATCAAATTCAACTTGATACCCTTGTCATTTTCATCTCCAGATCCGTGGCTTCGAACCCTGGTCAATCAACGTTGAGAGGGGCCGTTTCTATGGCGATTTAAAGGGAAAGACTCAGAAAACTGAAACAGATGTTTTTCGGGGAGGGTAGATATTTTACGCCCGTTGGTGTTTGGGTGTATGGATGTGTGTGTATACCTGCAGTACGATGGGGAGCTGTTCGGGGGGGTTCCTGTTCTCCACTCCCATGGTCAGCCACACCTGGAATGCTGTCAGCTGCTCCGCAAAGAATGGACTGTGCTGTTGGGGGGAAACACACACACAATCGTTTTAATAAATCAATTATGAATATACATCTAAATACATACAGTACATTGATACTAGGCTCACTCACACAGAGTACATACACTATATATATATACAAAAGTATGTGGACACCCTTTCAAATGAGTGGATTCAGCTATTTCAGCCACACCCGTTGCTGACAGGTGTATAAAATCGAGCACACAGCCATGCAATCTCCATAGACAAACAATGGCAGTATAATGTCCTTACTGAAGAGCTCCGTGACTTACAATGTGGCACAGTCATAGGATGCCACCTTTCCAACAAGTCAGTTTGTCAAATTTCTGCCCTGCTAGAGCTGGCCCGGTCAACTGTAAGTGCTGTTATTGTGAAGTGGAAACGTCTAGGAGCAACAACGGCTCAGCCGCAAAGTGGTAGGCCACACAAGCTAACAGAACATGACCACCGAGTGCTGAAGCACGTAGTGCATAAAAATCGTCTGTCCTCGGTTGCAACACTCACTAGCGAGTTTCAAACTGCCTCTGGAAGCAACGTCAGCACAATAACTGTTCGTCGGGAGCTTCATGAAATGGGTTACCATGGCCTATCAGCCGCACACAAGCCTAAGATCACCATGCGCAATACCAAGCGTTGGCTGAAGTAGCGTAAAGCTTGCCGCCATTGGACTCTGGAGCAGTGGAAACGTGTTCTCTGGAGTGATGAATCACGCTTCACCATATGGCACTCCAACAGACGAATCTGGGTTTGGCGGATGCCAGGAGAACGCTGCCTGCCCCAATGCATAGTGCCAACTGTAAAGTTTGGTGGAGGGGGAATAATAGTCTGGGGCTGTTTTTCATGGTTCAGGCTAGTTCCAGTGAAGGGAAATCTTAACGCTACAGCATACAATGACATTCTAGACAATTCTGTGCTTTCAACTTTGTGGCAACAGTTTGGGGAGGCCCTTGCCTGTTTCAGCATGACAATGCCGCCGTACACAAAGCGAGGTCCATACAGAAATGGTTTGTCGAGATCTGTGTGGAAGAACCTGAGTGGCCTGCACAGAGCCCTGTCCTCAACCCCATCGAACACCTTTGAGATGAATTGGAACGCTGACTGCGAGCCAGGCCTAATCGCCCAATATCAATGCCCGATCTAACTAATGCTCTTGTGGCTGAATGGAAGCAAGTCTCCGTAGCAATGTTCCAACATAACATCTAGTGGAAACCTTCCCAGAAAAGTGGAGGCTGTTATAGCAGCAAAGGGGGGACCAACTACATTTATTCCCATGATTTTGGAATGAGATGTTTGACGAGCAGGTGTCCACATACTTTTGGTCATGTAGTGTATCTTGACCTGCATACAAACACAGCTGTGACCTCTCAAATACACAACAGCATTATCCATTTCATAGTTAGATTTACATTTGACATTTTAGTCATTTAGCAGACGCTCTTATCCAGAGCGACATACAGTTAGTGAGTGCATACATTTTCATACTGATCTAGCACACCCTTCTCTCACACACACAAGCACACAAATTAGGCTTAATGCATCGGTAATGAACTGCACACACATTACTATACATCTCATTGTAGAATGAGTTCAATGAGTTTTGTAACAATGTTTATATATTTTGGTTTTGTATGTAAGTTATATAAGCATGTGCACGGCAACTCAGCACATCGATGTCTACAATGCAACATGCATCCACTAATCTTAATACAATATGTAATACACAGTAGTCATGAAACTTTAATGCAACACACATCCTCTCTATGTCTCACACACACACACAGGCACACACACACACACAAACATCCCGACCAACTGAACAGAGTAAATTCTTACACCAATCTGCCTATTACATAACAACCTTCCATAAGGAAGCCTCCATTGTAGCCTTGACTAGCTGCAGTAGTGTGTGTGTGTGAACGCATGTCCCTTCATTATGTACCACCCCCTCTGTTACCTGCTTCCCTTCAGCCCCACATAGAGCAGTGGTGTCATGACAATGTGTCTGCCGCTATTAACTGTTCCATGACCAGTTTCATCATCATCATCCCATTAATATAGCAGGGGCAATTACAACAGAGACTCTCTCTCGCTGCAGAGAGGGAAATATTAGCACTGGTTGAGGAAATTAATTTGTGAATAACCAAAGCATAACCGCTATGCTCTAACATACATACACACTCACACAAGAGGAGCGAACACACACACAAACTAACAGACAGTTTCTCTGAGCTCTGGAGAGAGAGAGAGAGCCAGATAGAGGGTGAACAAGTCTCATCTCTCAAAAGACAGAGGGGGAGAGAGAGGACCCAGGTGGGTCAATTATAGTGCCATTAAGCATGCGGGGGTGAAGGAAAAGAGGGAAGAGAATGGAGAGCGAGAGGGAAGAGGGGGAGGGATGTTCCTTCAGAAGAGTGATGGAGGAGATGCAAACCTCAACAGGTGTCCCATAGGGCGGCGCACAATTGGCCAAGCGTCGTTCGGGTTTGGCCGGGGTAGGCCGTCATTGTAAATAGATTGTTCTTAACCTACTTGCCTAGTTAAAATATAAAATAAAAACAGGCCAGGTGGAGAACTGATAGGACTGCAGACTCAGAGGGAGTCACGCTCTGTAGAGATTCATTCAACTTTTTCCATACAAACTTTTGCACTGGGAGTGCATTGCGCTCTGCTTGATATGGTTTCTGAAATTACTTTTGAGGAGAGATGGAGGAAGAGAGAGACAAGTGAAAGAGGGAAAAAATTTAAATGGAGGGAGGGAGTAAGACAAGGGTAACTAATTTTGCCTGCGGGCCGCATTCGGTCTTCACCGGGGTCCGGACGGCTGCACTGAAATGTTTCTTGCCATGGGCCGTATGTTTGACACCCCTGGAGTAAGAGTTCGAGGGAGAGTGAAAAATAGATAGAGGGACGGAGTTCAAGTAAAGATGGCATAGATCGAGTGAGGAAAAGAGAGATGGAGAGTTCAGAAGATTACTGTAGACGGCTTAAGGAGCCCTTACACAAGCCCTGGTAATAATCTTATGTTGTCACAATCAGGGTTTCTTCCCCTGCCAGCCCCAGCCCCAAGCCCAGGGTTTTTCCCCCAGAGAGATTAGGAATTCAATATTACAATTGCAGTGGATTATTACACCATAACGGGATGCTAGACTTTTATAGCTAATCCAAGATGGCGTAGTAGTGCAGTCCTGTTTTTGTCGTGTGTCTGTAAATAGCCTGTAAATACCCTGTTTTTTTTTGTATTTTTCGTACATATTTCCCTATCAGACTTTTCATCCTTCTACAAAATATACTTTACTGCAACCCGCCTCACTCAATGTGGAACGGATTCTATTATTGACTTACCTTTTATCTAGAATCTCCAGTTGAAACTAGCTAGCCAGCTAACTAGCTACTTGCTATTAGCCACAGTTAGCGGTATTTCACCCAGAACATTGGATTTTTCTGCCGGAATAATTTAATCACTGGACATTAATCACCGGATCGCAACTAGCTAGCCGCAACCGAATGAATGTTGCTGTTTGGCTAATCACCACTGCCCCCGATGCAAGCACCAGTCAGCCTCGAGCTAGCCTAGAGCCAGGCTCATATCCCGGCTTTCTACCTCTAGGTCTACCGGACGGGAGTAGCCAGCTAACTAGCTACTTGCTATCAGCTACCGTTAGCGGTTCTTCACCATTGTCCGTGGCCTGCACCACCTACCAGCCAGCCAGCTCTAGTCTGGACTATTATTCGGCCAGTCTGCACAGCGCGTTATCGACCCAGAACATATCAGTTTTTCTGCCGGAATCACTGAATCACTGGACATTTAACTCCGGATTCATCGCTACCAGCTAGCTGCAACAAAATGGACGTTGTGGTCTGGCTAATCATCCTGAGCTAGGCCCATCTCCCGGCTATCTACCTCTCTGTCAACCGGACGGGACCACCTAGTATAGACATGGAGCCCCGCCGATCCTACACGACTGGTCTGCCGACGAAATCGTCTGATGTGGCTACAACCGGCTTCCCGTTACACCGTCGACCACGAAGATTCCATCTGCTAGCCCCGGCCCGCTAGCACACGCTAGCCGTGGCCTCTTGCTCGCTAGTGCTTTAGCAGCCCCCGAACTACCTCCGAACTATCCTATTGCTGTTCACCGGACCTTATGATAACTCAGCTATACAGCTGATGCCTGCTGGACTATTCCTTTATACGGTACCGCATCCTGTTTATGTTTAGCCTCAGCCCAAACTGTGTCGTCATTACCAGCTGTTGTCTTAGCTCTCTCAAATTACACCTGTGATTGCTTTATGCCTCTCTCCCATCTCAATATGGTTAGCTTATTGTTGTTTCGGTTATTTCTAATTGTACTATTTCACTGTAGATCCCCCAGCCCAGCTAAACCTGCCTTAGATAGCTCCTTTGTCCCACCCCCCATACATGTGGAGACCGACTCAATTGGTGCCTCCAGTGATGCTATCTCTTTCATTGTTACCCAACGCTTAGGTTTACCTCCACTTTACTCATATCCTTCCATATCCTTCCATATCCTTGTCTGTACATAATGTCCTGAATCTTTTCTACAACGCCCGGAAATCTGCCCCCTTTATTCTATGTACCCAACGCACTAGAAGACCAGTTCTTAAAGCATTTAGCCATATCCTTATTCTAGTCCTCCTCTGTTCCTCCGGTGATGTAGAGGCAAACCCAGGCCCTGCAGCCCTCAGTATCACTCCTACTCCCCAGGCGCTATCATTTGCTGACTTCTGTAATCGCAAAAGCCTTGGTTTCTTGCATGTAAATATCAGAAGTCTACTTCCTAAGTTTGAGTTATTCACTGCGTTAGCACACTCCGCCAACCCTGATGTTCTAGCAGTGTCTGAATCCTGGCTTAGGAAGGCCACCAAAAATTCTGAAATTTCCATCCCTAACTATAACATTTTCCGTCTAGATAGAACTGCCAAAGGGGGTGGAGTTGCAATCTACTGTAGAGATAGCCTGCAGAGCTATCATACTATCCAGGTCTGTGCCCAAACAGTTTGAGCTTCTACTTCTAAAAATCCACCTTTCCAGAAATAAGTCTCACTGTTGCCGCTTGCTACAGACCCCCCTCAGCCCCCAGCTGTGCCCTGGACACCATATGTGAATTGATTGCCCCCCATTTATCCTCAGAGTTCGTACTGCTTGGTGACCTAAATTGGGATATGCTTAACACCCCGGCCATCCTACAATCCAAACTAGATGCCCTCAATCTCACACAAATTATCAACGAACCTACCAGGTACAACCCTAAATCAGTAAACATGGGTACCCTCATAGATATCATCCTGACTAATTTACCCTCTAAATACACCTCTGCTGTCTTCAACCAGGATCTCAGCGATCACTGCCTTATTGCCTGCGTCCGTAACGGGTCCGCGGTCAAACGACCACCCCTCATCACTGTCAAACGCTCCCTAAAACACTTTAGCGAGCAGGCCTTCCTAATTGACCTGGCCCAGGTATCCTGGATGGATATAGATCTCATTCCGTCAGTAGAGGATGCCTGGTTGTTCTTTAAAAGTAATTTCCTCTCAATCTTAAATAAACATGCCCCATTCAAAAAATACAGAACTAAGAACAGATATAGCCCATGGTTCTCCTCAGACTTGACTGCCCTTGACCAGCACAAAAACATCCTGTGGCGTACTGCATTAGCATCAAATAGCCCCCGCGATATGCAACTTTTCAGGGACGTTAGGAACCAATATACACAAGCAGTCAGGAAAGCAAAGGCTAACTTTTTCAAACAGAAATTTGCATCCTGTAGCACTAACTCCAAAAAGTTTTGGGACACTAAAGTCCATGGAGAATAAGAGCACTTCCTCCCAGCTGCCCACTGCACTGAGGCTAGGAAACACTATCACCACCGATAAATCTACAATAATCGAGAATTTCAACAAGCATTTTGCTACGGCTGGCCATGCTTTCCACCTGGCTACCACTACCCCGGCCACCAACTCTGCACCCTCCGCTGCAACTTGCCCATGCCCCCCCCCGCTTCTCCTGCACACAAATTCAGACAGCTGATGTTCTGAAAGAGCTGCAACATCTGGACCCCTACAAATCAGCTGGGCTAGACAATCTGGACCCTTTCTTTCTAAAACTAGCCGCCGAAATTGTCGCAACCCCTATTACTAGCCTGTTCAACCTCTCTTTCGTAACGTCTGAGATCCCCAGAGATTGGAAAGCTGCCGCGGTCATCCCCCTCTTCAAAGGGGGTGACACTCTAGATCCAAACTGTTACAGACCTATATCCATCCTGCCCTGCCTTTCGAAAGTATTTGAAAGCCAAGTTAACAAACAGATCACCGACCATTTCGAATCCCACCGTACCTTCTCCGCTATGCAATCCGGTTTCCGAGCTGGTCATGGGTGCACCTCAGCCACGCTCAAGGTCCTAAACGATATTATAACCGCGATCGATAATAGACAGTACTGTGCAGCAGTCTTCATCGACCTGGCCAAGGCTTTCGACTCTGTCAACCACCGCATTCTTATTGGCAGACTAAATAGCCTTGGTTTCTCAAATGACTGCCTCGCCTGGTTCACCAACTACTTCTCAGATAGAGTTCAATGTGTCAAATCGGAGGGCCTGTTGTCTGGACCTATGGCAGTCTCTATGGGGGTGCCACAGGGTTCAATTCTTGGGCCGACTCTTTTCTCTGTGTATATCAATGATGTCGCTCTTGCTGCTGGTGACTCTCAGATCCACCTCTACGCAGACGACACCATTTTGTATACATCTGGCACTTCATTGGACACTGTGTTAACAAACCTCCAAACGAGCTTCAATGCCATACAACACTCCTTCAGTAGCCTCCAACTACTCTTAAACACTAGTAAAACTAAATGCATGCTCTTCAATCGAACGCTGCTGGCACCTGCCCACCCGACTAGAATCACCACTCTCGACGGGTCTGACCTAGAGTATGTGGACAACTACAAATACCTAGGTGTCTGGTTAGACTGTAAACTCTCCTTCCAGACTCACATTAAGAATCTCCAATCCAAAGTTAAATCTAGAATCGGCTTCCTATTTCGCAACAAAGCCTCCTTCACTCATGCTGCCAAACATGCCCTCGTAAAACTGACTATCCTACCGATCCTTGACTTCGGCGATGTCATTTACAAATAGCCTCCAACACTCTACTCAGCAAATTGGATGTAGTCTATCACAGTGCCATCCGTTTTGTCACCAAAGCCCCATATACTACCCACCACTGTGACCTGTACGCTCTTGTTGGCTGGTCCTCACTACATGTTCGTCGTCAAACCCATTGGCTCCAGGCCATCTATAAATCACTGCTAGGCAAATCCCCGTCTTATCTTAGCTCATTGGTCACCATAGCAGCACACACCCGTAGTCTGCTCTCCAGCAGGTATATCTCACTGGTCATTCCCAAAGCCAACACCTCCTTTGGCCGCCATTCCTTCCAGTTCTCTGCTGCCAATGACTGGAACGAATTGCAAAAATCTCTGAAGCTGGAGACACTTATCTCCCTCACTAACTTTAAGCATCAGTTGTCAGAGCACCTTACCGATCACTGCACCTGTACACAGCCCATCTGAAATTAGCCCACCCAACTACCTCATCCCTATATTGTTATTTATTTTTGCTCTTTTGCACCCCAGTATCTCTATTTGCACATAATCTCTTGCACATCTAGCATTCCAGTGTTAATACTAATTGTATTAATTATTTTTGCACTATAGCCTATTTATTGCCTTATCTCCATAACTTGCTACATTTGCACACACTGTATATATATTTTCTGTTGTATTTTTTGACTTTATGTTTTTTTTACCCCATATGTAACTCTGTGTTGTTGTTTTTATCGCACTGCTTTGCTTTATCTTGGCCAGGTCGCAGTTGTAAATGAGAACTTGTTCTCAACTGGCTTACCTGGTTAAATAAAGGTTAAATAAATAAAATTTTAAAAAATCTGGACGGACCGACTATGCTATTTCTATAGGGAGCTGCAACAATGCATCATTTATGACTAACTATCTAAATGTCAATCTCTGGGTATATAATACATTTTATAATATATTTTATTCTATATTTTTGTTGAAAAGCACAGAGGAAGACTGTATATGGCAGGGCAGCATGTATTGTACTATCCCATTCATACCACCCAAACTAACCAACGGTGATGCGTTATCACCGACTATCACAGCGGAAAACCTTCAAGTGCTTGTGTTGAAAATATCTTATAATGAATGATTGAGTTGAGTTGCACTTGACTGGACAAGTAGCACCAGAGGGGTTTAACAGAATGGAGTGATATGTTGACTACAGCTATTATCACCTCTATTGACTCAGTGACACGCGAGGTATTAGGCCTGACATTTCACTCCTGCATCCACTGGGTCAGAGGGGTAATAGAGTGATACACTGACTGGGGCGGGGAGAGTGTTTGTGATGAATCAGTGTAAATAAAATGGTATTGTAACTCATAGAAGTGACAGGGTTACAGTTACCATGGTAAATAGAATGAAAGTGAAAGAAGAACAAAGTGTGTAGTCAAGACTAGTCAACCCGAAGTGACAGACAGCCATCCATCAGCTAGTGGGGTTATTTATCAGTGAGGTGTCAAACACACAGACATATCATCCACAGCATCCCCAGTCCACCTGGTTGTGCTGCTGCTCCAGTTTCCACTTTTCTGCCTGCGGCTATGGAACCCTGACCTGTTCACCAGACGTGCTACCTTGTCCCAGACCTGCTGTTTTCAACTCTCTCTCTCTACCGCACCTGCTATTTCAACCTCTAAATGGCCGGCTATGAAAAGCCAAGTGACATTTACTCCTGATGTACTGACCTGTTGCAACCTCTACAACCACTGTGATTATTATTTGACCCTGCTGGTCATCTATGAACGTTTGAACATCTTGGAGAAAAATCTGGCCTTAATGGCCATGTACTGTTATAATCTCCACCCGGGAACACAGCCAGAAGGGGACTGGCCACCACTCAGAGCCTGGTTCTTCTCTAGGTTTCTTCCTAGGTTTCTGCCTTTCTAGGGAGTTTTTCCCAGCCACAGTGCTTCTATATCTGCATTGCTTGCTGTTTGGGGTTTTAGGCTGGGTTTCTGTATAGCATTTTGTGACATCTGCTGATGTAAAAAGGGCTTTATAAATAAAAATGTGATTGACACAGGGCAATTTATCTTAACGCCTCAGGGGTATTCAAATGAAGGGAAAAAAGTATTGTGTATGAAAACAATTTGCAGTGTGGCCCTGCTGGACCTTGGTGAAGACTGAATTTGGACACCGGGCAAAATGATTTTGAGACCCCTGACATAGACAAACACATGCCATGACTAACTCAAAGTTAAGAGGAACCCGCACTGATAAATGGAGAAAAACCACTTACCCTGAAGGCGGTGCCCTCCTCAATGATGGTGGGCAGCTGAGAGAGACAGATGTCCACAGCCAGGTCCCACGCCTGCCTGTAGAGGAACGATGCATACACACACACACGTTAGACATCAACAACCCAAATGTCCAACACACACACGGTCCTGGAGAGGGCAGCATTGAGGTTTTGATCCATTCCAAACCCTCAGTGTTCTCCCTGGTTATCATGTTTAATTCATACTGTTACATAACAAATATCAACCCCCCTTTACTGCTGCACTCTCTCACACCAACCCCCCTTCCCCTCTCTCCCCTAACCACCAACCCCCCTTCCCCTCTCTCCCCTAACCACCAACCCCCCTTCCCCTCTCTCCCCTAACCACCAACCCCCCTTCCTCCCTATTTGCTCTGAGGCAGCACTTGGGGTTTCTCCTCTGGTTAGAAAGTGCATGCAGGAATTGAGCATTTGGTCGACAAATGCAACAATACGCAATGTTACAGATTTGTTACAGTCATTGAACACAACTCTAAGAACACTGCCTTTGCCTCTTCCATTCAGGTAATAGTAGAATCCAAGATAGACTAGAATACAATTCTCTATGGAGAAAGATATTTCTGTAGTCAAAGGATCCGAAATGCTAGTTATAATCCATGTAGAATACAACTCATCACATCATTCACATAACATAGTGTGTTCAATATTCATATCAGGTATACATATCTGTAATCCCAGTGCATAAATATATCAAACATCTGGAATCAGTCGAGACAAGTAGACAAACATTTGTTCGGCGAAAAAGCAAACGTCTCTTGTTGTTAGTATCGGTTTGGAACGTGAGTGAAAGGTGACATGAAACGTGATTGGGATTTGATAGGAGTGAGGGGTGTGTGATGGCCGCAGGTAGCCTGCCGGTTAAGAGCGTTGGGCCAGTAACCGTAAGGTCACTGGTTCGAATCCCTGAGCCAACTAGGTGAAAAATCTGTCGATGTGCCATTGAGCAAGGCACTTAACCCTAATTGCTCCTGTAAGTACCTCTGGATAAGAGTGTCTGCTAAATTACTAAAATGTAAAATGGTTGTCGAGGAGCATGGCGGGTTAGGAGTGTGTGAAGTTAATAAGGAGTAAAGGGTGAGAAGTTAATGAGGAGTAAAGTGTGTGAAGTTAATAAGGAGTAAAGTGTGTGTAGTTAATAAGGAGTAAAGGGTGTGTGAAGTTAATAAGGAGTAAAGTGTGTGAAGTTAATAAGGAGTAAAGTGTGTGTAGTTAATAAGGAGTAAAGGGTGTGTAGTTAATAAGGAGTAAAGTGTGTGTAGTTAATAAGGAGTAAAGTGTGTGTAGTTAATAAGGAGTAAAGTGGTGTGAAGTTAATAAGGTGTAAAGGGTGTGTGAAGTTAATAAGGAGTAAAGGGTGTGTGAAGTTAATCGGGAGTAAAGTGTGTGTAGTTAATCGGGAGTAAAGTGTGTAGTTAATAAGGAGTAAAGTGTGTGTAGTTAATAAGGAGTAAAGTGTGTAGTTAATATGGAGTAAAGTGTTGTAGTTAATGAGGAGTAAAGTGTGTAGTTTAATAAGGGTAAAGGGTGTAGTAATAAGGAGTAACGTGTGTTGTAGTTAATAAGGCGTAAAGGGTTGTGAAGTTAATAAGGAGTAAAGTGTGTAGTTAATAAGGAGTAAAGTGTGTAGTTAATAAGGAGTAAAGTGTGTAGTTAATAAGGAGTAAAGTCTGTGTAGTTAATAAGGAGTAACGTGTGTGTAGTTAATAAGGAGTAAAGTGTGTAGTTAATAAGGAGTAAAGTGTGTGTAGTTAATAAGGAGTAAAGTGTGTAGTTAATCAGGATTAAAGTGTGTAGTTAATAAGGAGTAAAGGGTGTGAAGTTAATAAGGAGTAAAGTGTGTGTAGTTAATAAGGAGTAAAGGGTGTAGAGTTAATAAGGAGTAAAGGGTGTGAATAATAAGGAGTAAAGGGTGTGTGAAGTGGGAACAAGGGATGAGTGAGAGAGAGGGGGGAGTATATTAAAGGTCAACAGTCAAAATCATGTTTTTCATGAAATTGGATGGTATTTGGATGAAACCAGGTCAAAGTATGAAAAATGACATTTGCTACTACACTGATAAAGTTTGATCATAAAGTTACTGGTCCCCTCCCCCGTGTCAAACGCTTGGATTCAGGAGGCGGGATTATTAAGAGGATAGGGTCATCTGTGTCTGGTGTTAGCTAGTTCCTGGCTAGCTAGGTCTTCAGCCAGCATGGAACAAAAGTCGTTAAACTCTGACACAGTTGTCAAGTCAACACATCTGTCATTGCTGCTGTGAACCGCATCACAAGAGCGATGCCTAACGGGAGAAGTATAAAACATTTTTGACATCATTGATGCAATTTCAATATTGTTTGAGCTGCTTTGTGTACCACTAAATTAGCTTGAGATGATTTTACTGCAACACTGCATCCAAGTTGCTTGACATAGGCGTTTCAAAGAGCTGCCAGTCAAGGCGAGCTCATGAATATAAGCTCCCCGCCCACTAAGCCTGTCTTTTCAAACTTCCTGGTAGTTAGCCATGAGATAAAAATAAAAAAAACGCACATTTTGAGCATTTCTATCCAAAACAAATATTATGGGTAATATTTTAGTCACTCAAAAGGCTATTTTACATGGGAATCAGAATGACTTAGGACCTTTAAGAACGTGTGTATGAGAGAATCTCTATCTAGTTGCTGACTCTGCTATAGCTGCTACCTGCAGCAGAGTTTGGTGCAGCCATAGCGCCATACACCCCTACCACACACACACACACACAGTCACGCACACACACACACAGTCGCGCACACACACACAGTCGCGCACACACAGTCGCGCACACACACAGTCGCGCACACCTGTCCCCAGCCAATTTATATTCCAATAATGGCCCACTAATATTAAAGACACAACAACAGCATTTTAATAACACTTACTGGTTGTGTCTGGCCACTATCATCAATCAACATATTTCCACAAACCCTCTCTATTTCTCTCTGCCTCCACACTTTTGATGTATTTGTCTCCCTTTGTGTCTCTTACCCTTTCCCCTGCAGACTTTCTATTAGTCTCTCTTCCACGCTTCCTTCTGCTCCTTTGTTCTCACTTCAACTCTACTTCCTTCCTTCCTTACTGCCATCTAGATACCTCAACACTTCCTATCAGTCTCTCTCTCTCTTCCACTATTTCTTACCATCCCTTGTTCTCCTTTTACCTGTCCCTTCTTACTTCCCCTCCCTCCACATTCTCTCTCTCTGTACTTCCTTTCTTGCTGGCTGAAGCATCTCTTTTAGAGCTGTGATGGGGTGTAGCAACACAACGACAAAGTCACCCCAGATGATTCAATGCTATTTAATGTCTTCTCAAGAAGAGACAATGGAGGCAATAAGAGAGGAAAAGAGGCGATCGCTCACTCAAGAGGCTTTCAGCAACAACACTATCCCCAACTAATGCTTTTAGTAACTGATGGTGGGAAAAACACACAAAAGGATTTTGCAGACAGGTTTCAACATGAATCTAATGAATGGACAGATAAGATTGAATAGAAATAACCAACAGAGAGAGAAAGTGTAGGTGTGTGTGCATGCGTGTCTTACCACATGGCGTGCATGTATGTAGGTGGCAGGCGCGGACTGCTGACGGGGGTGCAGTTGTATGACCTCATTATCCTCTCGGCCAACAGGAAGTTGCGGAACAAACTGGCCACCAACAGGTCCTGACGAAAAAGCTTCTGGAACAGATCTAGAGAGAGAAAAGAGAGAAAGAAAAAAAAGGAAGAGAAGGATGGACATGAGGGAATGGAAAGAGACAGGGGCAAGGGAGCATGGCCAATGGAAAATAACAGATAGCATCAAAGAAAGAGAGAGAGAGAGAGAGATGTAGGTGTGTACGTATTGTGTATTGAATGTGGACAGACAGGCAGGATGCAGTAGCAGAGCCAGATAGATCAAGGCAGGGGGCAGTAGTGACATTTTCAACTCTTATTATTAATTCATGTATTCTCTCATTTTGTTTAATGGGGCCAGGTTGCTCCAGTGTTAATCCACAACTAATGATGATAATTGGTGTGTTTGTGTGCAGGGCGCTTGTCTCTGTGTGAGAGGGAGTGAGTCTATGTCTGTGTATGAGTGTTTTGATTATGGTGCGATTCGAGTGTGTGTGTTTGCGCGCTTTTGTGTGTGAGAGAGTGTGTGTGTGTGTGAGAGTGTGTGAGTATGTCTGTGTGAGGGTAGTATGTGAGAGTGTTTTGTGTGGTGGGGTGTGTAGTGAGGTGTGTGTGTGGTGGATTAGGTGTGCCGTGCCTTCATTAAGAAGCTTCTCTGTGATGTAGGCTGATTATGAACGGCCAGTGCCGTAAGGCTTCTGGGGCTTATCAGCCCATCACCACTGTTCTCTTCTCACATCACGACTCACTTGAGTGTATGTGTGTTTGTGAGAGAGAGAAGATACTTTCTACTTGTCTGGGCAGCCCAGGTAGACACAGAGGTATGAGTGTGTGTGCATGCGCATATGCTCCCAAGCTCATGTGTGTGTACCTCTGGGCAGCACGTTCCAGGCGATCGTGTCAGTGATAGCAGTGAAGATCCAGTTGAGCTCTCCCAGTGGGGTGCGTCTGTCATTCAGTCTCCCAGGTATCCTACAAAACACCATAGGTTTGTCAGTAACATTAAGATACAGGTAACTGCCAAAATTAAGGAAACACCAACTTAAAGTGTGTTAATAGGGCGATGGGCCACCACGAGCCAGAACAGCTTCAATGCACCTTGGCATAGATTCTACAAGTGTCTTGAACTCTATTGGAGGGATGCGACCATAGATATAAAGCAGTGTTCTATATACATGGGCAACACGATTCTTCCCTAGAAACATTGGTGTTTTGTTGATGGTGGTCATGGAAAATGCGTCTCAGGCTCCACTCAAGAATATCCCATAATGTTCAATTGGGTTGAGATCTGGTGACGAACGGCCATGGCATTGTTTCAAAATAAGTTTTTACAAAGCTCTCAAACCATTTGATACTCGTGCCTGTGGAATGGGGCATTGTCATCCTCATGGGGCCATAGCCCTGTTAGCCAATAGTGCCTGCCCAGCATTTTATGCATTTGTAAATTACTTAGTCAGGAAACCCCACCTTTGTGGAAGCACCTGCTTGCAATATACTTAGTATCTCAATTCACTCAAGCGTTTTCTATTTTGACAGTTACCTGTATAT